AAACTTAAATCTTAATTAATCAAAACCCTGCAGCTTTAGTTCCAACCAAAAATAAATAAAAATTATCCCTAGCCCTTTTAAACCATCAATTTGCCATCATATCCTTCCCACCATGTTTAGTTCCAGAAGTCATCTATGGTTTCTTTTCTTACGAAGATTCAGATTTTTGCAATGACTTGCTGATTGTTTACCAAATCTTGTGCTCTTAAAAAGACTAAAGCGATTTTTATGCTAAAGTAGAGATGAGTACCCAACACTATATTTACAAATCCCCCATTTGAGTACAAATATAAACCCAACACCTAAACCAAAACTAAACTATTATTATTTATTTTTAAATGAAAGCTTAAACTTGAGATTAGACCAAAGAATCATTTCCATCCAGAACTGCTCTATCAAATTAGAGAGAAGGAATTTTGATGTACACCATATCATCTTATTTAGATTGTAAAAGATATATGCAATTCAAGAAGGAATACATTAAAAGTGATAATTAATTGGTATGAGACATGCTAAATTAATATCAGTTTTGGAATTGAATTCCAGGTTTGATATAAGTACGGGGAAGAAGGGGGAATGGCCGCCGGAGAGAGGAAGAGATGGGTAAGTGATACACTGCAAAAATAGAGTTTTAATCTAAATACAATTATGATGAGGTGGAATAATTGAATTCTTGGATCAATTAAATGGTTAATATTTTCTTACAGGCGTGCAAATGCACCTATGCTAAAGGGATATTTGTAGAAATGTCACCTGAACTTATACATCAGTTTTAATTTGTCACCTTAAAGAAAAATTTAAGAGAAATGTCACTTTAATTTTTCAAAATCCATGATTTATCATCTGACTTTAACATCATTCAATTTTTCATCAATGATTAAGGGTATTTTAATCTTTTCATTTTTAGGAGTAATTTAAAAATGGAAAAATCATTATACAAAATTGTATATCTTTAAAAAATATATAATATATATATATATACACAAAATCTCTCTCTCTCTCTCTCTCTCCACATACAGAATATATATCACCCTATCTCTATCTCTCTGTACTATATTGTTACCAGCATTCAGATCTTCTGTGTTTGTTTTACATACATACAGATAGGGAGATGTTGTCATGGCATGCAAGTACAAATTCAATTGATGTATGATTTGGCTTTATCTTCTCTTTCAGTGGAGACATAAGGGCGGCCATGAATTTCGACGTCATTCCAGGCTACCTCTGCAGAACATGTGGTTTCAGACTAACTCTGTGGGAAGCCAACAGGAAGGGGAACTGAGTAACGTTATCATCCAAAAGCACAGGTTGGCTCCTTCTGACCCTTGGCCCTTGTAATGTATACCATCTTGTGTATGAGGTTTTTATATACGAGTCTCAGCATGAGGTCAAATCCATCCAAAAAGAAACGAACATCAAAACAGGAAGGATCCGAAAATCAACAAAGGCAATAAGGCCATGACAAATACTTAATTCAAACCATCTTATGGTGCAAATGCCAGTTTTGAATAACAAAATACCATATTTAAGTTTCATTGGAGAAGGCTATCCTATCAGGTAACAGGCTAGAAGAATCAAGAAAGAGGCACTATGGTATAGCTAGAAGACAAATGGAAGTGGGGCAGAGTTCAAACTCTGTACCATAGCCAAATGCAAAGGGGTTGCTGTTTCCTATGAAAAGCGAAAGGAGCATGAAAGCACTGCTCAAAACGGCCAAGACAGGGAACAAAGTGAAGATCAAGGAAGCAGCAACCATCAAGAGCCCATAATGGAAAATTATAGGTATTGGTTTGTACCAGCCCATTGGCACGGGGTGTAAACCTTCCAGCTCATCTGGTCATTATCAAGGCAAGGCAAAATTTGCGCGGTGTCTTTTTCATTTGTTTCCTATATTTACAAAGAATGGAACTCAACCTAAAAACCATAACTCTGCCCTCCGTACTGCACATAAATGTACTCTTTTGGAGATGAGGATGGGGCGGAATTTGTAAGATTTCAGGTATGTCTGATGTGGGGGGGTGAAGGCATGTCATTTTTCTATAGAGAATAGTAAACATCAGCTATAAGAAGCCAAATAATATCAGGGTCGATAGATGCAAGAATATGTCTATCTTTTGAGGTGCCCTTTGTGAAAATCTCACATCGAAAATCTATATTCCTATAAGGTCCCGTTTGGTTCACGGAATGGATTTGAGGGGAAAACATTTCCCATGTCATTTCCCAAGGAATGGGAATGAAAGATTCCTTTCCCATGTTTGGTAATGTCGGGAAAGTAACCGGGAGATTTCACTTTGTTTCCTTTTTGTTTCCTTTCCCATGTTTGTTTTGAGTAGGAATGGAAAACAAAGTTTGTATAATTTTCCAATTATACCCATATTAAATCAAATAAAAAAAGAATGCATTTAATGATACGTTGTAATTATAAATTGTTCATAGGGACAAAATAGTCATGAAAATTGTACATTGAATGTTGGCTCATTTTCCCAAACTTTCCCATGAGGAGGGAAAACAAAACCCAAGTTAAGAGGAGGGATTCACTTTCCCCCCTACTTTCCCATATGCCAGGAAACCCATTTCTCATGCGTGGACTTACCAAACATGGGAAAGCAATTGAATTCTCATTCCCAAGCCTCCTTTCCCATGAATCAAACGGGGCCTAAAGGTGTTTATATACAAAGCACAATGATGGTTAGGTAAGTGTGGTTAACATTGGAGAGTTGAGCCAATAAGCTTGGCTTTGAATATGGCTTTCATTAATAAATAATTATATTAATCAAAGACTTGGGCCTTGGGCCTTGGGCCTTGGGGCTCTTGGGCTATGGAGAAATTTAATTAGGACACCCAAACTATTTCACAAAAAAATAGAAAATAGAAAATAATTATTTTGTGAACTTTTAATATAATTTTTTAATACTAATTAATAATTAAAATATAATTACTAATTAAAGTAATTCAAAAAAGCTAAGATATTACTTAATTACATATGCATTAATTAATTGGATAATTGAATAATTATCCTAGTGTAATTAGGATAAATAGAAATATGCATTAATTTATTTCCTAATTTAATTTGATTTCCAACGTGCATTAGGGTTTAGGACGTTGGAAGATATCTATTTGTATATAAATAGAGGAGCTGAATGAGCAATTGAAGACATATAACAAATATTTTCATCTCCAAAATCCGTACATTAGTCTTGATCAAGTGAACAACTTCCTGCGGATCCAGTCCCTGATGGACGCCTTACCCACAAAAATTCATCAAGTACCTCGACTTTTTCTTCTTTCTCCCTCTACCTATGGTGAACATAGGACGTACCCATTAAAATACGATGGCAACGGCTTATTGACAAAGAGCAAACATGCAATTGTTTCTCAGTTCAAGTCCATAGGTTCTTATTACAAGCACGATTTTGTTTTCTGCAACTTGTTTGGCTTTAGGAGGGGTGATGTGGATAATGGAAGATCATTCGTCTTGGTGAATCCTTTGAAGGGAGAAGTTCTAATGCTCCCAACAACGAGTGACCTCCAAGTTCCACCTAATAGTAGCTACAGCAATGATACTTTTGGCATGGGATTTGATAATATGACCAACACCTACAAGATTGTACGTCTCTCCCGCCATCTAAAGGAGGACCACCAGACAATGGTGACGGCTGAAGTTCTTGTATTGGGGACAAGCTCATGGCAGAAGTTACCCTCAGCTCCCCCTTGCTATCCATCTTGCGCTGTGGCAACATCTACACATGGAGCCGTGCATTGGTTGGTTAGTCGAGATCACACGTCGTCGTCGGTACATATACTTTCTTTTGACTTCAAGAACGAGGAATTCTATTGGACTCCTCATCCCCTTGCCTTAAAGAAAAAGCCGAATCTTTTGGATTCTGTTCACTTGCTTAATTTCAGGGAATCTTTGGCCCTAGTGGATGTTTCTTCGTCAAATATAGAGATATGGGTATTGGTATTGAAAAATTATGATGACAAGAAGAAACATGAGTGGGTGCTAAATTACAAAATATATATGCACAAATATCCTCTTCGTCTTGGGACTTTTGTGTCTGGGGTTTTCGACTTTGGCGAGTGGGAGCACGGTATATATTTCCACGAGCAGAACAATCGCTGTAGGAGAATTATATTATTTGTGGATCTAACACATAGGTCCATGAAGAGTGTACTACTCAAAGATAGACAAACTCGTATGACGATCCATAGTTGTACCGACAATATGATTTCTCTAAAGAATTATGGGGATTTGGTTGAAGAAGAAGAAGAATGGCACTCAAAGGTTATTCTATGAGAGTGAACAAAGAGGAAGTTTGTGATCCTATTATTTCTATTTTATATTTTTCTTTTTTTAATATATCGGGAAAATTTTGAACTTCTGAACTCTTGTAACATTCATACAATTTTTAATGCCGTGGCCAATTAGTTACTGGTGTGTCAAGTAATAATAAAATTAGAATACAGTGTTTTTTCATGTAATCAAAACACTGACCCAGCGAGTTTCTTATCAGTTTGATAATATCCAACATCCCCAGTATCACTGACGTAATGATCACGTTTCATGCTTGTTATAAGTTAAGAACTCCCAATAAGTGAAGTGGGAGAGGCCCAGATTTCTTTGGCTCTCTGTAGTACTTCCCAAGCACAGGCTTAGCTGCCTCCATCTGAAAAGATTAATATGAACAAGAACCATATCAAAATGTTCCGGCTAAATGGTGTTTAGGCATAAGTGGTACTCACTGCTTCTACTAAGTTATAATGTGGGATTGAAGGGATATAGGTGATGTATGACATGGGTTCCAATGTCATGATCGATGTTGTTGATCAATCCGTAGTCTAGATGGAGGGTTGTCAATCCTCCTCTTAGATAACTCCATTCCTGTCTGATAAACGCAGAACGTCCAAAGACATTAATGTGAGAATGAGAGAATGAAGACTTATTGGTAGAGATTTTCATTTTCTGCCAATTATGTAGAAGCACAAGAAATAGAACCGCCTTAGAGCTTACGCATTTGGCCCGGACCCATTACGAAAGACAGACCGACTAGCAGCGCAGCCATTGCTGTCCAACAGGCAGTGGAGGTAGTGATATTTTTCCTTTCATTTGGGACAAACAATTCGCTGTTTGGATCAAAATGAGAGCCACTCTTTCCTGGACTTCGACTCCTCTGTGATTGAAAGAAATCAGCATCATATACCCAATCAGAGAAAGAAATCCCCAAGCTCATTAATTATGTAAATAACTAAGAAGCAAGACAGAGGTCTCACCAGATAGAAAGGGTAAGCAAGCATAGGGAATGGCAAGGTGAACATCAATGTCTGAGTAGCCTTATCCAAAGTCTTCTAAACTTTCTCAATTAACAGCATATCAGATGATGGATAGTACTAATTCAATGACTGAATGGCTCTTGGGCTATTGAGAAATTAATTATTTTGTGGACTTTTTCTATCTGCTTCTCTAGATTTTGTTACTTGTCACTACATGAAGATATCTAGCAAATAACAATTTTTTTTTTTGGCTTTCATCTGGCAAATAACTTCTTTGGTTTTGCCTTCATCTAGCAAATAACATGTTGAATGTGGTGGTGATCAATAGTGATAAGGCTTCGAGTTCTAGGGACTTGGCTAGACCTGCTGTCGCCAACACAAATAGAAGTGAAAGATGTCGCGTTTATATACAATGTTTCACTCTACGACAGGAGCCAAGAATAATAAATTTGCCGAATACTTTGTCGTCTTTTTTCTTCGTACGATTTCATTACGAAAAAAAAGAAAAATTAATGGGTTCCTTAACGTTACATGTCCATGGTTTTGAGCTAGGATTTCATGTGTGTGGAGACCTCTCACAAAATATCTATATAAAAATTTTGAACTCATAATACATACAAAAATTAACTCGGAGGATGAAAATATTATATATATATATATATATATATTTATACCACATAAATGTTGGACCTCCTACGACTTGCTTAATTTATATACCTTCTCTCTTGAGGACTTAATTCTCGGTTGTTGTTGGAAGTTTGAATGAAATTTAATGACTTTTGTCCCACATTGGTATAAAGAAAAAGTGAGGTCTTTATAAGTGTGGTAGCCCTACAACTAGTAATTGGAAGTTGAGCCAAGTAGAAGCCAATTGGGCTTCAAATTCAACTTGGACATTGAGTATATAATATATAATATTTATTTATAAAAAAGATGGCCTTGGGCCTTGGGGCACTTGGGAATTTAAGATTTAAATTAATTTCAGTGGGGGCCTATTTTGTTTTTTATTTTTATTTTTAAATAAATAGTATAATATATTGCCGTTTAATAATCGTGTTATACACATACATATGTATTTTACAGCAATACTTCCATTTTTCGTACACAAGGAAAACGCACAATACATGTGAGGATGGCGTGGTCAGGTCGTGGGTGAGAAAAAAATAGGGGGACGGGGGAAGGGGTGGGGGAGGAGAGGAAGAGAAAGGCTTTTCCTTTTTTTTTTCCTTGAAAATAGAAAGACTAAAATATCCTTAATAATGGATGAAAAATTGGGTAGTGTTAATTCATATGACAAAATATAGATTTGGGATATTTGTTGAAATGTCACCTGAACTTATACCTTATTTTCAATATTTGTCACCTGAAAAGAAAATTTAAGTGAAATGTCACTTGAATTTTTCAAAATCCATGATTTGTCAGCTGAGTTTAACATCATCCAATTTTCTATATATTTTCAAGGGTATTTTAGTCTTTTCATTTTCAAGAATATTTTTAAAATGGAAAAATTTATTATTAAAAAAATAAAGCTTAAATGTAAAAATGGTTGGGGGTTAAATGTGAAAAGATATATAATTTTTATAATTTCCAAGGGTCTTTTCATAATTTTTTTATAATGATTTTTCCATTTTTAAAATACTCTTGAAAATAAAAAGACTAAAATACCCTTGAAAATAGTTGGAAAATTGGATGATGTTAAACTTAGGTGACAAATCATGGATTTTGAAATATTTTTTTTCAGGTGACAAATTGAAATTAAGGTATAAGTTCATGTGACATTTCAATGAATATCCCTATAGATTTTGAAAAATTCAGGTGACATTTCTTATAATTTTTCTTTAAGGTGACAAATTGAAACTGATGTATAAGTTTAGGTAACATTTCTATAAAAATCCCGATGCTAAACATAGAGACTTGGAATCCTCTTGTAAGATATGATAGTTATTTTTTTTATTCTTTAAGACTGAAGGATTTACCCTTTACATCGTAGAAATCATTATACCTTTGGCATATGCTTTATTCTTTTTATACCACATGATATGACAATTCTATCTAAATTGTCACTTAAATAAATATGAAGAAATGTATTTTAATAATATTATCATTATTTAATAATGGAATATCTAATTATTATTCGGTACGATTCACCAAAAGTTACCAAAGAAGGATGAAATCAACGGTTCTTCAATTCAATGCAATCAAATTTTGTTCATTATTTCCTTCTTCTTTGAGAGCTATGAATATTATGTAAGTTCTTTCTTAATATATGAGAAAAAAGAGAAATTATGTTAAATATATATCGTGGTGAAAGAAAAGAAAAATGTTTACCCAGAAAAAAATATATATACATATTAATCGAGAGAGAGGGGCAAGCACGTTACTCTTTACTTGTTGAAATTCCTGGGACGATATAAAACCTAGTGTAAATAGGATAATTAGAAATATGCATTAATTTATTTCCTACTATCGTAATGAAAGTTATAAGTGGGAACAAATATTTATTTTATAATTTAATTGGATAATTAAATAATTGTCCTAGCGTAATTAGGATCACTAGGAATATGCATTAATTTATTTCCTAATTTGATTGGATTTCCAACATGCATTAATTTATTTCCTAATATCGTATTGAAAGTTATAAGCAGGAACAAATACTTATTTTCTAATTTAATTGGATAATTAAATAATTATCCTAGTGTAACTAGGATAAATAGAAATATGCATTAATTTATTTCCTAATTTAATTTGATTTCCAACATGCATTAGGGTTTAGGATGTTGAATTAAAATATTGGACGATATCTGGTTTTATATAAATAGGGTGGATGGGGGAGCGCTGGATGAGCAATTGAAAACATATAACCGTTTTGACCAAAAAAAGAAAAAAGAAAACATATAACCGTACATTCCGCTAGCCCGAGTGAACAACTGCCTGCAGTCCCAGTTGAACAGCAAGATGATGGACGCCTTACCCACGGAAATTCTTACCGACATCCTGTCGAGGCTGCCGGTAAATTCAGTTTGTTGCATCAGATCTGTATCGAAGGCTTTGTTAAAGACGGTTGACGACGTCTCTTTTCCCACGTTGCACATGCGGCGTCGTTTATTTGATAATGTTCCTCAAGTGCCTCGACTTGTTCTTCTTTCTCGCTCTTGTTCCTTTTATCAAAGGATGCACCCATTGAAATACGACGGCAACGACTTATTGACAAGGAGCAAAATTGTTTCTGAATTGGAGTCCCCACAGTGTTCTTATACGCATGGTTTTGTTTTCTGCAACTTGTTTGGCTTTACTAGTCTTAATACGGAAAATGGAAGGTCATGCTTGTTGGTGAATCCTTTCAAGCGAGAATTTCTAATGCTCCCAACAACGAGTGACCTCCAAGTTTATAGTTTCTTCCATGATACTTACGGCATGGGATTTGATATTATGACCAACACCTACAAGATTGTTCGTGTTTCTCGCTATCAAAAAGAAGTGGTGGCGGCTGAAGTTCTTGTATTGGGGACAAGCTCATGGCGGGAGTTACCCTCAGCTCCCCCTTGCTATCCATCCTGCAATGTGGGAGCTTGTAGACATGCATTAGAGGTCTCTTGCTATCCATCCTGCAACTACGTGGCAACATCTACGCATGGAGAAATGCATTGGCTGGTTAGGGGAGATGACAAATCGGCACATATACTTTCTTTTGACTTCAAGAACGAGGAGTTCTATTGGACTCCTCATCCCCTTGCCTTAAAGAAAAAGCCGAATCTTTCGTTTTTTGTTCACTTGCTTAATTTCAGGGGATCTTTGGCCCTAGTGGATGTTTCTTCGTTAGATATAGAGATATGGGTATTGGGATTGAAAAATTATGATGATAAGAAGAAACGGGAGTGGGTGCTAAAGTACAAAATAGATATGCAACAACATCCTCTTTGTTTTGGGAGTCATGAGCCTTGGCATTTCAAGTTTGGCGAGTGGGAGCAAGGTATATTTTTCCACGAGGAGAACTATCTTGGTAGGAGGAGTATATTCTTTATGGATCTAACATGTATGTCCATTAAGAGTGTACTAATCAAATATAGACAAGATTCTACGGTCTATAGTTGTACCGACAGCATGATTTCTCTAAAGAATTATGGAGATTTGGTTGAAGTAGAAGAACAAAGGTACTCAACATTTATTTTTGAGAATGAAGCAATCACCTCCTATGAAGACGACTAGGATACTCTTTCTAAATTGACACTTAAATAAATATGATGAAATGTATTTTAATAATATTATCATTATTTAATAATGGAATATCTAATTATTATTCAGTATGATTCACCAAAAGTTACCAAAGAAGGATGAAATCAACGGTTCTTCAATTCAATGCAATCAAATTTTGTTCATTGTTTCATTCTTCTTTGAGAGCTATGAATATTATGTAAGTTCTTTCATACAAATGATAAGCGGATTCTTCTTTCTTTGAAAAGTTATTCGACATAACATATGTATCTGTTCATGTTACACAATACTGATATGTGTATTTACTCTTATTCAAAAAGTCTTTGATTCAGTTACTTGGCTAAGAGTGGCGCACTTCTTCAATTACATCCTTAAAACACCACCCCAAACAACACACTAATTGCATCATTCAACAAACCAATCAATACAGCATATTACTGGTTCATTGATTTATTATTGACCAAATGGGGTAACAGACTCAAACACACACTTTTGTTTTAATACAAGTGACAGTCTAAACTATATAATCAAATTTACGAGACTTAGTGTGCAAGTCCTAACCAAATGACCTAACCCGCACCAAACAACTCAAACACTATTATTGCAACACTGCAAAAACCCTAGCTGCTTGCGACTATTGAATTCAACTCAAATTCCAAAATGATGATGGGGTTGGAGTACATTCTACTGAAAAACAACACTAGTTTGTGGGCTTGGCGTTGGCGTTGTCGTTGCGATGGTGAAAGAAGGTGGAGAAATTGGAGGAGAGGTCGGAGTAAAGCGAAACGACCTTGACCATGTTGTCGGCGACTCGAGAGCGGTGGTTGTCGTTCACCTGCTGGATCAGGGCTCGGTTCCGATCCAGTACGGCCTGTACCTCGCGGAACCTGCGGTTAAACTGGTCCCACACCTCCGCATCCTCAGCTTCCTCTTCTTCGTCGACTGAGGGTGAGCCCGAAACGCTGCGTTTAGTTGGGGTTTTGTGGTGGCTGACGTCCATGCTCGATTCCGCTCCGGAGGAGGAATCCCGGGTGGTCATGAGCATGGAAAACGTGCGCTATTGGTTGGGTTGAACAAGGAAACAAATTTCTAGCAATCAAAAATACATCACCAGGGACCGCACAATAAATTTCATACGTGCGTGCTAGACTAGTAATGCTAAGTGCAAATAATTAAATAATGACGTTTAATTAAAATTACAATGATCTCATTAACTTTCATCAAAATTACCAACTAGCTTTTCCAATGTAGGAAAAATTACAAATTGGGACAATGATTCAGAAAGGATGGATCAGATGAGAGGTAGAGTAGAGGGTACAGTACAACTAGTCAGTTGGCTTCCTTCCTCTTCCTCCCAAGTACAGAAGCTCTCTCGAATCGGGGGCCACCTATCCGCCACTTCTTAAAGGCCGCCATTGACGACTGAGCTGCCTCATACACTAAAAACAATTGTGTAACCATTTTGGGTCAACATTCATATAGAAGAAGTTTGCGAGACAGTGATGAAAGATATGATAAAACATGTAGGGTGACATAAATCTTACGATTGGTTTCTTCTTTTGTTAAGTACGACAGCAATTTTGAATGTGCTGTAAATGCTGCGTTATGTGCCTTTGCCAGGATTTTCTGATACCTGGTCCTAAATGCAGATAATAGGAATGATCCCATGTCTCTATCACCAACCCTATCCATCCAAATGATTCAAACAAAATAAAGAAAAAACCAGTTAGAATCAGTTTGTCTGGCCACAAATAGTACATGTGAACAGCACAGATTGTTGAGTGTCCAATTTACCACCCAAAAACAAGAACAGAAAATAAATCATCCAGTTGTATTTCTTTGGATTCAGACAAGAAGCATCAGTCGACACTAAATGCCCTCCTACCAGATCATAAACCACACTAGGCCAAGTCTACAAAGTGAAGGTCCAAATGTTAAACCAAGAGTGCCAAGCCAACCAATAAATGTCCTCAACGTTACACATATTGGTTTTTCTTTTTCTATTTTCGCTTTTAGCGTTTTTCTCATTCACTTTTGTGTGTCAGATATACTAAATTAATCTATTGTATGGACCTGGCTTTCATAGGAGAAACTCAGGGTTTTATATCCCTTGACCAAAATTTTCAATAGCTGATGTTGGAGAAATTGAATTACTTCAGGAATAGTTTTCATTTTCAAATTGACAAAGAACAAGATCATGACAATTCACAGTGAAAAAAGTTAATCCAGAATGGGAGTCTTGTCATATACCATTTTCTCAACCTCTACCACACTAAGGTTCATTTATATGAAATATCCACCTATTAGAAGATAACTCAAAGAAAAGCATAAAGAGAACACACTGATCAAGTTATGTATACAAGAAATGGGTAGGAGAGAGACTCACAGCGGTGCTATCTTGCATCCAAATTCATAGAAGTATAGACATCGAGATCTTAAATCCACAGATGCACCATCAGCCCCAAGTTCCAGTTTTGTTCTGACAAAAGAAGAAATCTACAAGGGTTAAATATGTAATACAAATCACTAATTTTGAACTTTGAACTTGAATCACATAAGTCACTCTTCATGTCTTCCCCAAAATCTAATACATGCCTGGGGGCTGGTAACAACTATGTTTGATCAATACCAACTAATAAATTCAATGATATGACAATTAAAACATAATATAACGCATAGAAGAAATGTCTGGATATCAGATTTCAAAGACGAAAATAATTGAAAACCGATTACCACTTGCCAGAATGAATCTCCCAGCAACTCAGCCCTAAAAAATGGCCATAAATTATTTTGAAATAAACCTATACAGATCATTACCTTTGATTGAAACATGCAGGAACCTTCATCTTTGCTACTTTTCTGAGGTGTAACTCGTGAGCAAGCCAGTAAGGCAGCTCTACCTTTGAACCGGGTTCAACCTGAAATACAGGCCCAAGAAGATATAAGAAAATATCTCCTTTGAACAAAAACCATTCACTCCAAATCCACTCTGGTCACTTACACAATGGGTTTCAGCACTAGGATCAATATCAACCCCATTTACTGCTTGCTGGAAAACAACTGGGACACGCTGCTTGGAAACAGCAAACATGTTTAGAACACAGAATTAAAATGACCAAGTAAATAAAGCAAATGGAGTTTAGATTTGAAGGATACAAAGAGACGAGAATTAACCTGTTCCTCCACAAGAATATCATCAATGTCATAGTAACTTGCCATTTTCAGAAAAGATCCCACTCGCCGTACAATGCTCCCTGCCTTCTCCAGGACAGACTCCTGCAGCAACGGATCCATGAGCCAGCAAAACCCAAAATGACATATAGAATGTAAGGCTAAAATTTTGACATTCTAGTTTAATAAAAGGTATTTAAAGCGGTCTAAATTGCTTAGGATTTCGCATATTTATGTGACAGTGTCGCATTTGAAAAAATTTGGGTTTACGAGGTGTAATTGGATTCTACAGACATGTCAAACCAACGGATTCAAGATTTCTTGTTTATGCCAATTCAAAATGAAGGGATACCAAATATCAAGAAGTTATGAACTCTATGAAGCATTTTGACAAACAAGTTGCAGGCAAGAAACAGACCTCATTGATTTCATAGAAGAAGCATATATAATTATTTTCTTTCTTTCTCTGGCCGAGTATAGGGTAAAGACTACTCAGAAAAGGAGATAAACCCCACAAATGCCCAATTAGTAAAACATACATATGATATCCAACTAATCCTAACTTCAAAAGCAAGATCAAGCCGGCCATGAATCTACTGCATCACATAGAGTTGAAATTAATTATATCGAAGTTCAGAATTACCTGAGTTCCTGTTTCCCTTTTTCTTTTTTGGGGGTGAAATCTGTGGCCGACGAGAGAGCTTTAACTAAAACGGAGGGAAGAAGACGATCCAAAAAATGAAATGAAATGAGGCGGGAAGAGGGGCTATAAAATTTTGAAAGAGTAAAGCCGGGCGGCTAAACTGTAGTTTCTATTTTTTTATTTTAAATAGTACGACCCCGCGGCTATGCGTTTTTTAATTACAATTTATAAATAAACCCAATCCTAGACATGGTATTTATAAAAAAACTCAAACACTATTTAAACATAGAAACACACCCAAAATCAACAATTGTATATTTTTTGGGTGTGTTTATAAATGGGTTTTGAGTGTGTGTAATGATGGATTTTGGGTGTGTTTATAAAGTGTTTTGGGTGTTGAGTTTTTTTATAATTTCAGCCCCCATTTTGGGGTGTTTTAATGAAACTCCCTTTTTTAATTTGTTTATATTTTTATTTTGGCCAAATTGTAGCAATAGTCTCTAGACTATACTCCAACTTTACTTTTCGTCCCTCACATTGTTTTCTTGTTAGGTTTTAGACATAAAAAAAATTTCACTTTTGAAAAAAGCCAAAGTTTTTTCAAAAAAGACAAAAAAACCGCGCAACTTTCAAATTAAAGACATGCAAATGTATTGGATTCCTTAGGAAATCTAAAAATAAATAAGGGCATTTTTGTCCACTTTCGCTTCTTTTAAAATTTTTCTCTCTCCTTTTGTTTTTTCCAAAATGTCCCTTTGTTGTTATCGTGGTACTTTAATTATGCCTTCAGTTACAGAAACTGTCCTTGCCGTCATCTCTGTCAAATTTTCCGTTAAAAATTATGACATGGCATTGACAAGTCCTACTTGGCATGGACAAAAATGTATTTTCGCACACAAAAAAAAAAAAAAAAAAAAAAAAAAAAAAAAATCATATCATATCTCTCTCTTCCAGCCCGATTCCTCCCCCTCTCCCAATTAGGTCGGAGGTTCGCTCTCAACCATGAAAAATTTCTAAAGCTTCCTCCCAATATCCATTTGAACTGCAAAACACCATATATGGAAAAAGTATCCGGTAACAACCCATCCATTCGTAACCTATAGAGGCCAAGGAAGGGATTTTGGAGGAGGTTGGTGGGCTGTGTAGCTAAAGCCATGTTTAAATGATTGGTGGGGGCTGGGAAGAAATTGGTGGGCGGAAGAAGAAATATGGGTGAGAAGGGAACTTGATCAAAAATCAATGCAAGAAGAATATATGAAAATGGGACAGACAATGCAAGCTGACCACCTAGATACCCATAAACCCTCTGCTTCTCTGTTTTGATCAGATCTGAGGTGGACGATGAGGGCTGGGGTTGCGGCTACGGTAGAGAGTGGCTGTGGGATAGTTCGAGGGTTGGAGCTTGCAGGTGGTAGTCATGGGGAATGAGGAAAGAAGAAATCGTCGGGGGAAGAGGGAGAGTGCACAAGAGGGGAGGGGAGGAGAGAGAGAGAGAGAGAGAAATATATATGAATTTTCCAATTTGCCCTTAATTTTGACAGAAAATTTAACTAAGTTGACGGAAAGACCAATGATGCAACACAAGATCTAATTGAAACACCACGGTAACAACAAAACAATGTGAGGGCGAAAAGTAAAGTTAGAGTATACTCTAGGGACCATTGCTACAATTTAGCCTTTTATTAAAGAGTATAACCGTGCGGCTATACGTTTAAAATATTCTTTAAAGCGACTTATTCAGGTCAGTGTCTTACTGTTGTCTTTGATCTCGCTCTCTTGTTGGTCATGGACTCAAATCTGTTACTCTCTTTAAAACATTGGATGAGAGATGTTCTAGCTTAGTTAAAACATTGGATTCTGCAAAGCAAGAATGATTTTAGAGAAAAGAAAATACGATCATGTCATATCAAAGCACAATGCTGATGAAGATCAAGCTAGTTCTGTTGAAGCAAGCTCAGTCTGCTCAAGAGGAGGCTCAGGACTGGAAACAAAAGCTGCTCTAGAGAAAGCTGCAGTTGTCCAAGAACGTTCAAATACGGAAACACAACAGAGAGAAGATGTTTTGAGGGAAGAATTTGCTACTAGTTTGGCTGAGAAGGTGATCCTCTCTCTCTCTCTCTCTAGACAGTTGATGCTAGTTGACTTGTTGAGAGTGATCTAATTGTATTGTTCTGATTTACTCTTGCAATTGTTAGTTGTTGTGAGTTGGCTTTATGTTAAAAATATGCAGAAAACTCAACACCCACCAGCTTAGTTCTGCCTTGGCTTTATGTCTCATCCATATTAAGAACAGAAACAATTCCATTCTACTCTTATTATCACAAGTGCTTTCATGCATTAGGCCAATGCCGGTTAAAAATCCGATGATTCTTCTACTCTTATTATCACAAGTGCTTTCATGATTCTTCTATCTTTTGAGGTGCCCTTTGTGAAAATCTACACTCCTATAAAGGTGTTTATAAACAAAGCACAATAATGGTATGTGTGGTTAACATTGGAGAGTTGAGCCAATAATTTTGGCTTTGAATTTGGCTTTCATTAATAAATAATTATATTAATCAAAGACTTGGGCTATGAAGAAATTAATTATTTTGTTGACTTTTTCTATAATTTTTTTTATACTAATTAAAAATTAAAATATAATTACTAATTAAAGTAATTCAAAAATGCTAAGATATTACTTAATTACATATATTAAATTAAAGAAGTATGCCAAAAAACAAAAGTAAAGAAATTAATTCTATGTTTTTAAAATTTTAAAAAGAAAAAAAACTGTCCCAATGAAAGTTCGTCGGCATAGGTCTATGCTGGCGAAATTTCACGGATTAAATTTTCTTTTAAAAGAGTATAGCCGGGCAGCTATACTATTTATAATATTAAAAAAAAGGATGCACCCAACGCATAGGTACCACGTGTCATAACAATAAAGCCGGGCGGATATACTATTTTTCAAAATAAAAAAAAAAAAAAAAAAAAGAAGTAGACGCACGGCTATACGGTTTCTTTCCAAAAATAAAAAAGAATCTAGTATAGCCGGGGCGGCTATAGTATTTCAGCGCATATGCGCCACGTGTCAAACAGGAACAGCCCTGCGGCTATACTATTTTGTTTTAAAATTTTGAAAAAAGGAGTATAGCCGCCGGCTATGCTGTTTTTAAAGACAATTAGGGAAACACTAAGTATAGCCGTGAGGCTATACCGTTTAAAATATATAATCCAGAAACAAGGGCAAGTACGTTACTCTTTACTTGTGTAAATAGGATAATTAGAAATACGCTTTAATTTATTTCCTAATATCGTCATGAAAGTCATAAGGATCACTATGAATATGCATTAATTTATTTCCTAATTTGATTGGATTTCCAACATGCATTATTTTATTTCCTAATATCGTATTGAAAGTTATAAGTAGGAACAAATATTTATTTTCTAATTTAATTGGATAATTGAATAATTATCCTAGTGTAATTAGGATAAATAGAAATATGCATTAATTTATTTCCTAATTTAATTTGATTTCCAACGTGGACGTTGGAAGATATCTATTTGTATATAAATAGAGGAGCTGGATGAGCAATTGAAGACATATAACAAATATTTTCATCTCCAAAATCCGTACATTAGTCTTGATCAAGTGAACAACTTCCTGCGGATCCAGTCCCTGATGGACGCCTTACCAACAGAAATTCATCAAGTACCTCGACTTTTTCTTCTTTCTCCCTCTACCTATGGTGAACATAGGATGTACCGATTAAAATACGATGGCAACGGGTTATTGACAAAGAGCAAACATGCAATTGTTTCTCAGTTCAAGTCCATAGGTTCTTATTACGAGCACGATTTTGTTTTCTGCAACTTGTTTGGCTTTAGGAGGGGTGATGTGGATGATGGAAGATCATTCGTCTTGGTGAATCCTTTGAAGGGAGAAGTTCTAATGCTCCCAACAACGAGTGACCTCCAAGTTCCACCTAATAGTAGCTACTGCAATGATACTTACAGCATGGGATTTGATAATATGACCAACACCTACAAGATTGTACGTGTCTCCCGCCATCTAAAGGAGGACCACCAGACAATGGTGGCGGCTGAAGTTCTTGTATTGGGGACAAGCTCATGGCAGGAGTTACCCTCAGCTCCCCCTTGCTATCCATCTTGCGCTGTGGCAACATCTACACATGGAGCCGTGCATTGGTTGGTTAGTCGAGATCACACGTCGTCGTCGGTACATATACTTTCTTTTGACTTCAAGAATGAGGAATTCTATTGGACTCCTCATCCCCTTGCCTTAAAGAAAAAGCCGAATCTTTTGGATTCTGTTCACTTGCTTAATTTCAGGGGATCTTTGGCCCTAGTGGATGTTTCTTCGTCAAATATAGAGATATGGGTATTGGTATTGAAAAATTATGATGACAAGAAGAAACATGAGTGGGTGCTAAATTACAAAATATATATGCACAAATATCCTCTTCGTCTTGGGACTTTTGTGTCTGGGGTTTTCGACTTTGGCGAGTGGGAGCACGGTATATATTTCCACGAGCAGAACAATCGCTGTAGGAGAATTATATTATTTGTGGATCTAACACATAGGTCCATGAAGAGTGTACTACTCAAAGATAGACAAACTCGTATGACGATCCATAGTTGTACCGACAATATAATTTCTCTAAAGAATTATGGGGATTTGGTTGAAGAAGAAGAAGAATGGCACTCAAAGGTTATTCTATGAGAGTGAACAAAGAGGAAGTTTGTGATCCTATTATTTCTATTTTATATTTTTCTTTTTTTAATATATCGGGAAAATTTTGAACTTCTGAACTCTTGTAACATTCATACAATTTTTAATGCCGTGGCCAATTAGTTACTGGTGTGTCAAGTAATAATAAAATTAGAATACAGTGTTTTTTCATGTAATCAAAACACTGACCCAGCGAGTTTCTTATCAGTTTGATAATATCCAACATCCCCCGTATCACTGACGTAATGATCACGTTTCATGCTTGTTATAAGTTAAGAACTCCCAATAAGTGAAGTGGGAGAGGCCCAGATTTCTTCGGCTCTCTGTAGTACTTCAAGTTTTGGGCTTTCTCCATCGTTTAACACATTGATAATGGAGAATAGTAATTTCCATAATTCGATTTTTTCTTTTTCTTTTTTCCCCTTTTTGCTGGTTTCTGACTTTGGTGTTCCAAAGTGGTAGGCCACTCCATGAATGCGTTTTGAATCTAATTTTCCATGTCCTAAAAAAAAGTCTTGCTGGTATTTACTCTTTTTAACCCCCAACAAAAACATAACTCTCCTCCCTAGTTTCTTCTAGGTTTAGAGTTTGAGAAATATATATGGGAGAGGGAAAGAGACAACTCACAACTACTACTCAAACACACTCAAATACATAAAGAAGGAAGTATATATATTTTTTACGATTTTAATGCTTCAGAAATTTTGATTGTCATGAATTTGAATATATTTTAAAAGTTGAAGAAATAACTCTAGCCCAATGGGCTAATAGTTGGAAATTAGAATGGGTTGTATCGGATATTCCTCAATATCACGTGTATAAATAAAATAATTGAAGAAATAACTCTACCCTAATGGGCTAAAGTGGTATTTTAGTGCTAAAGCCTACAACAATCTGACAAAATTGTCACGTTAAAATTTAAGCAAAAATTCCGAAAAATAATGCACTTTTGAATTTTAAATAGCACAGCCGAACGGCAATACTGTTTAAATATTCGAACTTATTTCAAAGTATAGCTGTATTTAAACATATGCGACCTAGTCCCACTGAATCTCCCTATAAAAAGTCCAGCCGGAAGGATTTAATGTTGTCTTTCCATCAGCAGCAACAAGATCATATGGTGAATCCTCTGCAAATTCTAATGGCATGGATTTCCAGTGTAAGCTTGGCTTCCAGTCAGCTTCCCTCAGTACCTTCAGTATCTCTTCCACCACTATTTTGCTCCCTTCAGCAGATAAATGAATCCCATCTCTGGAAAAGATAAGCAAGATCGAGTTTCTTTATGCCGGGAAATAAGATACGAATTGAAACTACATGAAACATTAACTGATAGATTTAGTTCAGTATAAACGTCCATAATGACACCTTCAAAGAGATATCTTAACAGCAGTCAATAGATTTCATCCCTACTTCACATTGCTTCAAATCCTATGCCTAAGATCATCTGAAAGTTACCCACAACGGATGGAGGAATGAAGCCTTCTCTCTGGAGAGAGGACATTAAACATTTTTTCCCTCAAATAGATGGATCAAATAATATTGTATGAGCTATTGACTGAAAAACAAACATTCTTCACAACTGAATCAAAGAAGGGTCACAAGTCTGCTTAAAAGGGTTTGATTATGTGCCAGATAGGCACACCTGTAGCCAGACGCCTGCGGTCTGCAGGTGTAATGGCAATCAACCATATAGATTATGGCTAATTATCAGTATAATCATCACTCCAGGAATAAATTACCGCTTTAGTAAAACCCCACTAGCAACACGAGGTGTGTGAGGAAACAAAGATATAAGGTATACAAAAGAACTAAAGTTTTAGGCAGGGCAATTGATGATTTAAAAGCTATATAATGCAAATGTCAAAGTTGAGCGTATTAGCAAAAATGAGAGAGCAATATGGCCAAGTTAACTTACGTAAAACAAGCGTTCAACCAGTCATCTGTTTTCTGAAATGCAGTAAAAAGATCAACAACCTTGATATCCATTTCCTGGCACAGCTTTATACAAGCTTCCGAATACTGTTGGCATAACTCGTTTGTTCTTACTATCTCGCTGAAAATCCCGCTGTTTTCAAAGAGGAAAAACAAGAATTACAATCGGAATTGTGTCATAGACATATGCAAAGATAAACTGTAATTACAAGAGTGGCATCCGAGCACCTTGTACTTCCACGAATTATCGCCTCATTCACAGGAGGACAACTAAGAAAAATGGTGCGTGTTGAGGCTGAAAGGCTCTGCTTTCAAATATATATGTGTTAGAATGCATTAAATTATTCTCAGTTAGATATGCGAGCAGGATACTCTCATTTCAGGATGGCCCTAACAAAACCAGAATCGAATTATTGCAACTACATATGAAAACATGTGTTTTTCATTATTCTTGATAATGAATCAAATTCATCTTCAGAAGTTCAAGAGTCATCCCTTTCAGGAATCTATAGCTCTAATTAACGGAAACACTGAATTATTTTGATTGTGAGAAAAAGTACCTTGACATGACTTGCAATCTTTCTCATGTTGTCAATGTATTCAGGAAGTGGTACATGAGGGCCTAGGCCAGATGAATGAGGCCCCATAGAATCATTACCGCCAAAATATACAATCACCAAAGAAGGTTGCACAGCAGCATCCTAGAATAAGAACACAAATGCATCAGTCGAGTCAGAGCACGCTGTGTACATTATTAAAGCCTAAATAATTGACTAGAAAAGAAACAGCCTAAACAAAGAAAAATCTAAGTTTGCAATCTTATAATACACAAAAGGATGCGACTTACTGTTGACCCAAAAACAAAGCAAAAATGTCACCAGACAAACAATCTAGTTTGCACATGTTAAGTTCTTATAAAACGTTACAATCAGAAGAAACATCATCAGACACCATAGATGCATAATACTTAATGTTGGTGAATTTATCTTTCGATCCAACACAACACAACCCATCTCGTGTTTCTTTTTGACAAAGATTTTATTTGTTTACCATTGTTCTCCAAAGATGCTAACATTACAATTATTGTATGTGATATTCTAATACTTCCAATAATTATATTATAAAGAAACTTGATCAAGCACATAGTGAAAAGAATATTATTTGCAGCTGATGAAAGCATAATACCTTGGGGAAAACTTGATCTAGGACCTCTACAGCTCGCCGTGAATTCCAACCAAAGTAACCACGCAACAATATGTCTGCCTGAAACAAATGAAAAACCCAACAAGATGGGATGAAACAATTAAAATTTAGAATGAGATTTTGAAAACCAAGTGAACCATTTCTAAGAAAGAGCCTTTAAAGATGAGAAATTTGATAGCTAGGTTTGAAGTTTGACAGGGAAAAATCGAAACTTGAAAGCAACATTAACGACCCAAGTGAGAAAAAACAGGGGTAGAGACAGAGAGTGAGAGACAGAACTCGACGAGAGTAGATGTCAGAGAGAATGGCACCCCAACCGCCGTGGTCGTAGCTCATCTGGACTATGGAGGATCCGAACAGAACAAACAGAGGCCTTGCCGGTCCCACCATCTCTCTCAGTCTCTCTAAAAGGACGAGCCGTGTAAGCTAAGCGGTTGAATCACCGGACTGGGTGGAGAAGTATGTTAGGATGAACAGTACCACTACCACCTGCACCTGCGTGGGAGCTCCTAATATTCTTTTATTTTATTTTCTTTTTGCTTGTAGCTATATATAAAAGGAGGGGCATTGGCACATTGCCATGATAATATGACGTACAGTTTTGGTATTATGGTTGGACATGGACCAGAAACAAATTAAACATGACAAAATAAAATAATATTTTAATTCACAATGGGAGTAAAGAGTTAATATTCTTCCCTCACAATGCAAAAGGTAGGCAACTTTTCAAGCTTTCACTAATTTAACCGTCGAAGAATCATCCATAGGACTACTTGAAATCACCCCCTAAGCAATCAGCCAATGGAAATCCACATTATTTTATCATTTTATAAAGCCAACACTTGAGATGTGGCTTCTTGCCAATCAACTTAAACCAATTGGAAAATACTTCTCTTGTTGCGTAAAAGTTCTTACATTCCTGCTAATAGTAGTGTGACATGTGTGCATAAGTATTTTTTGAGTATTTTTTATAAATTATTTTTGCATAACATATATATCAAACTGTTATTTACAATAAAGAGTAATATCTCTTTATAGGGAAGGAGGCAAACACTATTCTAAATCAAATATCTTGTCCCTTGGAATGAAAATAAAATAAAGTTGGAGATAGAAAGGGCGTAGGTATGGTAAAAGCTGGTAAATACTAAATAGGTCACCAAACTTCGCTGACCAACTACCCATTCACATTAAATGTACCTTATGACTTGTTTTTTTTCTTTTTACCTTTTTTTTAAATAAAAAATTTCTGTTTCTGATGGGGACTTGTTTATATTCACGTACCAACTTGGCTTTCAATACCCACCGTCAGATAAAGCCCTTCTTTTTTCTGCTAGGTAAAAGTTTGATGGAATGCAATCGGGGTTGGAATTGGACAAGTATAACATGAACCCATGAAGGTGTCCCTTTCTCCTGTTTTCTTTGGAGGGTGATATAATTCCATGGAAGGGTGAAGCAAAGTTTGCAGCTTTTGTCGTTAAAGTTCACTATCCAAAATATACCATAATAATACACACCCAACCAAGAATTTATCAGCAAACAAAAGTAGAAGTAGACAATAGTCTAGTCGATTGGACAAGCATCGGAAGGGGACAATAAGGCCTACCGGAATTAATAAGCCAACCACCACCAGAAGAGACATGTATTCCATCTTGTTCCCAGCTATTCTATTATTGCTCTGAATAAGGAAAGGTTTACCTGAGTCTGCAACCAAACAAACCCTTTTGCTATGGGGGCACATGGCGCATAGCATACCCGATGCATGTGTGATTTTCGATGACCAGAGGAAGAGGTTATGATATAACTCATATCAGTTCAAAAGTCTAAAAGTTCTCTGTGCGTATAAGCACATAACTAATATCTCTGATGCCCAGTGTCCATACAGTTCTCCCTTGATGAGGGTTCTATAAAATTGATCAGATCCAGAGAACATTGAGAGTTATTATGCATAAAAGAAAAATGATACAATACATTTCATTTATTCCTTCCAATGCCTTTAAAAAATCGTCTATCAATACATGATCGGAGACCCTGTGTGTAATGGAGAGGCTTGATCTATGGAGACAAAGAATGTGTGTGCCCATTTTTGGGTGACGAATGAAGAAATAATTATAGTTTCCTTAGTTTGTGCAGTACTTTTTCAGTTTCTCCAAGACAAAGATTTCCTGCCTTGTAGAAGCCACAAGGCTACTTGCATTGTAAAAAGTCGAGCTTCCAACAGAATTTTGTCCAACCAAGCACTCAACCAACTTAGGAAGGATCTCTTTTGTGATAGCTTTGCCTCAATGACTGCTTCAGAAGAAACCCTTCCAATGATCATGAATGTCTCAAGAGAAGGTACCTGCAACTGTTTGAGAAGCATTTCAGGTTCAAGGTCAAAAGTCAAAAATTAAAAGTAGAAGACAGCTCAAACTATGGAGACAATAAAAACCCTTATCGACAGAAATCCAACTCACAGGATGTGACAAAATTTGATACAACTTTAGAAAGCCATATAATTAAACTCTGCAGCTACAAAATGGGGCACATAAATGATTGGGGTATCAAGCCAGATACGTGCTCTATTCCAACCACTCACGCATTGTCAGGACATTTGACATACATCCTAGGTAGACAGCAAAAAAGGCTACAAGTACTCACAACAGCAAGTTGACAAACAAGCTTATCTTACTAAAATCAGGTTTTCAATGGTAACAGCACTAAAAAGGTAATAGCAAAGTAATACCAGAGCATTGCTAACTGATCGTAAACAATCATTTGTCTTCAGCATTAAAAGAATCACGCGTGGCAGCCTCCTCAAAAGCTCTGAGATTTGAGAGAAATACTGAGAAGCATACATCTGGCAGACAAAACATTAAGGTACGTTTAAACAGGTGAAAGTGATAAACTATCATTTAGATACCATCCACATCAACAAGAGTTTTAATTGCGAGGCTAGAACAGAATCAGCAACATTGTAACAGCATATAACTCAGGTCTCAAAAATTACGAACATCGTGAAAGCACCGAACCCATTGCAAGAGCTCACCTGCAGTTCTGAACGGTCACTTTCGCTGCCCTGTATAACCAAATGATCAACAGCTGGGTCAATGACCCTATTCCAAGGCCTCATAGTAAGAATCCCTGCAAATAATGCATACAAATCCTCTCCAGCACCTAATTTTGCACTATTTTCTTTTATTGCATTGGCATCAGCAAAAATCAAAGCCTGCAACAATCATAACAACATAGAGAACATAGCGAAGTAAGTTGCTACAATATGGAAGAAAACTATTCCAAGAAAAGCAATGGTGTACCTTCCACAGTTTAGCATAGTTAGTTCTGGTCTCAAAGTCAAGCTCTTTATACAGACCGTGGTCTAGAAGTATCAACTGTGGTTTTTTCTTGCCTGTCCATGAGAAGGCGGGGAAAAACTATTTGAGTTGGGCATGGTCTACATAATGTTCCAAATAATAAAAGAAAGCTCAATGGGCACAATATCCACCAACTGTATGAGTACAACAGATATGTAATACACTTCACAGTCAAGTCAACAACATCAGATTCTACATGGAGTTCTGAAATAATATTTCTCAGGGTTTAGAGAACATAGAGACTTGAATTTTCAACTACTGATGACCTGGCTATATTATGCTTCATACTTATGACCACAAAGTGCATCTACTTATGACAAACTATCACTATCACAGTAAGTTTTCAAAACCCAAATATGATTGAAAACACACAAATACTACCAAACAAGTTTTTTCAGCAGTATTGTAGTCATCCTTGTGATTCAGATGCTTAGCACGATAAAGATATCATGAAAGATGATATGCCAACTTGCTCTCAGAAAAGCACAGTGGGTATTATAATTGCATAAAAGCCAGGCTACGGTTTACTTTCAGTTGTGATCACTAAAAAGTAAAACTAAAATAACATTACTATAAAAATTCTCAAATGATAACCTCAACAATGCAGGAGAGTCTCACCTAGAATGCTCTTTCCACTATAAGGCAGAGGACGGACTAACAAGTTGGCAGCATGTGGGTCACAATGCACAAACCCGTGTTTGAACATCATTTCTGCAAAAGTTTCACTAACCTGCATGAAGTACATCAATTCTTAGTTTCTTTTCTTGCACAACTTGGTCAGAAAATATCCTCACAAGGAAAGTGAAGCACATACAATGAAAACATAAAGGGGGCACAGGAGTCCAAAAACAGCCTTTACTAAGGGTCTATCTATTTAGCTTCAACCTTCAACAGTAGACCCGAGGATTCGATCAAAAGGACAAAAGAAAAAAGAAAAGAAACTCATAGACCCAACGTTGTGGTTCCAATGTCCTAAAACCTTAATTCATTTTGCACAGTCGAATCAATTTGCACTATTATATCTGAATGAAAGGGATCTTTAAGGAGCAAATGTAAATCTGAATGAAACCAAACAAATTTTTTAGAAAACATGATTGTCTAAATATAGATTGTCAGAATTTGACATGAAGCTCATGGACTTACTAATCTTGCAACTTCATCAGGTCGAATTCCAAGTCTTTTAATGGTCTTCACATCATTTACTTCTGCGCCATCCATAAATTCCATGGTTAACAACTTTGAGGTACTTAGATTCCAATACACCTTTGGTGCATATACATAAGCTGCAATATGAGGAGAAAGCTTCTGAAAGTTTTCCAAGCATTTCTCACTGTTCTGGGCCTCGTTTATGAAATCTAGTTCCTGATTGCCACAATCACATATGATCAAATGTCAAGAAAGCAACTGAAAATACTAGGTAACACATATTTGTAGTGATAGAGAACTACTTCATGGTTAAGATGAGGTCCAAAGTCCACATGTTTTCTCTATCACTGGCATATTAAGAAAATACGTTTTGTGCCAATAGAAACTTATGAACATATAAACATTTTAGACTAATAGACACATAATGTGGACAGATTTCTACAAGTTTACAAAGAATCCAATCAAGGGTGAGAGATATTTAAGCAACTTGCCTTTGGTAAACTTTCACGCATCTCATCAATCAACCACCTGTTCATGAAAGTAGGAATTAAAAAACAGCAACAATTACCACAAAATTTTTCATTTCTAAGCATGTAAACAAGATCTATGCTTTGTCAGCCAGTCGAACATGGTAATATTTTCATTAATAAGAAACTAGTCAGGACAATTAACAGGTATGAAAGCTTTGGCAGAACTACCTGTAATCAAAAGAAGGGAAAATCCAGTGTAGGGTGTTCACAATAAAATGCACAGTAGCACAGTCTGCAGCTGCAGTATCTGTCATGTGAGTGTGCTGAACCTAAAAGTTGAAAATTATTTGGACAGAGAAAGGAAATTCTAATAAGAAAGATGCATGTTTTAAAATTTTGAATAAATCTGAATGACTACTTGGTTGCACCTAGCAGTAAAAACCCTTATTTGAGTTAAAATTGACAACTGGGACCTTCACAGCCACTTTTTTGCCATCATGATTGCGAGCAACATGGACTTGTGCAAGGGAAGCACTTGCTATTGGAACAGGATCAAATTCAGCAAAAATCTGCATTCAAAAGGCTTATCTCAGAACACGAACAAAACCTTCGTGAAAATTCATCAAAGCGAAAACTATTGAATTTCATCAAAGCAAAAAATTATCAAGTAGCTGATAGAGAATTGAGCATTTAAGAGAGCTTAAACAGCATGTTTGCACGTATGGGATACTAAGATAAACACGTACAACCAAGGTTACATACTTTATCAGGCGTATCTCCAAGCTCTTTCTTGACGACCTCACACACTTGTTCGTATGAAGAAACTGGACATTTGTTCAACATGGAATCCCTCATTGTCTGTACATACTCTTGGGGTACCAAGTATTCCTGTATAAAATTGAATCAACACAATAACCAATCAGCTTCAATTGCTTTCAATCAAGACATACTGTTCTGATTGAGAATTAAGCTAGCTCTACCCTAGCTCATTTCAAATTCAACATAAAACACATAATTACAGTAGTTACATTTCCATTTTCTGTATATATAACTAACAGAGCTTATTTCTTCAAGAATTTGAAAGCATACCAGCTGTCCAAGGTGTTGACCGAGCTTGATATATATGCCTCCATTGCTGAAACATAATTCTTGAAGTTTACGTGCAGACCTCAGGTGAACTTCATGCTTAGTTTTTTCCCTCTCACTGCTTCCTTCAGGCAGTCCCCACAGTGAATACTCATAATCTAACCACAAAGAAATCTGAAACTCCATTAGAATCTAATTTTCACTTAAATTTAATGAATTTGATGCAACTAACTTTAAAACAGCACAAAAATTCACAATTAAGCTAAAGCTAAGGCTAAGGTTTTCCACCAAAAAAAATTTAAAGCTAAGGCACATAATGCTCGACTGACTGTAATGCTAGAAAGACGACGTATTGTGAACCCTAAACGCTAATATTGAGCATTGCTTGGAGGAAATGGAGAGTTTATGGGGTGAAGTGAGAATACCGAAGGCGATGGCAGTGGCTGTCATGGCGTCGCGAATAAGGCGAGGGGGAACGGTTGTGTAGAGCTTCAAAGTCATGGCGGGGTCGTCGGAGGTGGCGACGTTCGCCGCCGCTCCGCCGCCAATGAGCGCGGTCGCCGACAGAGCGAGCTTCGTTCGAGCGCCCCATAAGGATCGCGTGGCCATGTCGTTGGGCACGTCGCGTTGCAAAAAGAGGCGAAGGCCACGAGGGAAATGAATGGAATATAGAAGGTTCGCAACGGTGACGTTTGTTATAAACAGGTTGGGTTTAGTTAGTTTTGGGTTGCGTATAAGATTTAAAATTGAATTTGGGCTGATCTTGGTTTATAGACAGCCCAAGTGAAATTCAGAATTTAGAAGGACATGTCATATAGTATTAATTGGCTTTAAGGAAGGAAAAATTACGTATCCTACAGCAGTTTAAGAGCTTTCGAGGTAGTCTTCTCTTACAAGCCGGTTTTTATGGATAAATTCTACTCATAGGCTCTTAATAATTGGATATGAGTTAGGTTTCAACACGCAATTGGGCCCGACTCCACAGAAAATTGCGACCTATAGGCTAGATTAAGATGATCGGTATTCTGAATTTGCATAATATCACTGGTAGATGAGTTCATGTCAAAGGTAGGAATGGACTACCATCGGGCCAGTATCGATAGAGTGGGCCAAATAAGATGTTGGGTACAAAAGTATGGTTGAATGTTAGGATTCAATATCCTACATTGGAAAAATAACATATCCTATAGTGATTTAAGAGCTCTTGAGCACCTTCCTTTATAAGTTAATTTTTATGGGAAAGTTCTACTCATGGGCTCTTAACAAATTGATATAGAAGAATGAGCCAGTATTTTCCATTGATTTATAAGTTGGGAAAATAAAAAGAATTCTATTTCCATCCAAGTGTTTTTTTGGATATCCACCCCCAACTTGTTTGTCCAAATTTATCAACTCTCAATCTTCGTCAGTTTGATGAAGAGTGCTTAGGCATCTTCAAAAAAACATTGCATACCCCATTATTTGCTAAATAATTTGAAAACACCTTCCCTCCAAAATTATTGCATACCCCTTTATGAATGACAAAAGGGCATGACAGAGCCAGCCAGGTTTGTCTTTTTTCCATTCTTATCTTATCTTTGCCTCATATTTTAAAATCTTTAAAACAAAAGGAAGGATTATATAACCCCAAAAAAATAAAATTAATAACAGGTCACATATTTCATGACTCATGCGTGACCTAATCCCTCCCCTACTCTACGTGTCCATTATAATATTTTATGCAACATGTTCATATCCACACTCAAAATTCGTGTCCATCACTCCATGCGTACACCTTTCCACACTAAATTAACAGCAAATAATCAAGAAAATGGTAAATTGCGCGACATGCCACATCCCACCTTTGCTTTTTCTAGAAAATTTCTATAATATTTATTATTATTATTATTACTATAAACTAATTTAATTTAACATCCCATCCAAATCAAAATGTTCCGCGTGCTGTACGCGTATGTGCATAAATATAAACCCATTCTGAATTAAGCCACGGGCCACGCCTCATTTTTCTAGAGGGGACATGCTTTTCATTCTTTTTTGCGTGTTTGTAGACAACTCCGAGGCTGGTACGTGTTTGGCCAATGTCACCAATTAATTACCAATGTGAAAAAGCTATCTACAAAAGTCAATCTCAATGTTCTGGAACAATGTGTAGGGGCAAATTTGTGTTCGTTACGCTCGCAAAACATAATTGTTAAATTTCACGTAAGTGATGGACGCTAACAAAACCCATATCTCGAAAATACCTCATTGGACAATCACAATGTGAAAAACTTAAAGAAGTATTGGTTTGTGCTTTTGGCTGAGAATCTTTCAGATGTCTACAAAGTCAATCTTACCGGTGTTGTTTGTGGTATCATTTGTATATAAGCTACCTACGATTATTGCCTGCCTTGTGATTCCTTCTGGAACAATGTTTGATGTGATCTGTCTCTCTCTCTCTCGGTCATTGTAATTGTGGCAGTACAATTCAATTCCCAATCTCATAGGGTGGGAAGGTCCCCCTTTTGTTTCATAGTGCACATACGCGGATTTTCGTGGAATCGGATTCCAAACGTTGTCTTGTCCCATGCATTTTCATGAAAATGTCATATAGAAACCTACAAACTAGTTATGCAACCAACCGACAAATAATAACTCAAGCTCGAAGGAAACTCTAACCATGCGGTAACGTGTTATAATATAAGTGAATGTGAAATTTATATATAGTACAATTGAATTAGTGATGAAGATTAATATATTTTTTTTAAACCAGTATAGGATTAAGAAAAAAAATCTAAAAATGATGGTTGACAAGTGAAAGAATAGTGGTTGATGGAATTAAGGAATGGTGGTTAGATTAAAAAACAAATGATAATGATATTTTCTTTAATGTACTATTTAAATGGCCATGCCAAACAATGGCATTTTCAACATTACAACGCTACAAAATAGAGTATAATAAGAAAAATTTATCACAAAACTTATGATTAAGCACCAAATGTCGCATTACCAAGTTGTTTTCACGGGCCTCACATGATGTCGTTCTAGAATCTAGCCATTGATTTTCTGCCATTTGACTCAATATCTCCAACTAAAGGCGGCTCCAAATACCAAATGCCCATATATATATATATATATATTCCAGTCATATTTGACCACTTCCCCTTCGACAACCCCAACCAAACCAGACCTACACACTTGGATGATTCATAAATATGAACCAACAGTTTACGCTTTTGACAAGAAAACTAAATTAAAGCTGCTTCCACCAAGCAAAAGCCAGGTTTGTTTCCTTTAAATTTTACTCTTACGTAAAAGTGGTTTGGTCCTTATCCAGTATTCATATATATATATATATATATATATTTGACCATCACATCTAATCCATGTGAAAAGCAGTGACGTAGTTTAATTTAATTTTCTTTTGAATAGTTGGAGGAGCAGACTGCGGCATGAGAGTGGATTTTAACGCGATCCCACGCAATCAAAAGGTCACTTCAGATTTGTTCTATCAGGGAGGGAGAGGTATATATATATACACACACACTAAACAGTTGTGACCGTTCACATATATATATATATATATATTTATTTATTTATTTATTTATTTTGAGGATTATATTCACGGTATGATAATATAATAAGTTTCACTTTCGCGAATTTTAACAATGTCTAAACTCGTACTCTGAATTAGTTTAAGGCTAGGTTACAATTAGCCCCAGCTTGTTTGTGTTCTGTGCCACATTACAAATTAAGATTTGTTTTAGTTTTAGTGCTTTTCATTACATTTTGGTGCAGAATATAGTTAGTTGGAAAACACTGTTGTGGCATATGCTGATTAAACTGACTGAAATTCAAATTTCAACTTCAATTTCCGAAACAAATGTCAAGATTCAGAGAACAAAGAACATTATTTCTGCATGTGGTAAAAATACCAGTCAACAAAAGGACCTGCCTAAATATAGCCACTCACCTCACTACCACCCGAGTCCCAATATAAAATCAAATTCAAAAAAAGCACACGTTGCTATTGGTGTTGGGTTGCTCTCAAATGTTAGGTAAGACACCGTTGATAAACAAATCTTTATAATAAAAAAAAAAAAAAAAAAAAAAAAAAAAGCAACAAGGCTGGCATGTGTTTCATTCATAATAACGCAAAGCTGCTGGGCAGCTGAAGCAAGTTGGCCTTATTTACAAACAGCTGGAGGACAAAAATGCGGTTCATCTCGGTGGCTTCTCCAAATTGCAGGCCATGTTATTATTTACAGAATATACTTTACTAGCCGTTGGCTGAGGAATCTCATAAGTCATCACCAACCACGCCACCGCAGAGGCACTCAAATAGTTCTGACTGCATCTGCATATAGCTAGATTAGGTGCATGATTGTTGGCAATGGACATTAGGGGTTTTTGAATTTATTTACCAAAGTTCCTAATGCCAACGTGACATTGCATATTTTATTGCTCAATTTGCCTAACTTTTGTAGGAGAGATTAATTAGATTGATTTATATATATATATATTTTGGGGGGTTAAAGATGGGATTGGTTTATTATCAGCATGACCCATAACGGTTTATCAAATCAACTACCAAATATTCTAAACACAACGTTAGAAAATAAATATACAATTGTAAAGAATTTAGGCCCCAAATACACACAAACCAAATATGATTTTAAACACCCCCCCTTCCCCCCGAAATTGATTCGCAAAGACAAACTTTTGCATGTGGTCACATGCCTTTGAATCGGTCGGTTCCACCATACCCGGTTCATTGATTTGGAGTTCTTTAAAATTTTAAGGGCATAGTGTAGTGAACCCAATTGTTTGCAAAATAAAAAAAAGTAATATACAATGTGGGTTAGTGGCTACACCCTAAATCCTTATGGACAATGACCCAACAACAAACATTTGTCAACACATTTAAGTATATAGTTATGCTAGGATTAGTTGTACATACAAGCATCGACGATTCTTGATCGTTAATACATATGTGTGAAGCTCACAATATATCATAGATTAATTACGATAAAATTATTGTGTATGTGCACGCACGCAAACATAGATCGAACATCTTCAATACATCCACGATCAGGATTTGCTCATCCATATGTGGAAGACTAACCGTGGCAAAAGTTATTGTGCACACATGCACACGTAAGCACATATAATCATTCCTTACTAAACAAGGATTAAAAATATGTCGTTCATTGTCGTTATAAAGCATTTAGGTATTGCCGTTAACTTTGTGATGAAAAAAGGAGAGAGGGGGCGACTCCTCTATTTGACCGGAAACTTGCGCGTATAAACTTCCAAGAGTCTCTTCGTCATCACTTCTTCAAGAAGCCAAGTCCAGTCAAAACTTTACACCTCAGGCCTGCACCTTCCAACGTCCAAATCCAAAGCTCTTATTGCTTAATTTTCTTCTTCTCCTTCCTACCCCTTTTAATTAGCTTCCCTGTTTCCCATTCTTCTTTAACCTTGTATATGCACACAGAGGGCCAATAGCCTCCAAATTCGTCATACCCAGAACGCGAAATTGAAAATCAAGACATGGGGTTTTCATCAAAAGAAGAGAAATCGAAAAGGGTGTTGAGGGGTGTAAAGACTCTGTTTTTCTTAATCACCATGTTGATTTCTCTGCTTCTGTTTTCGGCTCCGCTTCTTCTTGTTATTGCCGATACTCTTCTCCCTTCGGCTATTCTATCCGCCTCTTCTTCTTCTTCTTTGATCTCTTTGGAAGCTCTCTCTTCCCATTTCACTAACTACGACTTTCGGTACTCTCTTGTTGATATTCCGCTCATCTCCATTATAAGATCAGCTGTCATATTCTGTAAGTGTTCATAGCTTGGCAGCACTTGTTTTCCTTCCAATTTCTGTGCACAAAACCTGTTTTATATGTAAAGTTTATGTCTTTGGACCAACTAAGTCTTAATTAGTTCAACTAATCTGATTCTAATGGAATGAATTGAATTGGGTCTGCAGGCGTTTACAGCTTCTGTGACGGGCCAAGGCTTTCACATGGACCATATTTGGGGATCACAACCATGTGTTCTCTGCTATCTCTGGTGTTTGTTTCATTGAAGGCTTCTTATGTGTTTGGTGCTTCGGGTGTGGAAAGAGCAGAGTATGTAAGAGCAACCGAAGTAGCTTTGTTCATCTGCTCACTGGTTTTGGCTGTTGGGCATATTGTTGTGGCATATAGAACAAGTTGCAGGGAAAGAAGGAAGCTTTGGGTCTACAAAATTGACATTGAAGCTGTAAGTCTTCGCTCTCCTTTTCTCATATGAAATCGTATCAGTTTGGGATTTGGTTTTTTCACTTTAATTGGAAGATATCGAAATACTTAACTCAAAGGGCAAATTTATGCTCCCACCTAATTGTTTTTAATCTTGCAAAAGGAAAAAAAAAAAAAAAAAAAAAAAAAAAAAAAGTAAAATCGCAAATCACTTATATTAAATCACAAATTACATCACCATACATACCTTTATTAAATTAAGATGTTCGAGGCTCAACCACTACCACCACAGAAATTTTACTAAGAAGTTTCATTCTTTAATTGCTGACTACGAAAGGGTTGAATTATAAATTTATAATCTTCTGGAGGTCAACCTTTCATTTTTTTTTTCTTCTTCTTAAGGTAACATTGAAAACGTTTAGGATGCTTCTTTGTTACCAGAATGCTGCTTCTTGTCTATAATCCTTGCATTTTCCATGTTTGATTTTATTATTATATATATATATTTATGAATTCCGAGACTCTACATTTAGAGTCGGTGTATTTTTCCGCATTTCACTTCATCAAAACCGAAACCCCATGGATTTTTGTGAAAACACAATTTTTTCTTTTTATTTTGTTTACTTCTCTTTGTCAAAATATGTCACTACGTTCTATATTCGAGGAATCCGTGATGGGTGGCCGGTTTCAGAGATGGGCAGCTTGCTTTTTATATTTGAGTTTGTTGACCACATGCCATTCATTTGCAGCAACTCTGCCGCATATTTTGTCATATCAGAATAAACAGCTTTCTGCCATGAGATTGAGAATCTTCCCACATTCATGTGCATTCAAACCTTGCTTTTTGGACAAGGCCCATATTTATACAAAATCAAACTGCAAACAGTTGACGATTTGTCAAATGCTAATGTCAACAATGTCATGTGCGTGCAGGTTTCAGCTTGCAAAAATGGGTTCCCTGGATATCAGAAGCTCCTTCAAGAAGAAAGAGTGAAGTGAACAATCATACTTAGACGACATGAAGCAAATTTTGACCTGCCACAGTCTTAAGGGTCATTTACTTACAGGTAATTTTCATTAAGGCTCCTAAAACAGATTACTTTCCATTTCTGTAATTTGTTGTGCTCATTGATCATTTTTGTTGGTTTTTTTTTTTTTTTTTTTTTTTTTTTTTTTTTTTTTTTGTTTTGAGATTTATTAAGACGAATCAGTAGTGCAGTAGGCATTGCTTCAGCCCCTTAAAACGACATGCCGTATGCCACATACTACATGTTGTAAACTGGTGGTTGTGTATATATCATTCATTATAGAGAGTATAGATAGAGGCTACCATTGCGGCAAATACGGTCTTTTTTTCTTCTTCTTTGTGTTCATCAATTGTACAGTTGAAATTTGTATGGAAAAGGTGTAATACTTATGCAACTAGCCGAAGCTTAAGCTTTTGTGAACTTATGCTCGAAATCAATGAGATCGGATGCGTTCACTCCTGTACATTGCATCAAATTAGCATATTGGGTCATTACATGTGCGGTGGAATTGCGGGGGATCCACACACATGAATTTCGCAATCCTCGAATTCAATTCCCCTAACAAAGTTAGACCTCCGAAAAATTTGACACATATTTTCTTTTCTTTTTTCAATGTGTTTCATGCTTGGTTGAGGTTGACACTCAATTTTTTTAAACAATAAATAAAATTACAAGGAGGATGGTCTGAAGATTTCAATATTCCTATAATCCTATTATCATATATAAGTATTAAAGAAACATACAAAGGAAAGTGTGTAAATCAAATATAAGTATTAAAGTTTACGTGATTACTGAAAGTTGACACTTATGGCATTTCTTTTTGTGGTCGAAATTGCAATTCATTGTAAACCCTCAAAGGGGTAGAGAACAATACAAACAAAGCCAAGCAAAAGCACCGACCAGAAAACTAGAAAACAAACATGAACAAATCTAGCTAAAACCAGTACAGTATAGCATAAAGATTATGTTTCTGAGCCGAACCTAAAACGTCAAAAGCCAACAAAAAGGCATTTAGCCCACATAAAGGCATATAACCCACAAAGAGGTATTACACCAACATTTAGCAAAAAGCCCACATTAAACATAGAATACATAAAATAAAGGCTAAAGTGCTACAATGCCGCTTGAAACATTGGTCAATTCTCACTTTACCCTCTCAAAGTTAAAGTGACCCACTTTACCCCATTGACCAATGTTTTGTGTCTCACTTTGCCCTACATCGTCAAGTCTGTTAAAAATTATGTTAAAAAAGCTTATGTGGCACCAATGAGACCCACTATTTGGCTAAACTAAATGCCATGTGTGAAAAAAAACAATTAAAAATTGTCTTTTAAAAATTATGGATTTAAGGCTTTGACCTCACTCATCCCCCACCAATATTCCTTCTCTTAATAAATTAGGTGTATATGAATATTTAAATATAAGAAATTTAAAAAAACAAAAAAATAAAAAACCCATCATCTTCATCCCCAAGCCACCATTCCCAGATTTCTTCTCCCTCATTTTCCCTCTCTCTCTCTCTCTCTCTCTCTCTCCCTTTCCTCTCTCTGTGATCTCCCTCTTCCCTCTGTATATTCTTCTCCGCAACAACCTAGACTACTCCCAGCATCAGTGGCAACCCAGGCCCCACACCCACCCCCAGCCGAACCCAACCACCCCTCTCTCTGCAAATTCAAAAACCAACAAATTAAAAGAAAAAAAAATTCATTGTTTTTTATGTTCTGTGCTCGAAGGTCTGCAACCAAATTTGATGGCTTCCGAATTCAGCGAGATGGAGATGGTGGGTTGTAGCTGATGGAGGTTTGATAGAAAAAGAGGTCAGGGCTCATCTGGGTTGTCGACGACTGTGTAGAGGGTTGGGGCTGCTGGATTTAAGGGCTAGGGGTGGGAGTGGGGCTTAGGTTGCGGCTGGAAGTGAGGGTGGTCTGAGTTTTATATAGCCCATGTTTCTAAAATTGGTGTAACAGATTAGGGCCTTGGCATGCATAGAAAGTCTAATTGAATCTTTGTTTTGTCTTGCTAAAAGTGGAAGATGTTGGAGGCAGAGATGTATCAAATGTTGAAGTTGGTGAGATAACGAATTCAACACAAAATTTAAGGGGTGGAACTTGGGTTTGTGAGAAAGGAAGAGAGAGCAGCAGTTGTGGTAATTGTGGTGATGGCGACTGTGAAGGGATAATGGGGTTGGGGAAGGGGAATTGGGAATTTTTTTTGTTTTAAAGAATTATTTTTATTTTTAATAGTTAAATTAAGAATTTTAAAAGATAATTTTTAATTTTTAATATTTTTTTTTCACACATGGCACTTAGTTTAGCCAAATAGTGGGTCCCATTGGTGCCACATCAGCTTTTTTAACATAATTTTTAACAGACTTGACGGGGAGGGGCAAAATGAGACACAAAACATCGATCAATGAGGTAAAGTGGGTCACTTTAACTTTGAAGGGATAAAGTGAGAATTGACCAATGTTTCAAGGGATACTGTAGCACTTAAGCCTAAAATAAAGGGGTTCTTAGATATGGGTCCAATTTGAAGAATATAGTTTGATTGCAGGACAGTAATTGTTACCTATTTATTCTAGTCCTAAAGCCCAGTCATGCGGACCTAAGCAAATAGTGTGGCCACAAATTTTAATTTATTTACAACTACTACCATTATATACAAACGGAAGTAGTAGAAGGTTTCACCAAATTGCATATCTCAGATCCCACAAATCGCAGAAATCCCAAAAGTGATGCTCCGTTTTTTGCCAATTTTCACTGATTTTTTGGTTTCTTAATGGGAAGATTTGTGGGTTCCTTCTAATAATTCACGATTACATATGGAATAACCCAAATTTTTTGGGTTATCAAAAACTGTGGGTTCCTTTTCTGTTATGGTTTGTTGGAGGGAGGACTTTTCATCTCTTTGAATTGTTTGTTAAGAGTGGAAATATAAAGAGGAGATAAAGTCAGAGAGATTCTTGTAAGACCATCGTCGGTTGATTAGGCACTACCATGCTAGTTTAAGTCGGCTTGTAGTGATGATCTCTTTCTTTGACTGAAGCTTCCTTGATCTGTCATTTCAAATGTTTTGCAGTATGCCAATTGTTATAGTTACATAATGACTGATGTTCCCAATTTTGTAATAGAGAAATATCATAACTGGGTTTAATCATCATATAGAACCTGTTGTATAGGTAATTGGCTGAAACTGTAACTATGTTATAGGCACAGGTAACCTCTAACAGTGTACCTATGGTGCAAGTACTTTGCACAGTGGCTTGATATGGCGCTTCACAAAGAACCTAGCCTACAGGTAACTTGCGAAAGTCTACCTATGACATAGGTATTTGACACATTGCTTGGGATTATCTTCTTCGAAGTTTGGCATATACCTGTGACCTAGGTACTATGTCGGCGATTACCCATACGACATGAGCTTACCCATACAATAGGTTGTAAACCTAGAACAAGAGTGAGAGTATAATTGTTGGACAACTTGCAAATGAACAGATTAAGTCTATTTATATGTGAGCAAAAATTCTCCAATAAATATCCAACAAAAACATTCTCCATAATTGATTGTGGAAGATATGATTTTTGTGATTCTTTCTATTCTTGGTGTCTGAGGATTGTTTAACATGATTTTTGATATTTTGCTATCTTTTAGGTTACCTGATTTCTATCTTATGGGGAAAATTGGAAGCACAACATTAATTAAAAAATTAAGAAAAGAAAATATAAACCTTAGAAATTAAAAAAAGGTAAGTAATCCTACATGGCAGAAAAGCCAGAGGACTTGAATTACTAATAACAAATGTGTGGATTGCACCCAAATTCTGTAATAAGAATTGGACTTATACCGAATTTTCTATAAAATAAAACACATAAAACCTAGCCGCCACAACCAAAAAGAAACTCCAAGCCGCCACCACCAGCAAAGAGAAACTCCCTGATTATAGTTGGACACACCGCCAGTCACCACCATGAAGACCCAAACACCCGTAGGTCAACAAACTAAGCCAAAAATCACACAGAACATAGGCCACCGGAGATTCACAAACAGATCCAGAATCAACCTAACCCATACATCCACAAGATAACAGCCAACAAAAAAGAACGAGAAAACCCATTCCATAGCTAGGAGGAAAAGAACCAAGAACCTGAAAAGAGGTGGTGCAAGCACCCGAGCTATAGCTCTACACACCTTCCAATAAATACGCGTCAAAACGCGTTTGAAATTTGCAGCTACAACCTAAGGATAAGGCCATATCGAAAGGGAGCTGAAGGAACCCAGGTGAGCCATGGATTTTGGTTTAGTATGGAGCAGGACTTGCAGGGTAGATATGGTGGTGAAAGGGGAAATCATGCCTAATGTCTTCATCCCACCAGATTGGAAAAATGAGGAGAAGGAGAGAAGTGAGATTCAAGGAGGAAGGAGGAAGGAGGAAGATGAGGGGAGGGGAGGAGGGGGAGACCACCTCCCCCCTTAGATGCGGCGCTGGGATATACATAGTGTCATTTACAAAATTTGACATACATAAATCAACACACTGAGATATTCAATTGCCGGAAATTAATCTAAATTCCATCATTTTATAATTCTATGTCATTTTCAATTCTTTCATCTAAACAGAGGGTTATGTAAAGTAAACACATGAGTAATTTATAATCGGAATCCAACTCCTTACTTTGATTCCGATTATATTTGAATTCCAATTATATTTTGATTCCATAATTGAACTTTGAAATTTCAACTTTGTTATGGAAAGTCATCTTTAACGCGGAAAGTTGTCATTAAATATGTATATTTATTTATATACAAATGATATTAGGAGAAAGAATCAAACATAAGAATTTGAATGCATAAATAAACGCTCTTAATTATTTAAACTACAAACCTCAAAATATCTATTTTATAGGCGGGTATAAAATAGCGACCACCGTTCATCATGTCTGTGATAAGCCCGTGACATCAACCAAAACCGTTTTTTGCAATAATAGAAAGCAAAAACGAATGCTGAATCGGGCGTGTATTATGTTCGTGTCGTTCATTCTGCATAGAAAACATTTCTAAATACCACGTTTGTGTCGCCCGCAGCTCTTGTGGCGGGTGCGTTGTTAAAACGCAAAGCACTTCTATATTTCCCTCCACGCGCAAAATCAATCGCATGGTCCGATTTGGAAAACAAGACCTCCGGGACAAACAAAAACCAAAAGCCAATTAAAGTAAAACATAAAGCTCAAAAGCAACGAAACGACGTCGTCCTCCACTCTTGCAAAGGGAAGGGGTGTAAAAGAAAAAGAGCCTCCACAACTCCAGAGCTCGAAAGAGAAAAGACTGATAAAATGAGTTTCAGCGTCGACCTCCAGAAAGCGGAAGCGGACCCGGGCCGGTCCCCGACGCCCAAGAGAGACGAAGTGGAGTGGGTCCCGTTGCAGAACCATCCGGTCTTCTTTCCCGCCACCGGCCCGGTCCGCGACCCGACCGCAGCTCGACCGCTCAGAAACCTCTTGGCCTGGGACGGAGCGTCTCGGCTTTATTTCTGGGACTCCGATAAGCTCTGCCTCCACCGGATCTCCATTCGCCTGGGCGAGCCCGACCAGACTTCCGTCCTCGCTGCTTCGCCTTCTAAGGTTTCCACACTTTTCCTCATTTCTTTTTGTAAAATTTGTTTGTTTAAGTCTGGTTGCTGAGAAATTGAAGGATACGAAAGTAATTGCACTTAACTGAGCTTAGAACAGTTAGTTACCTGGCTTGGCATAGATGATAATGGAAAATGATTGTTGAAGTTGAAATTAGTATTTTAGTTGAAAATTAGTCAGTGTAAAATTGATATGAAAATCTCAGAAGTGGACCAAAATTTTCAGTTATACTTATCTAGTTGAAAAGATAATTGTTTAAAGAGGATTGTAACTTGTAAGATTACATATTGTTAGTTTGAAGATTCTGGGATATCAGAAGTGACGGGTACTAAAATTAACGTGCGTGCCATTTAGTTTTTAAGTGCATGGTTGATAATGCCGGTAATTCGATAGGTGCTGCAAGCAGATGTAAATCCTGACTTTGCGGTTCAAAAAATCTCAATCAATAGGAATGGATCAGCATTGCTTCTTTCTGGTTCAGGTGGTCTATGCGTTATGTATCTTTATTGGCGTACTTCCAACAAAGACAATGCAACGATTTGCAGGTATGATGGGAAAATGGCAATACCTTATGATTTTTCACTTTCATTTTAAACATGTTGTGTTAGGGTGTCTTAGAAAGCAACTTGAGTGAGGAATGACTCCTAATGATGGTGGTTTGGATCTTATTATGACATGTTCGTCTGGCTTATTTTTATGTATTAACTCCTTTTGTAATTCCTACATTTAAAGTCTGGCATAAGACATATATTATTTGAAAAAAAAAGGTTTATAGCAAGGCGCAATGTATGGGGTCCCTCTTATGTACGTTCTCTCGCAACACTAAGATTTATTTTGTTCTTCCCCTCGCAAACTTCTCAATCTGATTTTTTATTTTAGTTTTCGATGATAAATTTGTGCTTATTATTCAAATACTTGCCCTGGAAATTCATGTAGTAAGCTTGTATTCCCTTGTTGGAAATGCACGTATGGATGTAATATACTTTCTTTATTTATTGGAGATTGTGTCGCAAATTAAAAGATTTAATGTTCCAAAATAAGAGTTCTTAATGCATCTTTTTTTAAAAATAAATAAAACCTTACAGGACTGTGACTGTTGGTTCACAAATCTACTTAAGTGGAAGCAATATCATACGTATTCTGCAAGTTTCATGGCACCCTAACAGTGACACCCATCTGGGAATTCTTTCCTCTGATTCAGTTTTCAGGTATGAAATCCTTTTCCATTCATACATCGTCAGGATAGTTTGTGTTATAACCATAGAAACGAGTAGACATGGAAAATTATGATACAAGCAAAGGATAAAAACTTCTTAAATTGATCAATGGGTTCAAACATTGTAGATCATGAGAAGGGTTTCAATGGGGTATACTGGTGATTTGCCCCCTAAACTTGTACCTAGGTTTCAATTGACCCCTTATCCTATTTTTTTAGAAAATTGGACCTGAACTTTTTTTTCCCCAATGTGCCCCCGACGTCAAAATCTGGCACTTCACATCCATTCTGCCGTCAAGATGGAGGTTACTTTTGTCATTTTGCGTGAATTCCACCTCTGTGACCCATGACCTCCATGACATCTACCCGCTAAGGACCTCCTCATCTCGTAATATTGGGGTTTTTCCTAAACCCTAGATCCCCTTTTATTAGGGTACAAAAATGGAGGGAAATTGATTTGGGAAAACAACGAGCCAAAAAGAAGGAAGTGATAGCTGAAGCATGGGTTGAGTTGAGTGGAGACGCGAAATGACAGAAGTAACCTCCAACTTGACGGCAGAATGGATGAGAAGTGCCAGATTTTGACGTCGGGGGCACATTGATGAAAAAAAAGTTCGGATCCTTAATTTTCTTTAAAAAAAATGGATATGGGGTCAATCGAGAGTTAGGTATAAGTTCAGGGGGCAAATCATCAGTATACCCGGTTTCAATAAAATGCAGTGACCACAGGAAAAGCTTGGCATGGTTTGGTTGGAAAAGAATAGGCCTGATTTGTTTCATTTTATTCTTTCTAGGCAAATTTATTAAGTTTCAATTGGTTAGGTTTATCTTATAGAGACATCCTTAGGTTTATCTTATAGAGGCATCCTACATAGCATGTGATTTTGTAATACATGTAGGAAACATGGTTTGATCATATTTACTTCCTAAAGTTCTATTAGCTTGTAAATATGGCTTCTTAATCATGTCAGACCAAATAAAAAACCCATGTCCGAGTTCGGCAAATGTAACTCTGAATTTAATTTAATTATTCTGTTTTAAACAACTGGTGTCCTTCTGTTATTTTTATTTACCTTCACTTTTTTGTAGAATATTTGATTTGTCTTCAGATCTTATTCAACCAGAGCAAGAATATTATCTACAGCCTGTGCAACCAGGTAGATCCAGGAATGCAACATCAATTTGCCCGGTGGACTTCTCATTTGGGAGTGATCACCTGTGGGACTTGTTTAGTGTAAGTTCATAGAAAATATGACCTTGATAAGATCTTGTATGCATGTGGGTTTTGTTCAATCACTGATGCAATAGATTGAAATGCTATTGATCATGTGTTTCTTGTAAGCATCATTTTATGCATCCATCTGTAATCTGATTTTTCCTTGAGATAGATTGTTCTGGCTCTATGGTAATAACTTGCTTGACTTTATATATTAGGATTGCCCTTGGCTTATCTTTGTTTTATAATAACACTTGTTTTTAACTGTTCATCTATTATATTGCTATGCTCATTCTTATTAGGCAAATTGAGTTTTTCATTTTCACCCTCTAACTGTTTTATCATGTAAATTACTTGATTCACATTCATATGCTATTGTACAGGTTTTCATTTTGTTCAATGATGGTTCAGTTTACATCCTGTGTCCTATTATACCATTTGGAAGGTAATTTATTCTTCATGTCCTGCCCTTTTGTATTACATTTTGAAATGTTTAAGGCTTATAGTTTTCTTCATAAGGGGAACTGCAGGTAGGGACCAAGGTATATTATGTGTTTAAAAGCACAAGAACCATGAGGGCAGTATGGTTTCAAGTATCATTTTGTGGGACACATGCCATTATGAACTATAAAGCTATATGCCTCAATTGTAGTCCCGTTAGGAGCATTTTTAGAAAAATTAGTTTATAGCGAAGACTTAAGTTGCCCTAATATTGTATTTTCTTTGGAATTATGTGATGTAATTTTCCTCGATCTAAATATGTGTTTCTTTGTCACGTATAAGGCTGTGAAGTTCTGGTCATTTCTTTGTCCGGTATTAGACATCTGTGACAGATTAAAATTGAAGATGGTCTAGTATTATAGATTGATTGAAACCATTAGACTGATAGTCTCTTCCCCTTGCATATCTGCCCCTTTTTTTTTACCATTGATAAGCATCTTGATGTTTTCTTGGAAATTTTCATACCAGGTTGCCTGTTATATCCTAACTGATCCTTGTATTGGGTGTTGAGTGTAATTAGTTTTTCTTATTTTGTGGCAGTGCTTACAAGTGGGAATCCATAGTAGAGATCTATAATGATGCTCAGACATTTGGCCTGAAGTCAACCAACTCAGTGGCTGTTAGTAATTCAAATCTAGCTATTTCTTGGTTGGAAGCAACATTTCCAGCAATTGCAGACCAAGAAACAGAAGGATCAGATCTATATGTGTTAAGAGCTCATCCTTATGCTTTATTTGATGCATCACTCTCACTGCAGGTACCTTTATTCTCTTACCTATATGCATGTGGTAGTTGCTTGTGCTATATGGATGCTCCTGAGTAGTGCCCAAATCAGCAATGTCAAACAAGGCATGACATTATAATTAGTATTATGCGTTGGACATCTACTAATTGTGCACGATCTAAACATTGGAAAGTGATGTAAAACTTTTCATTATACTCATACTCCTACAAAATGAGGTACTGTGATTGTTTATTGTTTGATCATATTATAGTTTTGAAAGGTTTTTTTAATAGACAATGAAGTGAAATGTGGCTACTAATTTACATGTTCTTCCTCTTGTTAGAACATTTTCCTGCATATATGTTTGGTTGTATTGAATAATAAATCTATTTGGCTACAAATTTTGTATAATCAATTTGCCCACTTAGCATAATATATAGATTCAAAATGAACTTTAATCATTTACTACCTAGGTTTAAGCTTAATGATAAGTAGAAAAATTATTTGGATTGTTTATTAGTGGTTTAAGCTTGAAATAGCTCTGTGGCAGCACTAGCTACAATTCTTTGAGAATTTTATTTTACTTGATATTTTTCCTAATTTGAGGAGTATCATTAATTTGTTAGATTTCAGTCGGCCAAGCGTTACAAGTTGCGGCCCTTTATCTGTTTAAACCTCTTCAAGTATATGTGAAATAATGATTGTAGGCCAACTCTATCGCAGTGTAGGGTGTTTTATGTTGGCAATTTGTTTCTCAAAGATTGTGTTGTGTTTATTTCAATCTGTAGAAGTCCACAATATGACCTAAATTATAATTTCCTAGGGACCCCTGAGGAAAGTGTGTCGTGATGAGGATGAAGAAGGTTCAGCCTTTCGGGGTGCAGAATGTGAAGGTGGAGCAGTCAGTTTTCTTTATAATTTAGTTGTCAAAGACTCAATTATGGTGACTGCCTGGAGTGGTGGGCAATTGCAAATAGATGCTCTGGCTGATGAAATCCAACCAGTGTGGAATGTCGGCAGCCCACCTCGCCTTCGTGTTGATTCCAACGATCATATACGGGGTCTGGCAATGATTTGTGAGCCAACCCCAGGTAAGGTTTCACCTGTGAAGCTTAATCAACCTCTTGATAGCACTCTTTGGTTGGGGCACCCTCCCCCCCTGTTGAGACTGGCTATTGTGGATCTGGCTCTGCCTAGGAAAACAAAAGGCGGTTCTCTTATTATTATGTTTATTGATCCCCTCATGCCGGAAAGAATATTCACCCTTCATGATGGAGGGATAGATTCAATAGTGTTGCATTATCTCCCGTTTACAAATCAGATCAGTGGCAAGACTGAGACCATGAGAACTCCTTCGGTTCATCCTGTTCTAAGCACATGCCAGGGAGAAATCTCCTCGCAAGCTCCACTTTCTGGTTTTGTGTCACTATCAGATTCATTCGGGTGCTCATGGATTGTGGTAGTCACTGGTTCTCGAGAATGTATCATGCTGGAGATGAAGACTTGGAACCTGTTGCTTCCTCTTCAAGTTGATATGGAGGGCAAATCTCTTCACCTGGAAGAACCAAAAGAGAAAGATATACCAGATATGATAAGCAAAGAGCTCCTTGTTGGACCTAAGGTGGTTCTTGTTCCTCAGACCTCACCAAATGTGCGTTCTGTTTCTGCTGATTCTATTGAAGGTCGATCAATGCTTCATGATTACTTCAAGCTTTTTCATGAAAATTATGTGGAGTATGCACATAAGGTAAGAATATGCCAAGTGATTCACATACAGACCTTGTTTACTTGTGTCAAACCTACTTTCTTCTTGTGAAAATGGTTTTTTTGCTATTTTTGTTTTTAGTTAGTTTTTCTGCATCACAAGTTGTTTACAAGTGTATGGAGCCGTGGACAGTTTTCTGCCTTTAGGAAAGGGAAGCTTTCAGCCATAGCTTGCTCACATGCAAAACATTTGCTGGTTGTAATTGCCAAATAACTTATGATACACAAGTTCTCTACAAAGAAGAAAAAAACTATATTAAAACCCACATATAGCGAATTAGTGACAATTTAAGTGAGCACAATAGCTGCTACTGCATTGCTAATTGTTGTTGATGCATGTGAGGTACCATATCTAAAGTGTCTAAGAGGTCATCCAGCACCACCAGTGTCAACAAATTGTTTCTCAACCAGGCCAGATAATCTATAAGCTTTTTGAGAGGTTAAATTTATTTTACCTTGTAAATGATTTAGAAAGAAGTTGATTGGGAAATATTCTTATGTTTCCTGGATTTAGTAGTTGATATTTTACTGAATTTATGACTTTTTCCTCTTTCTAGGTTCACTTTGAACTGAAGCATCATGAACCTCTCTTGAAGAAGATAATTAATGACCAGCATGCTCGCTTAGGTGATGCACAACAGAAGCTCTTGCAAGTAGAGCAGAAACAATCAAAATTGGAGAACAGGATTGATAGTGCAATCCAGCTGCACAATGTTCTGGAGGAGCGGTTGAAACGTTTGCAGAAATTGCCTGGGCCTCATAAAAAACCATTGTCCAGAGCTGAGCGAGAGTTCAAGTCTGAGCTTGGTAATGATTTCTTTTCAACAAAAAGTGCACTAATAAAAACTTTTTCAATATGAATGAGCTTGGTAGTTATGCCCTAATTCATAGGCAGTAATTATTTTTTCCTATTTTAGTGGTCCCCGAAATCATCATAATACATTTCTGCTTAGGTTACCAGTCTACGTTTATTTTAATTTTTTTTGTTATGGCAGTTTCATATCTCGCATGGCCAGAACTGCCTGTTCACTTTTGACATACATTTTTATTGCTAAGCAGACCTCTTTTCCGGAGTTGAGTTGGACGCATTACATTCTTCCGTGAACGCTTTAACTGCAAGGTTGAGAAGGCACGCTGAGTCGCCAAAGGGCAATACATCAAACCAACAAAGGTTGATATCAAGGAGGAAAGATCCTGTGGAAGAATCTCAAGTCTCCCAGCTGAAATCCTCACTTGAGAAACTTTCACTGGTCAATAGTGTGAATTCAAAAAAGGTTAAGCTTGTTGAATCTGCATTAAGAAGTCGGGAAAGCAGCAGATCCTGAGACCTACCTTGTTTTTGAATCTGTTATTGAATTATGGTAACTCGGATGGATGCAAGTTTTGAACCTGTGGCAGGGCACATTCTATCTGCCTCTCTATTAGAGGGTGTGGCATTTTGAACGGTATTGCGAGTCAAATGTTCGGGTTGAGTAGAAGTTTCTAGAAATTCAACCAGGGCCACCCACCACTGTAGTTTGCTGGTATGCTAGTAGTGGCAGAAGCTCTGATTGTAGTGTATAAAAGCCCTATAGTGCTCTAGGATGTGCTTTACTGTATTTTCTTATTGCTCAATGGTTTCTTACTGAATTCTGATTCCTTGAACTTCTTTCTGATGGTATATGTTAAATCTACCAAACGATAACAATCTTCAAACATTATTGAATATGTTCATAACCTGCTTTATCGGTATCTTTTTTTTCTTTCTATTTTAATGATCACGGCTTCATATCTGTTTGGAACATCAAACTTGTTTATTTCAATGGCATGGCATTTGGGTTTTGCAGTGATCAAATTTTTTAGATAGCTGCAACATGCATTAATCTGCGCTGAAAATTCTATGCATTGGTAGGTGAGTCCCGCCGTTTGCGATCAATGTTTCAGAATATGGGCCCACACAAAAACACACTTGGGGGTTTGGGGCTGAATATGAATGCCAAAAGCTGGGCCTTCCTGATGAAGCAAGCAAAAGGAACATAGAAGAGGATGGAGCTTTTTTCTATCTTGGTGGTGGAGGATATTGAGGGGCTCGAGGATGAAAAGAACGGTGGAGGACTAATTTCAGTACCAAGGCCAACGTGCTATGCGGCTAAACGGAGTTGGAAATTGGAAATTTTATTATTTATCAAAAAAGCTTTTGCCAAGTTTCATGCATAAATAAATGCCGTGTTTGGAAACAGTGATAGTAGCCCCTTCAATAGTCAAAAGCACACCCTACAAAATCTGCAAAAATCGGCTCAACTTTTTCCAACAAAATTAATTTATTTATTTATTAATGAAACTAATCTACCAATTAATTAATTAATTAATTTCATCTTATTGCTTTGGAGATCAAAGGTTATTACAGCACTTGCACTAGATTTACTGTCTGAGTTACTGTTTACATGGTGGCCCAAACCCATAATTCCTGCGCTGCACATTGATAGGGTACCTCTTCTGCGTCCTTGTGGTTGGAAAGAACACCAACTTATCGTCCTCGGCAGGAACCCAACTGCCATAATTAACATCAACAATTAGCATAAGCTCTATTTATTTATGCATAAAGATCATATTAATTAGGATTAATACAAACCTGAAACGGGTGATTAAGTGGTGAAGGAAAACTGAGAGTTCTACTCTAGCAAGCTCATAACCAGGGCAAAGCCTAGGCCCTCCTCCAAACGGTGTGAACACATTTGCTGGGCTTGTGCTTGCTCCTGAATTGTTCTGTAATTTCATTTTTAATCACCAATTAGAAAATAATTATAATAATTAAAGAAAACATAATAATAATTACGAAGACACGGGAATTAAATTAACTAGTACCTGCCACCTCCACGGATTAAAAGTGCGAGCGTCCTTGAAATGATCTTGGTCTAGATGTACAGCACGAAATGATGCAAAAACCTTCCACCCTTTTGGAATTGTATAGCCTGTTTCGATATTTTCGATCAATTATTAATACTTTGTGAGTTGAATTTAATTGGCGTAGGGTTCATGTTTTGTGGTTGTTGGTAAACATTAGCTTGACAAATTCATTAAACTAGTACGATAATTCATTGATGCCGTGTGGTGTGGAAGTTGTTGTTACCTTTGATGTGGACGTCTGTCATTGCCCGCCTAAACACCCCGCTAATTATATTTGCAACTCGCAATGTCTCGTTGACAACCTAAACACAAACAAAACATAAAAATGAATCAACTTTTTAAGATTTGTATTTATTTAACTTAATTGAATGGGATTCGATTCATCTGTGTCTACGTGTATATAGATGATTGGTAACTATTGATTCAAATAAGTTTCATAGTTATGCATCAACCGTTGATAATCATTCACACACACGTAACTATCTTGTAAATTAACAACACTTACGCATTGAGTGAATGGCATTGACTTATAATCACTCCACTCCAGAGTCTCTGACGACTTCTTTTTTGCCCTAATTTGGTCATGCTCCTCCTGCAATGAACAGTTGAAAAAAAACCATTACCGTTTGATTCAAAGTCAAAGACAATCCAACGGTGACGCTTGAAGCATCACGTGTGTGCAGCACAAACAACAAAAACAATCCTAGGAATCGAAGAGGGTTCTGAATACATTGACATCACCTACCCTTCTTTGAACCGTCGGATTTTTTCAAGGTCCTAGAAATCAGAACCACACGATTCCCAAGGACCCAGCTTTGGGACCTTCGGGTCCAAAGCCATAAAGTAGGAAGCATGTTCGAATGACCGAAATACCCCCACCCTTTGCACGTGAAGCAAGGATAAAAACACAGAGAGAGAGAGAGAGAGAGAGGCGATGTGGTCAAAAAGACCAAATCTGATGAAGGCCTGACATTTTTTACAGGACGCCACACAGGTTGAAGCGTGCAGTTAGGAGGGAGGGCGGGGCATCATTTTGTCCGTTGGTCTTATATGAATGTTGCTCTCTCTCTCTCTCTCTACTCTGACTTTATCTTCTGTACTGTCCTCTCTCCTATTTTTGACCACCTTTCCTGATTTCCGTAGGGGCAATTTCGTCTTTCTAATAGAAAATTATAGTGGGTTGCTATATCAGCTATATTTTATGATAATAAAAATGACATTTTTTCAATCAGCCAACATGTACAAAAACAGATATTTCTGATAAATATTCAGGCTTAACGTAAGTAAGTAATTATCAGCCGTTGAAAAAATGAGATTTCATAATTTATCAAAATCATCATCAAGAATTTAGATAACGAAAAACGAGGCGTATATGTGAGTTAGCGTCAGAGAACAGTGACCCTGCCGCCCATCTTATACCTAAATTCGAATTTCCCTCTCCGCACATTAGAAATCCAAGATAAGCTTGTAAGACTAATAGGCCCACTAAGGGGAAAAAAAAAGGTAAGAGAGAGAAAGAAAAGGGTGAGGAGGAGAGTGGCACCTTGAGTTGAGCCTGGGCCAGAGGTGTCTCAGTTAAGAACTTGACGGCAAGTGTCATGATTGTTGAGGTGGTTTCGTAGCCGGCGACCAGCAAAGCAAGCAAGAAATCCACAATCTCCTCGTCGGAGAATGCGTTGTCTCCACCCAAAAGAGCACCCAACATGTCCTCTTTTCTCTCCCCTGCCTCACTCTCTTCCCTCCTCTGCCTCACTATCAACCTCAACGCCTCTGCCACCTTCGTCCTAGCCTTCAAAATCATAATAATTATTAATTAATTAATTACATGATTAATTAAGGGTAAGTATAATTATGAAGAAAAAAGAGAGGAGGAAAATACTTTAATGGCCCTGCGGTAGGTGGTGGAAAAGAGAGGCAAAGGAACGCTGAAGAAGCCTTCAATTAGTAGGACGTACTCTTTCCTTAAACCCTCGGTCCATTCACCTGGATCAAAGCTCATTAGCTGCTTCACTGCTAGCTCAAAAGTTATCTGCACATAATTTATTAATAAAAAAATTCATTAAATTTAATCCCACTTTCTAAAAGAATATAGGAGTCGAAAGTGACAGAATCATAAGATATTTTATATAATAAATATAGATGAAGAGATGACATGTGCAGCAGCTAGAATGAAAATGATGATTCAAAGAGAATGATTTTGTTTCTCTACCCGTATATACTTTTAAATGTGGTAACGTGGCCCTGCATGTATGTCACCCACTAAAGACTAACTAAGCCCTGCCCATGGGATCCAAGTCACCTCCATTTCTCTTTGACGTCAACACACAAGCTTACCCTATAAGATAGATATCACCGCATATTTTTCTTTTCTTTATGCCAACATTAGAATTTAAAACGAGGTTTTCTCACGCACACTGTCTGCAAGTCGAGATCCTTTTCCGCCAACTAATTAATAAAAAAAGCAGCGAAGATATTCTTAAAAACAAAAACGGAAAACAAAATTTGTCAAATCTCTTTTCTTTTAATTTCAAACAAGAAAAGTAAAATGGTTTAACCAACTATCTATTGGTACTTTACTAAAGAGGTTTTAAGGTGTACCCTACCTTCTTGGCCTCCTCCATGAGAAAGACCCGGTCGGTCCAGGAATCCATATTGAGCCGGATCAACCGGTCTATATCGTCCAACAGATGGTCTCTTATAATCGAAGAGTTGGCGAAGCTCATAGTGAGAGAGTGCATTCGCTTATGGAGGCTGCCCTTCATGAGCAGCAACGAGTGCTTCCCCAAAAGGTTGGATATGGAGCTCGGGTAGCTACACTCGAACAGCTTCCCTTCGTTCTGCAAGATGAACCGGTTCGTCTCTGGGTCGGACGAGAACACCGTCGGCTCGCCGAACACGTGGGTGGTGAATATGGGCCCGAACCGGTTCACCCTCTCGTCGATGAACGGCTCGGGATTCTCAGTCTTGTAGGCTGAGATCAGCTGCAGAGTCTCCCCTATAAGTGGCAACCCGAGATTTCCCGGAGGCAGCCTTAACCTCCGGCATCGAGAGTTCCTAAGGAAAACAAAAATGAAGCTAGAAAGGACAGAAATACCCACTAGAAATGAGAAAAGGAACTCCATGGTGAATTTTAACTAGCTAGATAGAGAGATATCTAAGTATCTATATAAATATTTGTTTATATGTATATCTATGTATTTGAGTGTATATATATTGGTGGTGTGGTGGGTATATATAGAAATGGGAAGGAGGGGGTTATGGAGAGAGAGAGAGAGGTGTGTGATAGTGATATTAATGGAGGGGGATGGTGGGGAAGCACACGGGGGGTACGATAATCGAATATGGATGGATGGATCTGCTGCTAATAAATAAGAATCTAAGGAAGGAGGAAGGGAAGAGAGAGGAGGAGTTTGCGGGGAAAGAAAATTAATGTCGGATATTTTCGTATCGGACAACTCTTTTTTTTTATTCCCCTTCTTTCTTTCTTTCTCATGAGACGCTTTTTTTCTCTTTCCGTCTCTCTCTAAGATAAGCGTCATGAGACTTTGTTGGGGGAAATATGGGGAGAGAGAGAGAGAGAGAGAGAGAGAGAGAGAAGCTGGTTTTGGTGTGCTTCATGTGGTATGGTATGGCTCGTATGAGTGAGTTGAAGTGTGCCTCTTTGGGCCGTTGGATTGGGAGACACGATGGAGTCTAGTGAAAAAGATGGAGTTTAGTCACATACGCAATTTCTAAATACGGCAATACATGCATATAGTTTTTCTTCTCTAGTAATTTGCATACAGAATCCTTTCTAATAATTTCTTAGTTTACATATATAGACAAATTGGAATTAGTAAGGGCAAGACATTCCTCTTCCTACGATAATTAATAATATATTTTTAGATATGGAATCGGTAGACCATCCTAACCACGAGGAACGTATATAATTAATTGAGTTCATCATATGATTTTTTAATTAGTCATTAATTTGTCCATGTGGTGCACACAAATGTTCAGATATCTTATTTAGTGGTTGGGTTGGAGTATAAAATTACAAATTATATAATGCAACTTGTAAGTACATGGTACATCAACCCCGATTCGTATCACATCTCATCTCCATACATAATCCCTATATAGAAAGTATATAAAGAAAGGAATGAGATCAAAGTATATATATAGCAAATAAGATCAGATTCTATAAATATTTTAGATAACAGAATTTCTATTCATACTCGGTTCAAATACAAGTTCAAGTTTACTTTTGAACGAGTGTGAATAGTAAATCGCTAAATTGAAAGTTATATATTTTCATCTTTACTTATAAAAAGAATCATTAATTACGTACAAGCATTTCATATCTTGCTTAAATTGAGGTTTAATGTTAGCAAAGAGAATGTCATGATCATGATTCATGCCTGCTCTGCTCAAATGCTAATTGTCCCAACCAATTCCAAATGTTTGATACATATGCATTAATGTAAAGCTAGCTTTCCCTTCATAATTGTTTTTTCTTTCTTTCTTTCTTTCTTTCTTTCGAGGAGGAGGACTATTATACGCTGAAAATCAATCACAAAACCTCTTCCTTTTCATTGTCGTTATCAAACCGAATTATGATTAGCAAAGATAGAAAACTATAAGTCCATCCGAATTCTACCTCCCTCTCCCTACAGGGCAGGGCTGAGGGTGAAGCCAAGAGGTGGGTCGTGAGCCCCACAAATGAAGCTTCTAAAAAGAGGAAGATAATTTAAAAATAGTAGCAACCGGCCGGCCACGTGTATACAAATAATGAGAAGTATGATGCAATTATAGGGTTTGGACTTTAAATATGAGGTGATGATAGCCACATTGCTCTCAATCCACATGGTCCCCATAACACAACATTAGGCTCTCTTTCTTTCACCCACTCGACAAGTCACAACCCCATAAAATAATGATCCCTATGAGAAAGAATCTCCCACTCACAACCCAACCCCCCCTTTCATATATACATATATATATATATTGGTATATCAAGCTTTTCATGACAGAACCCCATCATGCATGTGTTTGTGTTGTGCCCTTCAACTTTTTTCTTTGGTTCACTTCAACTGTACGAAACCTATAATAAAACACACATTCTTCTTCAATCCCCATTCATTAATTTGATGTTAAATCAACCTCTGACTTCTTAAATATTTCTTTGTAGTTCTCTCTCTGCTTTTGTTTAGAGTATGCGATTCTCTTGTATTGAGGTTGTAATTCAAGTAGTCAAGAGGATTTATCTCTGCATTCGAGGTAGCAGGTTCGATTACCACCATTCCCAATATCACTTCTATTTAAACTAATAGCACGTTTACTTATCAAGAATTAGAAAAGTAATGAATCTAAAAACTTATTAATTTCATCATCGTTCTTTTGAAATATATATAATCTGAATGAGATAATGCTAATTAATTTTATGTTGTAATTGGTAAATTAATGTCCAAACTGCTGTGGAAATTATTCTTGAATGAAATCTGAGTGATTAGGTTAGAACAAGAAAGCATTAAAAAAATTGAAGTCAACCCCACCCCTTAAAAGAAAAGTTACAACCCTAATCGTGAGACATTGCTCATGCAAGTCATCATCAAGGGGTGGCCTTCTAGTAGATGAAAGTTGCCCCCACAACATCTCATCTCACGTGTGAGGTGACAGTAGTATATATATTTAATATTTTAGGGTAAGCTAGTAAATAAGCGATCATGTACATATGCAGCATATTGCGTCCTTTTTCAAGGACCCATAAGGGCAACTCCATCAACTCTACATATGTGCTAGCTACTTGGCTCGACCGGTCGCTGTAATATCCAGATTTGCACTCACTAGAGTGAAGCTCAGCCACATCAATGATCTCAAATATGGTGCTCTGCCCCTCCATCAAAACCAATCTTTTGGATCCAATATCCCAACTTGGTACGGGTCCGTGCTCGAAAGTTGAAAGTTGAGTTTCGAACACAAAATCTCGGATGCAATTTAACAACAAATCATTATTAAATTATGAAATTTTCTAACATAAACGACAAACGATAGGAAACATTGAATATTGAAAGAAAAACACAAGCTAGTCGGGAGAGTGAAAGTTATTGAACATGAAAATATTATTTATATTAGGTTGCTTTGCCGACACTATATATATTCATATAACTATAAATGGCTAAGAGGCCAAGTATTTCCATTCCATTGTACCAACCGGTTTAGTTGTTGCATAACATGCATGATGATGAAGTATGAGTTTTCAATTTGAGGTCCCGACTTTTGTTTTCTTTTTCTATCAACTTTGGGACACCGCAAGGCCAAGCATCAAGATCATATAGATGTAATTGTACTGCACCAGCTATAAAGCTACAAAGGACCACGAAATCTTATCAAATCTTGGATTCATTTATTCAACTGTAAAGGGGACCAAATAATTCATTAATTTCCATCACTTAACTCAAATTAGAGGAACACCATAATTCAATTTTGTTTTTTTTTTTTTTTTTTCTATTTATTTATTTTCCTCTTTAAACACCCTTCTTCTTAGTCCACCCCATGTTCTAAGTTCACCTCAACTTTTAATTTAATTTTTCACAAATTCTAAGAAAACCTCACTATCTTCCCAAACTACCCTTAAATACACCTCAAACTGAAAAAATAAGAACTAAAAGGAATTTTCTATTTAAACCCTACAATTTTCTTTGTTCCCAGCAAAAAAAAACACAAACAAATGAAACCCCAAATCCGAAATTTAATATTTTTTGGAGAAAGAGAACTGCTTTGTCTCTTTCCAAGAACTGTAACTGGAATTCTAACATTTGGGTATTGTTGAGAGAGAGAGAGAGAGAGAGGAGAGAGAGAGAGAGAGAGAGAGAGAGAGAGAGTTATAGCTTAAGTTGGATGACTTTTTTTGTCTTTTTACACAATAATAAAACTTATAGCTTAATGATTTAAGTATTGGGGTGAACAAAGAGAAGTGCGTGGTTTAAATAGAAAATCTCTTTTTTTCTTCTTTTTTTCCTTTGCTCAACACTTGAATTTAAAATCCTCTTATTAATTATGATTAAATTAATGTTATTATTTTAAGTGTTCTTCTTCTAATTGAGAAGAAAGAAAAAAAAGGTTTTTGTTCCTAAGACATCCTTTTCATGCTGAAAGTGAGATTCATATGTATAATATTTAGGATTCCATGATGAACGTGGATCAATCAGTGAAGGTGGACTAGTATTTCCATGGTCATTTTGGATTTATATATATGCGGAGGAGAGGTATTTGTGGAATCCCCATGCGTGCAATGCAATCATTGGCCAATTCTCATCCATTAATTTCTGAGTCTGTCAGATAGCCAAGCCAAGGAGATAGATGAATTGGAATTTTTTGTTGCATACCAATAATGCAAGATCGATGAGCACATCAATAATTGTCCTATTGTGACAAATCAGTAGGAATATTCAAAAGAAGTTCTTCACTCGTCAATTTCTCAATTTCATTGTTCATGTTAATTAATTTGCTACATAGACATGTGCTTAACTTTTCCATTTTTGTATTTAAGATCAAATGGAAATAGTGAACCACTTTGAAAGCCCTCGTGTTAGGTTTATATAAACGATGAAAACGTCTATGTTCATTATTTGCACGACTTATCAACACATATTGAGTGACGTGAGGATATCTACCTACAAATGGATGAATTCAGAACAATTCATACGCAAATATTTATACAATGAAGAGTCCGGTTCCAAAGCTACCCCTTCAAGTATGGAGAGAGAGAGAGAGAGAGAGAGAAGTTAGAGTCAAACTAGGGTCGGGTATAGGGTTATAAGGGGTGGTCAAGGTACTGGACACGAGGTCTGAGGCACACACGTGTGGGTGTGATAAAATTACAAGATTCCCTCCCTCCTCAATCTGGTGTGTTTGGAGTGTTGTGAGTGCACTTTTCAACGTCTGCCCAATCTCAGACACGAATGGGTGTGTCTGTCTGTCAGAAGTGCACGTGTGCCAGTCTTTATAGCATTTGGAAAATTGGAACACTGACTCTCTCAGTGACTCAGATGGAGAGAGAGAGAGAGAGAGAGAGAGAGAGAGAATTGATTGGGATTTGATGGATGAAATTGAATTTGATCATCATGTACTTCTGGGACAAGTTCACATGCACTCCCTATGGCTTTTGTCTGTCTGCTGCCCAAATGCCTTGCTTCTCTTCTCTCTACTTCCTACTGGTTTTTTTTGCCTCCAATCCATTCGCAACAACACAACCAATTTGTGCCAATGGCTTGCTTTTTCTTAAAACTTGGTCACATTAATTCAACCTCGGCCCCTTGGATTTCCATCCGATCATTTTGTTTTCCTACAATACACAAGAGAAAAGATATGCATCACCTGGTTCCTGGTCGGGATAAGGTTTAGGAATAAAACTCGAATACTTATCAATTATATCAGCAAATTTGACAACCCTTGTCTAACTTAATTTATATAGATTTTGAAGAAGACATTTTTCGTTTCCTTGTATTAAAATTTTAAACTTGAGATCTTTCTCGATTTCATTCCTACAACTAGTTGTTTAAAAATTAAAGTTGAGTTTATCCAATTTCAAATATACCTTATGCTAGTTTGAATGAATCATTTACTATCTCCGTGACATGCAAGTCAACTACTTGTCATGCCTGTAGTGTTGTGGAAAATTGTGCATGGATAATCACCAATTAAAATCATGGGAGACTTTGGAAAAACACAAAGGAGAGAAAAATTTTATAAAATAAGCCAAAATGGACAAAATTGCCCTTATTTATTTTTGGATTTCTTAAGGAATCCTTTACATTTGCATGTCTTTGATTTGAAAGTTGAGAGGTTTTTCTGTCTTTTTTGAAAAAGTTTTGGCTTTTTCCAAAAGTGAAAATTTTTTTTTGGCTAAAACCTAAATTTACTTAAAACCATTGTGTGCATATATAGAGCTATTCAACACATGTGCTCATTCATTTATGTATATTCCACATGCCATACTTTCCAATAGTTCGGTAATTGTCTAATTTAGATAGAAACCAATCAAGTGATTGATCCTCTGTTTATACCTTTGGATTAAACTAGATGATAAAAGTCTAAACGATCCTAAAAATTTGCCGTTCATATCTCTCCTATTTGATTGATTGGTTGGTGTCCCTATCTCCCACATGTAGAAGCACATGTAATATATAATCAATGGAACGTGTTCGTATCTGAGCTACTATGTCTTATCTAGCTGGGAGTGGAAAAAGGCCATGCGATTATGCAAAGAGGACACTAGGAATCTTTTGATGTTTTTTTCTTTGTATTTTTTATATTTGCCTATTAAGAATGAAAGAGAATTACAATGGATTTTGTTGAAGAAATTACAAAACGAAAAGAAGAAAAAAAAAGGCCAACTTGAGGGGTTGTGGGGTACCCTAGTGTGACTCTATATTCTTTCCAAAGAAGGGATTGGAGAAAGTCAAGCATAAAAGTTGGGTTGCATCAATCAAAGTTGATAGCCACACAATTTATTGTTTGTTTTTTTTTTTTTTTTTTTTTTTTTTTCCCAAACAGTAAGGACATAGTCTCAAATGGAGATTCTTGCGATACAAAAATTCAAAAAAAGCATAAACAAATAGGTACAAACATTACAGAATTGTGAAAAATAAAATATACAATTTGAATCTCAATTTACTTGAAGTTACAAATAAGGAGGACCCATAACATGCAACAACCAGTACTTCAAGAAGATCAAACCAGAGAACAATCTCTCAGACATCTTGGGACAGGAAACACACTTGGAAGTGGAGGGGCAGGGGATTTGCTTAATTTGTACCATTAGATAGATATACATTGTAATTTGTAACCCATTGGACCATTACACAATTGCACAATCTTTATAAAATAATATTCCACATTCATGGTACCAAAAGCATTGGAGTCAATTCTCATTGGAGATGGATGTTTAGAAACTCCTACCCCAAAGCCCCATTAAAATATTAATGATTTTTGTTGTGTGTTTTTTTTTTTTTTTTTTTTTTTTTTTCTTTCTAAAGTGGTTATTGATAAACTTGATTGACATTGTCTGCCAAATTCCCTTTGAATCTTTAGGGTTTGGTTGCTTTGTCTCTAATCAAGTGGTATTAAATCCAAAACCCCACTTATAATTCTTCCTTCCTGTCCTTTAATGCCTTTGTCATTTGTGCTTAACTACTGCAGCATTGAGGACTTTCTTCACCTCCACCAATCATTTTATAATCGACTAAGTTAATCTCTTGAGCTTAAATTCCAATAAATAATCCACCCCATCATCTTTTTTTTTCACTTTGCACAAAAAGAGGTTGAAACAGCAAAAGTGAAACACGGTTAAGGTTCATCTTTTGAATTAGAGATGCTTCCCTTCTTGTTTTTTGCATGAAAAATGGGGACCAAAACAAAGCTTGCCTACTATTTTCTTGTATGCTAGGAGTCTAGGAATGGCTGGGTTCATTAGATGAATATATTGTCGGCATTTCGCTTTTCTTTTTCTCTAATTTTCTAAAAAAGAATTATGCCAATCACATCCATTCAATAGTACCTGCTAGAATTCGGATTTGAAACCCCTTCTCCATTCGAAATTGAAATCATTTCTTGACTCTTTAGCTAGAAAGATGTTACATACTGACCCTTTGAATGATTGTGCATTTAGTTACAGTTGCTTTTCAATACAATAAATTAGGATGAATGACACGTGTAACAATCTTTATAAGGACATCCGATAAAATTGGAACGATACAGAGAAGATTAGCATATGCCCAAGGATAACACACAAAATTAATTTAGTAAAGTATATGTATGCATTTTCCTTTGACAACCATCTTATTAAGTGAATAAAGAGGCGTGTAATAAATGGCCAGTCTCATCCTACAACTTTTGCTAGAATTGAAGCATAAAATAATTTGGTGAGCACACGTGCGGCCAGCCGTGAATCACTGCGACAAACAAATTCCGACATGAGGAGTGGATAAAAAAGATAGTTGACAGCACTAGATCCTAGTAAATAGTAATAAAGCACAGTAAACACGGGGTATAGACTTTGGTGGGAACTGACATTGGAAATGATTAGTGTTGAGGATTATGCATGGAATATAATCATAGAGATTGAATTATAACACATATCATGATTGACATTAGAAACAGAAAAGGAAAAGCAAATTGGTTTTTGTAGGGATTGTGGGAAGCTTTTCTTTTAATCTTTTTTTGGCTCTTCTCTTTAGCCCTCTTTGCTTTTTGGTTGATGATGATGGCACTTGTAGTCCACTCGGGGCATGTTGCATATCGTTACTTGCGACCATGTGACCATCACATTCTCACTTTCTGGCGACATGTTCCCACATCGACAGGTGTGTGAAATCATGACTTCTCAAATTCTCCATCACCATTTTCATACACAAGAAAAACCCTAAACCCTTTTTCTGTGACTAATCTAATCTGGTTTCTTTAGCATATCCTATGTGTTTGATCAGACTAATGTAAATGCTCAAGTATATTTTTTCATAATAATGGCTTGGAAAGTGGTTGCCCTTTCATTTGTACTGAAAAGAAAAAGCATTACCTTTTCTATAAACCCATGTTCCTAACAATAATATTTTTATTTTTATTTTTTATGTTCGGACCCAAAATACTCCTCATAAGATGCTGAAATTTGGGCCTTTGTTGCTATAGTATATTTCATCATTTGTTGGCCCAAGCCAAGCACATTCTGAAATTTGTGAATAAGAGTGGCCCTCTCAATTCGGAGAAGAGAGATCTGATGCCGGTTGATTTTTATTTGGTCACAGTTTGGGAAGAGGGGTTGGTGCCATTGGGTGTTCGAACTTAGAGCACTTCTACCTCATCGTGCCATGGCAAAGAGTAGGGGTGAATAGTGATTTCCCTAGTAATTTTTTTGATGCATTTCCATCCATTGCCATGACATCCCAAGAACAACCACTATTTACATGAGATATGAGGAGAGAAATTTGAATGGATTTTGATATGGAAAGTGAAGAACATGATTATGTATTTATAGATATAAAAAAATCCGAATTTTTAAGTACTTTTCTTAATTTTTCAGGTATTTAAATTGGCCATTGACGTCACACTAACATCATGCTGACATCAACTTGCTCCAGCAACATCCCAAGCAAGTCTGGACTTCGAACTTGCCCAATTTGGTAAGCCCACTTCTCGTCATGGCAACTTTTCCTTTGTGAGGGTTGTTTTTGGAGGCTAGGTCCTCCCCTTAGGCCATGGAGGGGTGAAAGTGCTCTTAAGACCACTGATATGCTGGCAAAGGGCCCCTTGGCGTACCAGTGGATTTTATAAGCAAAAACATTTGATAGATAACTTGCACAATGATTGTTAGCAAAATAGAAGAAAATATTGTAAGATCTCATGCACGGCCAATGCGCATGCTTAAAACAGGATATATATACAACAACGGTAGGGATTGGGTACATACATATATAGACGTACTGCAAGGGCTCTGCATTCCCCCTCAAATAAACAACCATATTTAACATAAGTGAAAGGCGTGTAAACACAAAGTCCCATTCCACGGGCTTGAGATTATGAACCAAAATAGTACCGAGTTTCAGTCTTCATCATCATCGTCATCTTCTTCTTCATCGTCTTCCTGCAATTTGAAAATTCCAATTATGTTAGGATGCTCAGAGAAACCTTCGAGACGTAAAGTATAGAGAAGACGTTTGTACACTCCTATTCCACAGAAAAAGAGCATTTCTTTGATTTTTTGTGTGCACCTAATCATTTGAGTATTGCAAGCTGAAAATTCAGGCAATCCAAGGGGCAGTAGCTAGGCTGCTAATTATCCAATAGAAATCCTAAAATATCTTCTTTAGCCAGGTATCAACAACCAGAAATGGTAATAGGGCACAAATGCTTTCCAAGTTCTTGACTTGTTAGTGATTAGACTGTGATGCCAGAAAAGAATGAATCTAGTGAAAGCATGTGATACACTGAATGAATTTATAGTTTCTAGTAGGATGAACTAATTTTTGTTCAGATAAAAACTGTGAATGTCACAGCAACATAAAGTTGGGGCTGAATATCTTCAATTATGCGTTCACAGCAACATAAAACGGAGTGGATTATACAGGTTTTCTTGATAATAAAATGAGCTCATGCATTATTTCAAAACCAGGAGGTTGAACTGACAGCAACTTCAAGGCAAATTATAATGATAACAAAGGCCTTTTTTAATTATCGGATGAAAGATCAGAATGCATGCAAGATGTGAAAAGTATTAAATAAAGACTCAATTTCGCAGGCAGTAGTACAACACAAGGATTCATAACTTCAAAGATTACCTCTCCACTCTCCTCTTCTTCATCATCCTTCACAATGGGTTTTGACCTTTCAGCTACTTCTTCTTCTTCATCATCTGTGTCCTCCTGACAGAAGACATAAGAGTCAGGAAAGCAAAGATGAAGAAAGGTGAAGGGTTTGTTTCTGTTAAATTAGAGTCTATGTACCTCTTTGTTGTTGTAAGCTTTCATAAGCTTTTCGTACTCTGATTTCCTTTTCGCTGCTTTAGCTTCATATGGAGCTTTCTCCTACCAATGCCAACCCAATAAGAAGATCAATTAGACAAGAAATGCAAGGGATTACTCTATTGTGAGCCAGGACTGAATCCACAGAAACAGAATTGAGCTTATAGAAGGTAAGAACTTATACATCCTTTGCACAATGACTAATTAATATTGTTCTAAATTTCCAACTTAGCACACAATCCAAGATGCAAAAATTCGCATTTGACGGTTCATTCCTTTTAAACGAAATGAATAGAATCGTCTATATGATTCAAATATGAAAATTTTCGGCCCCATGTAATAACAACTATGAAGGGCTCATCACCCGAATGGCAATGACTTGGCATGGATCAAACTTCCAAAGTCATAAAAAATTTCTGCACAGCCAGGTCCACTGAGAGCACATTATACCGTCCTTAATACATCACAATATTTTCAGATTACTTTCAGAGGATACTATACTACTTACCGCATGAGACATAGATTTCCACTTTTCTCCTCCAGCTTTCCCCACCTTCATTTAAAGCACCCACGATTCACATCAATATCCGACTATAGATGAAATGGCTAACCAAACCAAATGTCAACACTTTCTACTAAATGGAACATAAACTATGAAAGCTGCTTACAGCCGACACAGCTTTTACATTCGGATGCTCTTGCTTGTAAATCGTTCTGAACTCTTCTCTGTGATAATTAGTTAAACAGTACGTCAGTATATCTCATCTAAAGATTCATTGAAATAGTCTAAAATGATTCCCTTGCGCATCTTATTTGGAGAGATACTTACAGAAAAACAAAGAAAGCACTAGCAGGCCTCTTTGGTTTGTTAGGGTCCTTCTTGCCCAATTTTGCATTCTTAGCAAGTTTTCGGCGGCTCTTGTCAGCCTCAATTGCTGCCTTTCGCTTTCCAACCTTTCTGAATTGAAGAAACATAAACATGACATTACCTTTCAAATAAAGCTATTTAAGTCTCAAACCCGACTACAGGCTTCAAGAAAGTCATCCATGAATTCCATTTATGAAAATTACCTGTCCTCTACTACAGGCTTTAAGACTTCTTTCTTCTCCTTCCTCACAGGACCTTTGCCCTTGGAAACCTTCATTCTCAATAGACTGATTTCTGGCACAACGCAATTCAAATAAACATAACCACCAACTCCAACCAGAAAAGTAAAATGAAAAATGTAATAACAGTTATAAAAAAACTAATTATTGATTTTAATGAAATTATTGATATTTTCCTTTTCCCTTTGAGAATCTTTTAGGAGTGATCAAAGTCATGCAACCATCCTGAAATAAGTCAAATTATAGCCCTCTAATACAAGCATATTGCTATGTTTGGTTGCTGAGAAAATCCAAATCCAGGTTTCTTAACCCATAAACCCCATATTATAACAACTGGTGATGGTTAGGTCAAACAATTCAGCTTCCAAAACTTTAATCAAGTTATGCTATTGACATGAGATAAAGTTTTCTACTTTACTTTCTCAGCAGCCAAGCAGAATTCTTACCAGATCAAAGCAATAAGACAACTGGAAAACTAGATTGAATACCCTCCCAGATGTTAAATTGTCAACAAGGAAGTGAATTATATAAACATGCAGACTAGAAACTCAAAAATGAAGAAAAAGAACAAAAACATCCGGAAAAAAAGGGGGAAGAATCACATACCTCCTGTTTTGCAGAGAAGGAAACGCAACAGGGGAAAAGCAGAGCAGAGGAGACTACAGAGTAAAGCAAGTTAAGCAACCCAAGACAAAAAAAGTAAAGAGATAATTGTGGGAGGTCATCATGTCCATTAGAGAGAGAGATGCCAAGAAGATATTTATTGAAGGTCAAGTAGATGACACGTGGAAACCTTTTTGGAACTATTTGTAGTTGACCATTTAAGAATATATATGAAAATTTTTATGCTACATGTAGAGGACGCAGTCATACACATACATACAGCAAGCTGACTGGATGGGTTTTGGATTGGTTAGCAGCAAAAGCAGAGTCAAAGTTTTATCTACCAAAGACAAAGTCAGAGTAAACAAAAATGCACAGTGAGAAGTGTTGAGACACTGCTATTGTCACGAACATAGAAGCTCATACGTAGATGATAAAAATAGTATTTTTTGTGGTAAAATATACATTGCATGGCAGTAAAAGTAGAAAGTAGAGGACCCCACCCAAAATAAATAAATAAATTGAAGAAAAAAGAGAGGTGAAGCAAACATATCCCACAGCTACATGATATCCAGGAGATAAGGCTTTGGCAAAGGTAAGGCCTAAATTAATCACTCACACTTTCAAATCCTTCACAAAATACAAATCCCACACTACTATTTATTTTTCACATTTATATAAACACAACTCCACTCACCAGTCCCACCACCACTCTGCTCCAATTTCACACCCAACTAAGGCATGGCCACCACCACAGCCGCTGTCACTACCTACTTCTTCGGAGCCCGCCTCCCAAACCCCGGACCCAGTTTCGGAAGATTCCAAGCCCGATTTGGAAACTTCGGCGGCTTCAGCTTAGGCACCAAGAAGTCACCGCCACCTCCACCACCAAAACAAAAGCAGAAATTTGACGACGGGGAACGACCCGTATGGTTCCCGGGTGCCGAACCGCCCGAGTGGCTCGACGGGTCGCTGGTCGGGGACCGGGGGTTCGATCCGTTCGGGCTCGGGAAGCCCGCGGAGTACTTGCAGTTCGATTACGACGGGCTGGACCAGAACTTGGCGAAGAATGTGGCGGGTGATGTGATCGGGACCCGGATCGAGACTGCAGAGGTGAATCCGACGCCGTTTCAGCCGTACTCGGAGGTGTTTGGGCTGCAGAGGTTCCGGGAGTGCGAGCTGATTCATGGGAGGTGGGCGATGTTGGGTGCGCTTGGCGCTCTTGCTGTCGAGGGCCTCACTGGGGTTGCATGGCAGGACGCTGGCAAGGTAATAATAATAATAATTCTTTAATTATTGATTAATTATTAATATGAATTACATTATATGTGTTTATGCTTAATTTTCTCAAGCACTTGTTTAAGTTTTAATTTTTTTACGTTCCTCAAATTAAATTTTCATTAATCTAAAATGGTTGTTTAGTATTAGTAAGATCGGGCGCAGTGCAATGTGCTTGTAGCTTGAGAGTATTTACGCATATATACCTTAGATTTGTATCCAAATTCTTCTTTCGTCGATACAATATGCAGTGGATAGAGATAAAGATGTGCGTAGAAGTAGAAGTAATATATGCCTCACTATCCATCCCATTGAAGTTGTATATTTATTTATTTAAATTTGAAAAACATATAGACCGTATCTTGTATTTTGTATGTATGTAAGGAGACACGTAAATATAAGCAGGCACAGTTGTTTGGTGATCGTGTCTTCTTATTATCCATGCGAAAAAACATGGTGGCCCTAACTCCGAAGGTAAGGTCCTTATTGAATATGAATTTGGTGATAGCAATGATGAAAATGATGGCCAAAAGAGATCACGCCAAAATTCATTTTTGTTCTCTACCTCACTTTAATTTATTTACTTACTTGCCCATTAGACCCGAAGATTACACAAATTAATATATTTATGAAAAAGAGAAAGATTCGAATTTGGATGCAATGGAACACCATCGCTGCCTCGGCTAACTAGTTAAACATGTTATAATTTGATTATTGTTTTTTAAAAACAGGTTGAATTGATTGAAGGATCATCATACCTTGGGCTTCCCCTTCCCTTTTCCATAACCACTTTGATTTGGATCGAAGTGCTGGTGATTGGGTACATTGAGTTCCAGAGGAATGCTGAGCTGGACCCAGAGAAAAGGCTGTACCCGGGTGGCAAGTTCTTTGACCCACTGGGCCTGGCCTCTGACCCTGAAGAGAAGGAGAGGCTTCAATTGGCTGAGATCAAGCATGCCCGTCTTGCCATGGTGGTCTTCCTCATTTTTGGCATCCAAGCTGCTGTGACAGGGAAGGGCCCTATCAGTTTTCTGGCAACCTTTAACAAATAAACTTTCAAAATAATAAACAACCCACTTTCGTCCACAAAAATCACAATCTTTTCATTCATTCTCTTCCTCTCTACCCAAAGACTACGATTGCCCTCCTCGCTTATTCATATAATGTTTAATTAATTGCTGTACTATGTGTATGTGCTGTTTCTGCTGCACCTATATACTCTTGTTGTTGCTTTCATGTCTTAAATACGCTGTTTATAAATGTATAATGGAGAAAAAAAAACAAGAGAAGGGAAAATCAGATTGTAACATTTTTATTAGTAACTCACACTTCATTTTTTTTTAAAAACAAGGAATAAAAATTGGTAACATGTGTGAAGCTGTCAGCCTATGAACATGACTGCATTCTTTACACCAGAGTCCAAAATAAGGCTACATCTTATATTTAAAAGAGGGCCCAACAAGTTGATGAGCATTTATTGGGCAGTGGGTTCAAGGACGATTTTTAGAACTATAAGAGCACTTCCATTAGTTAGTCTCTTGCTATGGCAAGGGGAGCACTAGGGCAGCTATTATTCACGTGAATAGTAGCTGCCATACCTCATAGTAAAGTGTGTTTTCAGCAGTTTAGGCTTGCCATGGCAAATACTATTCATTTTTTTGTTTTTTTTTTGACAACTTTGTTTACTTAAACAATTAATTTGTATAATATTTTCGGATAAGATTTTTGGGTTCATACGTATGAAAAATCATTTTCTCAAGATTTTTAGCGGAGGTGCAATATTGACTAAGTATGAAAAATGGTTTTTCGGAATAATCATTTTCTAAAGATAATTTTTGGCGGTTTTTATTCCTTACACATCAAATAAGAAAACTTGATTTTATGAGATTTTAATATGAATTATATATTGACTTAATGAGCCATCATTTTTAGCCTAAATCGTATTTTGCACTTGTATGAGCTTTTTTTTTCCGGCAGCTACTACGGGCCTGAGCTGCCGTAAAGAGCAAAATGGAAGAAATTGCCCATTGAGTCTGAGTTCGAAAATCAAGCCCCAAAATACTTTGAAATGGCAGTAGAGCCTTAGGAAGCATCTTGGTTATCTTCACCAACCAAAACAACAACAACTTACAGATAAATTCTTGGCTTGGCATGAGAAGCTTGTGGCATGAGAGCAAAATTGTCATGAGTTTAGCAATGAAGAGAAAACTAAGTGTTCCTAGGAGAAAGATGGGGTGTTAAGATTGGAGAGAAAGGATTTTACAGAGAGGTTTGGTTGAGCATGGGGAAAAAGAGAGAAAAATGTGGCTTGAGTGTTTTTCCGGTAGCTTGACAGAAACTCTGTCAAGTGTCAGAACAGCTTGCCAAGAAGGAAAACTAAGGGAAAATGATGGGTTGAGCACAAAATTGCTGGGTTTTGGGAGTAAGAGAGGAAGCTTATTCTCTGATGTGGTTGATGTTTGTTGGGTAGAAGAGACCCCCTTTTATAGCCGTTGGAAGCTGACATTTTCCAAGAAACCCTAATGGTTTCTATCCAATTTGGCCAAGTCTTTCCCTTCATTTCTCCCCTCATCTCTTCAATCATCCTTTTATGCTGAAATTCACTCTACCCATTTGCACAAAATTAGGGATTTTTGGGAGCTCAAGGTCTCTTTTCCCACGGCTGTTTCAGACTCTTATTTTCAGCCATCTTTCTTCCTTCTTTTCTCCCCTCTTCCAAGGCTAGGTCTGATGAGGGAAATAAATAGGTATGCATGCTGGTTCAAAGGGTGATCTGCGCTCCAATATCCCTGGGTCATTTGGAAGTTTTTGCTTGAAACTTGCTCCTTCCCTCCCAGCAACTAGCTTGGTCTTCCATGCTTCTTCGTGGCTTCTGTTTTCCAACAAAGTGCTGATGGTTTTGCAGGTCTTTATTTTATTTATGTGGGCCTTCTAGAACAATGGATTGGCTTATCAAATAAATGGGCCAACTTCACCAAGGTTTGACTTGAGGTGTTGGGCTTTTTGGTTGTGATATTTTCTCTTTGTGCTCACCCACATGTTTGGGCCTAAGAAATGGGCTTGGGTTCCGAGGCTCCCAAGCAACCCGAAACCTCCATTTCTCGACTCATCAATGGGCCTCATGACAACTTATTACCATCCATACCACAACCCACTCAAGCAAGCCCCATGCATCTTGCGTGGCTTGGGCCCACTTAAGCTTGTGGCTTGATTAGGTGCAGAATAATAATTCCTTGCTTGGCGTGGCGTGTCACTTGGTGTGGCATGTGTGCAAGCACATATGATGAACTTCTGCGTGCCCAAATCGGGTTTCTTCTCAGTAAGGTATCGCATTAGGTCGAGAATTTATTTGGGCCAAACTGTGGATTTTTTGGGCCTCAATAACACTAAAACCGATTTTTCATATTTTTATTTGGTGGGAATTTGATTTTCTAGTATTTTTATTTGAATCTAAATGGGGGGTACTTCCTTATTTACATTGTAAATTTAAGTAAATGGAGTAATATAAAAATAAATAAAAGTAAAAGGACGAATACATTTACTTAAATGTTGAAAATTGAAATAAGGTGTAGAGAGGAAAAAAAAAGAAGTAATTTTTTTGTATTTTTTTTCAAATTTTGCGGATTTTTTTTCAATTTTTTATTACAAAAATATTAGCTGCCGTTAGATTGGAACAAAAATTATGATCGGAGAGCACAGGACATGACACATGGCACATAATCGTTGATGGACACTGTAGCGCTGGCGTCACGATGACGTCACCCAAAACGCAGGCAGGAGCTCAGGCCAGCCCGTTTTGCTGGGTCCCACCATTGCGCCCGAGCCTGCCTCCACTGCGGGAAACGAGTTTTTATCCCAAACTCCCCCCAGCCCTCCCCCAAACCTGACTGCTAGAAATGCTTTAATGATGGGCTTTTATATGTTGAGGGGTTAGAGTAATTTCGGTTATTTGTCATGAAAAAAGATAAGGTCTTCATCCTTTAAAAAAAAAGAAAAAAGGGTAAGGGCGGTTAATGTTCATGTAAATAGTATCTACCATAGCAAGTTTTAATTTTTAATTTTTGCTTTTCACCTATTGCCATGACAACGCAATGGCAATTACTATTTACATGGGATTAATTTTATTTATATGAATTAGATTAATTTTTTTTCTTCGCTAATGTGATGTCATTGCCCTCATGCAGCAACTCAGGCTGATCTTGCCTGCGGGCCTGCTCAGTCTTGGTGGAGCCCACCTCTTGCCCGGACTGGATTTGCTTGGTGGGATGTGTTTTGCCACTGAAAGTGCTCTTATAATGAGGGGGTAAAATCCAGCAGTCCAATAATAAGTATGCACTTAATTGGGCGACTATTAATGACCCCATCATTATTTCCCATAACTGTTAACCCCTCATTGTAGCCTCTGTGCTTATTTTAGGTTCAAGGACTTGTACAATGACAGAGAAGAGTAGGGGTGTACGTCAATTTGAAACCAATACAATTTAGTCAATTCGCATATGATTCAATGTAGATTGGATTGTGATTTTTTCAATCCGATTCATCATATTAGATGTTTAAATCCAATTCAATATGATCTAACTGTTATTGGATTGGATGATCTGTTTTGATAATGGAAAAAGACTAATGAAATATTAAACATTTATCCTTAGGTTTAATCTAACCAAACATATTAATAGGCGTAAGCGTAAAATACAAATAAAATAATAAATAAAATTCTTTTGATTATATAATATATTAAATCTAAATAGATTAAATTACTTAAAATAGTCATAACTTTTCAATTACAAAATACCTACAAGAGCAAAATAAGCATAAAATTAACTAGATTAAATTAGATTCTCATGAGCAACTCCATCATTTGATCCAATTATGTTGATTTTGAAAATTACAGATGCAATCTGTACAGTGAATTGATTTCTGATTCATAATATAATAAAGCAGTTGGTTAAGATTTGACAATCTATGTATAACCATTTCTTTGCAATTTTAGTGGGTGCTAGATGCCTAAAAGTATCTCATCAGCATAGAGTATAAAAATGCCCGATGGGTTCGACTTGTTAATGCGTGTCACACTCCCACCCACCCTCTCATCTCCTCTCCAATAATAGCATATAAATAACTTGATAAAGGGGGTCCAAATTTGGTTTCCACTACCCTTGGAGCTTTGCAAGCCTCACTCAACATATTCGCATCTAATTCCTTTTAACTTATTTTTATTTGGAGAAGCTTAAATAAAACTAAACTGACTAGGTATAGCTTGAAAAATATGACTCAAATCTTGGCTAGGTACCAATTTGAATCTGTCTTTGTCAAGTTATGAAGGGCCTTTGGGAGATGGCAACACGTTTCTCTTTTCCAAAAGCTTGATGTGCCATTTCTAAAACAGAAAAAAAGAAAAAACTTGTTTACCACTCTTTCTTGCAAGAAATTAATGTCAAAAGTTTCTTGACAGACGAGAGACGAAGATTAAACAAGTTAGCAGACGAGGCTAAACAAGTTGTTTCGCTCGGTAAGAAAAGAAAAAAAAACCATAATAATTAGTGCTGGCGATCATGACAAGGAAAGAACAGCTTCTAATTGCAAGTGTCCACGTGATTGACGCGTTCTTGGAGACCTCTTTTTCTAAGCAGTATTATTCATTTGTCTGTGAAGCATAAGCATTACCTAACCACAACAATAATGCAGATGATTTCAGTTTTCTATATAACCAAAACATAAATGAAATGAAAAAAATGCGTTGGTGTAATTCTAAATATGCAGAAAACAGAGGTGACCATTGCAAAACCAACAAAACTATGAATACGAATTTATTTTTCCAACAAAGCAAAAAACAAGAAGAGAGGCTATTTTATTGCATAAAGGGCCATAAAAAAAAAGAAAAAAAACCGTAGTATACACGTCTTGTCAGGTTGCCACTTCAACATAAAAGTGATATTATTTGTGAAAATGTGGTAGCTCAGGTCCACATTTCTTGCAACTACAGACTGCACCAGAAACAATAACAGGCAAAGGTAAATAAATATTCAAGCAATTCTTTCCCTGTCTTTCTCTTTTCCCTTTCTTGCATCTGCCTTTTCTTTCTCTGTTGGCTTTGTTTTCCATTTCTTCTCGCGCAGTAGATTCATCTCTTCCATATCAATCTTCTTTTGGGTTTTCTTTGATTTTAACGACGACCCTTTATCTGAATCTTCATTTTGTCTTCGAATTTTTGCTGGTTAAGAAAATTTTGGGTGCATAGTGGAGGCATGGGAAGGTTGTTTGTGCAGAGTCTTGAGGGGAAGATCTATAGCTGCAAGCACTGCCGAACCCATCTAGCTCTTTGTGAGGATATAGTTTCCAAGGTTGTTAATTTGATCTCTCTCCAGCTTTGATCAGTCAAAGTTTATTCTTTTCTGTGATATTCTGCTTAAATTTTCATACGGGTATTGATGAATTGTTGCCTGTTTCTGTTTTTTTTCCCTTGGAAGATAATATTTATGCTGTTTGATGGTACCCTGGGTCGAATACTCAAATGTATTAGTTAGTCTGCTTTTGTGATTATGAATTTATGTTCCTTTAATTACTCTTGGAAGTTGGTTTTGTCTAACTTGAACTGTAAGGCAACATTAATGTGATGAAAAGAGGGTAATTTGGTGTTTGATAATCATTAGCACAAGATCTCATTAAGTATGTAGTTGATTCCCTTATTGTTTCTCATAGTTCTTAAATGGTAATTGTAATTTTTTTTTTTTGGGGTGAGCTTGATAGTTAGATTTGTGTTGAATATTTAATTACCACATTCACAGTAGCGTATCTGTTAGTTGAAATTTATTGATTAACGAGGAAAGGGATGTTTTAAGGCATTTGGATCCTATATCATAAGGTAGAACTTGTATCCAGGACAAAAATAATGCTGCATTAATTATTTCTCTTGCGGGAATGCAAAAAGGACTTGATACTAGTTTTTAATGAAGAAGACAGCTAGAACTAAATTGAAGCCTTATCCTATTTTCAACTGAGAGAGGACATGGTGGCTTATGATATAGCGGTTAGAATTTGGGGTATTTCCCAGCCCTCTCTGAGGGCCATGCTACTGGGAAGAGATTATCCAGTATGCCCAGTTTAGTCATGTCACATGTGAGATAGTGTTTATGGTTGGCTGCTACACTTACTCGAATTCTCAAGTAGTATGAAATCTGCAAAAAAATTCTTGTTCATTGCTTTCAAGTGCATCTTTAATTCCACGGGTGCTTCTCAAACTTACCAAGCACAAATAGATCATGGCCTTCAGTTTTGGCACGTTTTCTTTTAGCTTTGATCGACTCGTGACGCATAGCTTTGGACTCTTTGTGTCCAGCTGACAAAACTAGTTTTAGAAGATTTGTCCATGAATGAGTGTACCTGTATTGTCTCAAAGTAATATAATTTAAAATACGGTAGGGCTCTAAATAGAGTGAAATGACAGATGGTACTAGTCTGTGCTATCTTTAATTTTTAGATAAGGAGGTAGAAGAAGATGACGGTTAGGATTTATTTTGATAATCATTCAGTATTATTAAGGCTTGTTCTTTTTCTTCTTTGATGTAGTTGCCACTTCTTTTTCCCTTTTCATTTGGAGTGTCCAACAGATGTTGATTGGTAGTTTTATTGGAATGGAAGCACATTGTCTGACTACATGTTTTGCCTGTGTTTCATTCAGTCTTTCCACTGCAGGCATGGGAAGGCGTATCTCTTCAGTAAGGTGTAAGTTTTTCTTGATATTTGGACATCTTTTCCTTGTCTGATGCTGAGACTAGATCCACTGGAGAATACTTTATGTAAACCAGCAACCCTTACCAAAGTTAGCCGATACCACATGGAAGTTACAGATGCTGGAATAGTAAAAGAATATTCTGTTTATGTTTTTACACATGATCAAGACACAAAGCATGTCTCAAGCTCATCCTAGAATTTGATTTATTAGAAACATTAATTGATTGCATGTGTGCTTTATTGCTTATACAGCACTGATCAGTTTTGGTTTCACTAAATTTTACAAGAGAGCTGCCATCAATAGCTTCAAACACTGGGTCTCTTACTCTTAATTTTCATTTGTAGTCTGTCAAATTATGCCTGAACACAGCAGAAAGTCGAATGAAATGATGTGGATATTGCAGTCTGAAATAGGATAATCTTTGATAATCATCATGGGCGTTCTCATTTGCAAGCTCACTCAACAAGATTTGTCATTAAGCAGTATATGATTGCAATGAGTTGCTTTTAGATATGTGATTCGCATCTCCAATCATTTACAGAGTGAACGTAACTTCTGGAGAGAAAGAAGAGAGAATGATGATGACAGGGTTGCACACTGTTGCTGACATTTTTTGTGTTGGATGTGGATCAATAGTGGGGTGGAAATATGTAAGATTATGAGGCATGAATAGAATTGTCATTGTTTACGTATACTTGTTTTCTGCTGTTATTGGTTTTGATGTTTTCTTTCAGGAGACTGCCCACGAAAAGAGCCAGAGGTACAAGGAAGGAAAATCCGTACTTGAGCGGTCAGTAGTAGAGTCATATGGAGAAACAAAATTTGAATTCCAATCTAATTCAGTTCGGTAAAAATAAGGTTGTGAGTTTCATTCTTGAGCAGGGTTAAGATGTCGGGGCCTGACGGAAGCAATTATTGGGTCAGTCATGAAGCACAAGTTGGAAGCAGTGATGCAGATGATGTTTGATGGTTGCCCTTTTTCACATTCAATTGTACATTCTTTGAATCTCATCCTTCTTCTTCTACTCATGTGAATTATTAAGCTCTTAATTCCTCATTTCGGCAACTATCTGAACTTACCTTCAATAACATCTAAATGTAAACAATTTGATTGTGTTCAAATTCGATTCAGTTTGCTCTTAATGTAGCCTCTTTTCAAAATAATACATCTGATTCCAAATTATGTTTGCTCTTAAAAGGTCTGTGTTGTAAAAAGAACTCTTTTTGATTAAATTTCAAATTTATAAATAAACCCAATCCTAGACATGTATTTATAAAAAACCCAAGCACTATTTAAACATAGAAACACACCCAAAATCACCCCAAAATCAAAATGTATTTTTTGGGTGTGTTTATAAATGGGTTTTGAGTGTGTAATGATGGGTTTTGGGGTGTTTATAAAGTGTTTTGGGTGTTGGGTTTTTTTATAATTTCAGCCCCTATTTTGGGTGTTTTAGTGAAACTCCCTTAAATATTTGGTTAACAGTTGTGTGATGGAAGCACTGGTGTTGCAAATTGCAATATTGCCATCGTTCGAAACTATTCCCAACAATATGGCGGGAAAAAAAAAGAAAAAAACTTGGCTGATGTCACTTCGAAAATCCTCCTGCTGCTTAAATAATTATAAAGCATCCACCTTTTTCTTCTTTTTTCTTTTTAGTATTTTTCCATTTGCATATTGAAAATTTGTGGAAGGGCAACTACCAAACCAATATTTCGGTAGCCTACGTAACGAGAGAAACTCATGCAACGGGAATAACATTTTTTACTATCCCTAGCCAATAACACAACGACATGTGAGATAACTTTTCTACGTGTCATTGTGTTATTGAATGGAGATGACAAAAAAATGATATCCTTGTTAGAGCATGTCCACCCCAAAAGGCTAAGGATAAGGCAAAGGCTGCTACTATTCACGTGAATAGTGGCAGCCTTGCCTTTTTTGGTTCCATCCCAAAAGGCTAGGGCAAGGGCAAGAAAAAAAAATGCAACAAAATATAAACTTGTTATGTATTTATAGGGAAAGTGAATAAGTTTTTTATGTATTTATAGGGAAAACATCCATAATTTTTTGGTTTTTTTTTTAAAATAAAAAATTTTGATTTGATTTTTTTTTCCAATTTTTTGAATTTTTTTTTTGCTCGCTAACGTCAGCATCCTCGAACTGAAGCCCAGGCAAGATCTGCCCTCGGGCTGCAGGTGCTGCACTGGAGGTCCAAAACCGAGGGAATGGGCCTCTTGCCCTGGCAAAAGTCCTTGTGGTGGAGATGCTCTTTACAATTTTTTTTTCTTCCTGCGTAACAGATGCTAACCAAATTAGGTCTACGAAGCCTAAAGCTACAAAACCATCTTTATGGGCGTCATTCTTTATCATTTTATGACTTCAACATTTTTCTAAATTTTTTTTTTATCGACTCTCTTATGGTTGCCTGTGCATCTCATTCAAGTGGGCAAGCCTGTGAAAAGCTTTTTGTCCTTTTACTGCCCCTTTTGTTTAATACAATGTGGTGAAAGTAAAAAATGGGTAAACTAATCACACAAACGAATCACAATATGCGATGACTGCTCTGAAAGGCAAAGCAAGCAAGCTTTGTATTTTACGCAACTCAGACAAATTTACAAAGCATAATGGATGTCTTAAATAGAGGAAAGCTATCATGTACCAGGAAAACACGTGTGATGCTGTGTCTAGATTTTGAATCTGAAAACCCCATTCGTTTCAATAGAGAAATGATGCAAACAGATAACTTGACATCAAGAAAAACATACAAACTGCAAGATGAATCTGGGGCAGGAGTCTGTATTGACTATATAACATAAGCCACGGAACAGCAAACAAGTGTCCAACTCAAAATATGGGGAAACTCGAGATTTGCTCTCGCTTCTAGCCCCGGCTAAAATGACCAGACATTGAGTCAAGCAGAAGAGTCGGCTCCAACTACAATATATAATGTTTCATATGTGATGAAATCTAATGAAGGCTCGTAAGAACAACCAAATCACTCAAGTGAATAAACCATTCGCTCAGCCAGGCCTTCACCTACAACTCTCATATATCTACGCAGCTGGAACTCCAAGTAACTCCTTTCCGACGGGCGAAAAGCGAACTTTAGATCCTTCAAGAAACACAGTGGCATAACTATGAAGACAAGAAAGGGGTTGGATTTGGGTGGGAAGCTTAAGTAGTTTTAAATCAGGTATCTGAAAATTTCAGACATGCTCAATGAACACAATAAAAAAATTGAGTACACATACCTTGAATTTCACACGAGATCCCGTCAACCCGATTAAAATGTTACTGACATCTCCATCTTCTACATCAACAGATGCCAGATGTTGTTCGTTGTCTGAGCTTCCATATTCAGGCTCCATCATCCCTTCATCGTCATACATAAGGAAATCATTAGTGTCTTCTTTCCCAATGTCATCATGTTGCACTTCCATGACATCTTCAGAAACATGAGGCGGCAAGGACTCTCTATCTTGTAACGTGGAAAAATCCGATAGAACAACATACGGCTTTCTATCAAGCAAAGGCTTAGCAATGGCAAAAGGAACCCACCTGAAGTCAAACTTTCAGTTTGTTAGCCACCAAAAACTTGGAATGTCAGGCCAATAGCAAATTTTCTTGATTAATATGAAAAGTATAGCTTCAATTGGACGTGTAGATGAAGTAGATAATGATCTCATATGAAAACTACAGCTTGCATGTTTCTAATTATCAAGAGAGCATCCCACACATGCTGAAGATCCAGGAGCTTGAGAGTCCAGAGCATGTTAGGAGTAACTCACGGTTCTCTTTTCTTAAGTTTCCCATATTGCTTGCTTACATGTTCCCAAGTGACTAGGGTGTAGTCAACCTAATCACCACCCAGAAACAGATTAGATTACTGGCCTTTTACTTTAACCTAATTCTCCCATTTCCCAGTGTGCTTGTATAACCACCTTAACTAGATTATTTGTAATCTCAACCTGGATGCCCTCCACAAAAATGATTAACCATGGTAGACAAAATGTACAGTTCAAAGCAGGCATATCAACCACAAATGTACAAATGAAAATTTTCAACCTTACTTGTTTTCAACCTAATTAGTAAAGTGAAACTCTTAACAGCTTTCCATGGTCAGCTGGTATATGCAAAGGGGAACTTACTGGTAACGTAGAGGGCAGAGTAGCTCAGATGGGGAATATGCTGCTTTGTATCTCATCTTACTGCAAGAGTGAATGTAATAACCGAGATAATAATACTGAAGACTGGAGCAATGGGCTTGATTCTCTTTCACCCAATTTATTTCTTGCAGTGCTGAATACTTCCCAGGTGATAGGAAGGCAAAATCTGGGTCCCAGAATAAATATTTACTTGACAAACATCTAGGGAGAATATCTATAACACCGACTGCAACAAGCTTTCCATCAATCACATATTGCTGATGGAAAGAGCCAAAGCCACAGGGTGGAACTGTACCATCACCAGTTGGAGGAACAAATATTAAGGGAGTATCAACCAAGAACCTCTTATATGAGCTTTCCGTAACATGATCAGGGGTATCATTATGAACCATCATTTGATACCGTCTATACAAGGCATACTCTTCTGAATCAAAACTGGACCTTTTCAAATGAATCTCGAGCCTCCGCCTCTTTACCTGAGTATTTTCAGAGCTATTTTTCAAACTGCACCCTTTACTTTCAGAACTGGCAGCAGATCCTTTAGAGACACTAACAGTTTGAGAACTTTCATATGCGGAAGCATGTTTTGCGGCAGAATAAAAATTTAAGTGTCCATTGCAAGCCCTGACTGACAGACCAGAAGTTTTTGCCAACTGATTCAAGAAACTTTCTAGCTTTTCAGCAATAAGCTTTGGAGATGGCCCATTTTCATCTGTAATATTCCTCGACAATCTTCCCTGGTTGCCGTCCTTCTGATCTGGTAGAGACCGCTTGATAGTAGCCGCTATTTGGAAAGCAATATTGGTCGAGTATAAGAGATCTTCTGATCCTTTGCCCAAAATCTTTCTTTTGGCTTGTGAAACCTTTTTAACGGAAGCCTTTGGAAATTGAATGTCAGGAAATTCCCCACTTTCAGAGCAGGCATGAACTCCGTTACCAACTTGATCTGATAAGAATCGCATAATGTTTTCTTCCCCATCCTTCTCTTCATTGTTATTGGAAGAGGATTCCTTCACAGCTAAGCTTGAAACTCCAAGATGGGTACGGCTGCATGTGTCTGTAGAAGCATTTGGATCCTCTACAGACTCCACTGGTCTTTTACAATCCAAGGTACCTTCTAAAAACCTAGGCATAGATCATTTGCAGTGAATCAGGATAAAATATATAAACCAGAATAAACATACGTTTTTCTAGAAGTTTAATGACAAGGTGGAGTGTAATAAAAGGCAACATAACAATACCTTTGCATTCGCCTAGACACCCGAAGTTGCTCTTTAGAAGGAACAAAATCACCAGCCTTCAGACGAATGGTATAAGCAGGGCAGCATGTTTTTTCCATCTCAGGTTTGTAAAGGAAACAACCAGATCTTCTCCAACCCCGGTCGAGAAGGTCTAGCAAGAGACACATAAAATATATTAAAAAAAAATTCAAGGTACGACTGTAATCACTAAAATGATAACATTTTGATCAAGAGAGGTTCTTTATCATGGTTACCAATACAATAACAATAATATTGTTCACAAAATATAACGAGAATCCAAGAGAAAACCAACCTTGGTAGTCATTGATCGTAATGCTTTGTGTCCCCAATCCTGTTTAACCAAAGACGCATTAAAAATGTATCAGAAATATCAAATGCACGTAAAAAGGAGCAAAATAACTTAAACACAGGCGATGACTAATCACATAAAAGACATATGAATGTTTGTGCTAAAAAGTCCGCCAAATTCGCATTGCTTTTAGAAATCTCATAACTTGTTAGCAGATAGGAACAAGCACGACGATTTCAAATTTCAAACTAAACCATACAATTAAATTCCTAAACCTGTTCAAATTTTAGCAAGATCAACCAAATTATGAAGTTAAAAGCGAAAACTTGATCAAGCACAGATAAACACAAAACGGAAGAGAGAGAGAAAGGGTTGATTAGAATCAGAAAGACGGACCATGAGAGATACTGGAGCGAGCAGACGATTTGCAATAGCCGCAAGAGCTTTTGTTTTTACCATAATCGACCACCACGCTTTCCTCTCTGTGGTTACTGCTACGGCTGCTGTTTCTGCTGCTGCTACTGCTTGCCTCGCTTTTCTTCGTCTTCCCCGCCATTTCCGATTTGATCCTCTCAGCCCAGCTCAGTTCTGCTTTTGCATCGGAGACTCTGGACCGCGTCTTGCCTTCCGAACGACGTCGTGGTGCGCGTACCAACCGTGCGACCCTCTCCTTCTGATATCGGCGGCCGATTTTCAATTCAACTTAATTGTTAATTCATTTGTATATCTGACTTGATTTTTATATAGTATTTAAAATATTTTATTTTCTGCGGACAAATGAAGGAGAAGAGACTCGGGAACTTGCTGGTGAATTTAAGTACAATAACTCATCTTCTTTCAGCACGTTATTCTCTTTACTTTTTTTTCATTTTCTTTCCTCTCCCAAAAAGAAATCCACGGGCGACCAAAACACAAAAGGAAATCAATCAATGAGCGGCCAAAAAAAAACCTAAAGGGGGGTATCAAACCATCCAAACCGTAATGCGTGATTTGATGTTTACTTACATGTAATGGGAATACGAAGAAATGAAATATAATAAACAAGAAATAGGAATAGTATCAACTACCCCTCTTAAATGATTTGATGTTTACTTACATGTAAGTAAATTTGCAGTGGATAAGTTTTCGGAAGTGAATCAAACCATATTGGTTTGGTCCAAATGTGGTTTTAGAAATTAATTTAGTATATAATATTTAATTCACCAGTAAATTTAATATGAAATCAAACCATATCATTCATACAAATTAAAAATATACAATGCAGTATTTTTTGTTTGAAGGTAATATATTATGATGCCAATAGTTCTAAACACCCTTTCCTATTGTCTAATAAACAAAATGCAAGACATAACAACAGTTTTCTCATCATGAAAGTTCAACTAGCAATACTTCAAATTGTGTGAACATTGAGTGTAAGAGAAGGAGAGTTGAACTTTAGGTATCTCTCAATTTGAAAAGAAAAATATCACTAAATCAAGAGTTGATTGTTGAACGAACTAATCCTCTAATACAAGCCGAATTTAAATTTGATTGATTTGGAAAACCATAAGTAGCTATTATTAGAGATATATCAAAAGAAAAAAAGGCAGACATTTTTCGAAAATAATCGAGAGATAATATAGTTAATAGTAATTTATATATTTCGTTTAATTAAGAGATCTAAAATTTAAAATCCATCAAATATTATAATACATCTCATAAAAATCACAAAAAAGACCTATTTTAGAAAACATTAGGAACAAAAAGAAAGGGAAAACCTCTTTATCATCCAAGGTGAGTATTGATTTCTTCCATAATTTTTGTCAAAACCGAACTAAATTAAACCGTTATATTGTAATTGGTTCAGTAACAATTTTAAAGTAAAATCGATCCAATATGAACTGTGCCCACCCCTAAGAGCATCTCCACCCACAAGGGCTAAGTCTAAGGCAAGGGCAAGCAAGGGCTGTCACTATTCACGTGAATAGTGTCAGCCTTTGCATTTGTGGTTCCACCCACAAGGGCAAAGTCTAGGGCAAGTCTAAGGCAATTACTATTCATTGTACTTTATTTTCTATTTTTTTATAGTTTAAACCATTAATTTTGATAATCTTTTGTAATTAAATTTTCGGATAAGATTTTCACCCTCTAAAATTGTGCCACGTCTGATGTAGAATAAATGTCAGATTTTATCGCTTGAGCTAGAAAAAGGACGTAGTGGGAATTTGCAGATTTGTCGTCCGAGCTCCGATTAGGACGCAAAATACCATTTCGGAAAGGGAACGATACCACGAGTCAAACTCACAGCTTTGCTGTGATGTATGATGGATTTTGGCATTTTGAGGTCGTTTGGCCTTCCAAAACGGCATTTAAAGTTTCGTAGTTAATTTTTAGTATTTTAGATTTTAATAAAAATTATTCAAAGAAAATTCCTTTTAAAATTGTGCCACGTGTCAAATGTTAGATAACATTTTCAGATATTTTAAAAAAATTTTAATCTCAGATTTCAGATAAGATTTTCACTCTCTAGAATTGTGCCACGTGTCAAATGTCAGATAACCTTTTCAGATATTTTAAAAAAATTTTAATCTCAGATTTCAGATTAGATTTTCACCCTCTACAATTGTGCCACGTGTCAAATGTCAGATAACATTTTCAGATATTTTAAAAAAAATATCATCTCAGATTTTTGATAAGATTTTCATCCTCTCAAATTGTGCCACGTGTCATCTCTATCTTCTAAATCCGTCTATAAACTAGACCTGATTTTCAAACCTCTCACACCATCTCTTATCTATTCCTTCATTTCTCAGATTGTAGAAAACACATTCTACTCTCAATGTCAAACTTGTTGAGGGTGTTGGAGAGGCAACGGAAAGAAAGGGAAGAAACAAGGCGTAGACGTGCTGAAGAAGATCGGGAAGCTGATGAAGAAGAGGAACTACTGCTTGCAGCAGCGGTGTGTATGATGGATCAATCAAGGCAAAACCGTCGTCCTCGTGCCCCGAATGTGGACAGACGTAGGGAGTCTCGGGGTAAGAATCTCATGGAGGATTATTTTATCCCAAATCCGTTATATCCTGCTTCTAAGTTTCGAGAAAGATATAGAATGCAACCACATTTGTTCCAAAAAATCATGCATGATATTTGTAATTACGACACATACTTCATTCAAAAGCATGATGCTGTTGGAGCTTTAGGTCTTATCCCGGAGCAAAAACTGACAGCTGCTTTGCGGATGCTTGCTTATGGGGCATCTGCAGAGCAGGTGGATGAGATTGCAAGGATGGGAAAATCTACTGTCCTAGAGTGCTTGGTGAGATTTTGTGATGCAGTGGAAAATTTGTACACGAGGGAGTACCTTCGCAAACCAACGCCAAGAGACCTGCAACGGCTTCTACAAAAAGGCGAGGCCCGAGGTTTCCCAGGAATGATTGGAAGCATCGATTGTATGCACTGGCAGTGGAAGAACTGCCCTACTGCGTGGCAAGGGGAGTACGGGAATCGGAAGGGCCAAAAAAGTATAATTTTGGAGGCCGTAGCTTCATTCGATTGTTGGGTTTGGCATGCCTTCTTCGGGGTTGCCGGTTCTCAGAATGACCTCAATGTCCTTGGTCAATCCCCAGTGTTCGATGAGGTATTGCGAGGTCATTCCCCCCAGGTGACGTACCAAATCAACAATACCGTTTACTCTGGTGCGTACTACCTTTCCGACGGAATTTATCCTAGGTGGACGACATTCGTGAAAACAATTCCGAATCCCCAATCCGAGAAGGAAAGAAACTTTGCTTCCTTTCAAGAAGGTTACAGGAAAGACGTGGAGAGGTGTTTCGGTATCTTGCAAGCTCGTTGGGCAATTATTAGAGGTGCTGCTCGGATGCTAGATGAGGAGGTGCTGCGGAGTATTATGATGACTTGCATCATCCTTCACAACATGATTGTGGAGGATGAGTATGACTATGATGCTCAAGAGGTGTTTGAACCCGATCCAATGAACACATCGTTGACAAGAATATATGAAAGGCCGATTGGACCAAATGGACTACCACTGGAGCCCGAACCCATACTTCGGGATGGTCAATTCAACAACCCCATGATTGATCGGTATCAAGAAATGCAATCTTCATATGTTCACGAGATACGTCAACGTGACTTGATCGAGCACTTGTGGGAGATCAAAGGCAATCACAATGGATGAAGTCAAGATTAGTGCTTTGTTTGGAATTATGCTTTGTTTTTAATTATGCTTTATTTTGTGTGTGGTTTTTTTTTGGAATTATGCTTTTTATTATTATGCTTTTATGTATGGTTTGTTTTGTGTGTTGTTTGCAATCAATGAAGGTTTTTTTAAATTAATATTTGTTTTGATGCTCAAATGTTTTTAATAAATAGTCATTTAATTTAAGGCTTTTTTGATTGAATAAAAAGGGAACAATTCAACAAATTAAAGGATAAGGGAACAATACAACAAATTAAAAGGATAAAGGAACAATACAACAAAGTAAAGGATAATACAACAATACAACAACTTAAAGGATAATACAACAATACAACAACTTAAAGGATAATACAACAATACAACAATAATGGTTTTCATCATTTAACCAATCCGTATTGCTAGGTCCGTCGTCATTGAAAAGTTTTTTCCTCATCACATCTCTTCGTCGTACCTTCCAATAAGCCTTTGTTTCGGGAGACATATGGCTCGTATCCATAGCCATGATTTTCATCTCTCTATCCTCTATGTCTTTTTCTTGTGCCATTTGTTGTTGGAGAGCAAATGCTTCCTCTCGTGCCTTGTCCATTTCATCTCTTTTCAAGTCTCTCTCGATTCTTAGTGTGGCGCTCTTAGCTATTTGCTCCAATAATTGTACACAATCATTGCTCGAAGTGGCCCCTCTCTTGGCCTTTGCCGCCTTTCTCCCAATAGGTCTTGGCGGACGTGGCACAAATGGTGACTCCGTTTCCATTGGGGAGTCCAATGGAGAATCGGTTGATGTTGAATCGTGGAGTGGCGTCTCATTCATCACAACCGGCGGACCGGTGGGAATAATTTTGAACCTCGAACAATCCTTCACAATTTCCCAACATTGGAAATGCACGAAACTTTTTTTGCCTTGCCCCATGGCACCGAACCACATTTGTGCTTGTACCATCTATTAAAAATAAATAATTGGAAGTGCAAGAAACAAAAATTATTATGCAAGAAAATATAAACTATTTTGAAATGCAAAAATAAAATTGATTATGCAAGAAAATATAGACAAATTAAAGGTGCACCAAGAAAAAAAAATTATGCAAGAAAAACAAATAGAATATGCAATAAAAAAAAAGTGACATTGAATTGATTAAAATGGCAATTATAAATATTTTACCTCATCGGTCAAATTTTGACCGCTTTGAATGTTCGCCTTTGCTTTTGTCAAGGCATTCCTCCATTTCCCTAACTCTTTATTAAGAAGTTTCCATCTACTAGACAACGCCATTTCGGTCCGAATAGAACCCGATCTTTGACAAAATTCTCCATGAATTTTGCTCCACATGTGATGAAACTTCATTTCATTACCCGTGATAGGGTCATGACTAATGTTCACCCAAGATTGACACAACGCAATATCTTCATTCGTTGACCACGAGCCTCCGACTTCAATAGAAGATGCCATTTGTTTTTTTTTATACAAATGGAAAGTAGTAGAAAGAGAGTAAAAAATATTGGAAGGAGAAGAGTTTGTATGGAGAATTGGTGTGGAAGTGAAAAATGTGAGTGGAGATGAACAAAAAAATTGGAAGGAGAAAAGTTTGTATGAAGAATTGGTGTGGAAAGTGAATAATGTGAGTAAAGAGTAAAAAATATGGGATGGAGAAGAAATTGTATGAAGATTTTAGTGTGGAAAGTAAATAAAATGGTTAGGTATTTATAGAGAAAAAATACAGAATTTTTGGGTATTTTTTAAAAAAAAATTCAGATTTTTTTCGATTTTTTTCGATTTTTTTTGCAATTTTTTTAGCCAAAAAAACGAGGACCGTCGGATTTCTGGAAAAATTCCATCGGAGAGTCCCCGTCGCGCCACGTGGCGCCCGCCCGTTGGAGCTGTCAGGGATGACGTCAGCGCTGGCGTCACGCTGACGCCAGCGCACGGTAAGTCAAATTTTTTTTACCGTTGGCGCGTGAATTACACGCGCCAACGGTAAAAAAAATATGAATTACCGTGCGCTGGCGTCAGCGTGACGCCAGCGCTGACGTCACCATCTCGGGCTTCAGCCCGGGCAAGATTTGCCCTTGGGCTTCCTCGGGCTCGTGGGACCCGCCATCAAACTGGGCTACGGGCCCTGCGCTGGAGTGAACTCGGGCTGCCTCGGGCAGCCTTTCCCCACTAGCCCGTGACGCGCTGGAGATGCTCTAAATAATGTAACTCTGGAGTATGATCTACGGGACATCCAAACAAAAACAATATTCATCTTGACAGAACCAAGACAATCCTCGACGGCATCTATCAGAATTACATAAAAGTACATGGGCTTAACTGCAAATACAACCACTTCAAATTTCAAAACAAAAATGAAATAAATTAGAAAAAAGGGCATTATCGTGATTATCTACCCACCAAAAGCCACAACCTGAAAACGTAGGCTTTAAGTGAGAGAAACAACGAGAGCTGCACGGTGCATCTCCGTTCATTTTCCCCATTTCAGACTCCAACTCTTTCCTAAATTACCATTCGATACCACTCCTCTTCCCCCTCACTCTCTCTCCACTGTGAAATCTCCGATCTTTCAAGGATTCTCTCTACAACTTCTACTCGACTCACCTGCGTTTCGAGCTGAGCTTTGCAAAATGGCGGTTCCTTGAAGCTCAATCTCTCTTCTCCTCTAAGCTTCCACACACTTGAGCTCCGTTCCTCAACAATGGCGGTTCCTTATAGATGAGGACAGTTCAAGATTTCATCTTTCTCACCCTTCTTACACTCCTATTCAGCTTTTACGATTGGAAGAAAGTGAAACAAAATGCCAATTCGTAGCCTTCGAATTTGTGCATCAATTAACCCTCGGTTTCAGATCTAACAGTTGCTGAACTTCGTTTGGTGACGACGGCAACACGTTTTCTGCGACAATAGTTGTTTGAGCGGTGGTTGGAAGTAGGTTTTAGTTTGTTTATTATTATTTTGATCTGTGATTATTGGGCCTAGTCTTGGGTTGCCTGGACTTTGCGTTGTCGAGATGAATCGTAGTTTTAGGGCTCAGGAATCGCAAATGCAAGCGATGATGAAACAGAGGCAGCAGCTGAGAGCCTCAGTGAGGAAGGAGAAGGAAGAAGAGCTCGCTTTGTTCCTAGAGATGAAGAAGCGCGAAAAGGAACGAAATGATCTTCTTCTTAACAGCTCTGAAGAGTTCGATGCACCATTAGGTACTCTTTATGCCCAAATATTTAAGTTTTGGACTGCAATGTAGGATTTCAAGTTTCGTGTTATTGATCGTTAATGTGTTTTTTACTTGAACTGATGCTATGATAATCTGTACTTCGCTTGAATTGTTGGGAATGTTGTTTATTTAGGCTTTGGTCTTGATTATTGATGTGTTTCCAATTTGGTAACCCCGACATTGCAGGGTCGAAACCCGGAACTTCTCCCATTTTCAATATTTCCTCATCAACGCCAGCACCTCCACGCAAAACTGGTGCTGATGATTTTCTCAATTCAGACAATGATAAGAATGATTATGATTGGTAATGCCATAATGTGTTTTACATTTTCTTAAAGTAAATGTTATGTATAGGCCATATATATTTTTTTCATTTATAATGATCGTAGGCTATGATTCTGAAAATTTTCTGTATATTATGGAACTTCTAAATTAGGTTAATCATATCCTTTAAACTTAGGATGGTAGAAGAATTTGAGTTTTGTTCCAATTATATCGTATGAAATGTTTTGGATTATAAAGTTTTGGAACGAAGTCCAACAGTATGCGATATAGTCTGTGGCCTGCTGATTACATGCCTAATGTGGGGTGAGTTGGTGATTATCAAGGTGGCCAAACCATGTTGCCTTCCCTTTGTTTTACTTCTAATAGATCTTCTTTAGAAATTTTGCATACCTATGCAATGTAGGAACTTCTGAGGAAGGAAATGCATGACCATGGAGGTGTTTTAATAAATAAGAAGTCTGTACAGACATGTGTGTTCGTTCTTAAAAAGCATCCTAAATGACTAGCGTTGTCTAAGTTGGCATTAGTTAATTTATTCTGCTTTAACAAAAATCTTTTTTATTCTCCTTTCAGGCTTTTAACTCCACCTGGGACTCCTCTTTTTCCTTCATTGGAGATGGAATCACATAGGACCATGATGAGTCAGCTTGGAACCCCAAAGGCTCGTCCTACTGCACTCAAATCTAGAGTAAGCATTTCCTTAAGTGTATCAACTGGGTTGCAATTCTAAGTGTAAGTGGGTGGGATTTATCATTATATGCATGGTAGTCAACAGACTTGAACATTAGCATCCATCTTTAATCTTTTAAAAGCAGAAGCCATCAGTTCATATGGAATTTGATTTTTTAGGACTTTCTTCTTTTCTCTGACAATTAGTAGTTATGCTGGACTGTTGTTAATCTTTCGAAAAACAAGGGTTTCATTAGGAATCAGAGAAGTTGCAAAAGATATCCTTAGGATATGAAGCTTAATTGGCAGTTACATGAGTATCTGAACTTTTGAATTAATTCTACATCTGTCAAACTTTACGTTGCTTAACTTAGAAACTGCATTTAAAAGAAAATTACTTATCTGTAATATGCAAGTTAGAGGAGATTCGACTACTATTGAGCTTAGAATGTTCTAATAATAGAAATAACGATGATGTTTCTCTCATTTATCAGTCTTTTGAAATAAGGGTAGATTTCATGGTAATTTTAAGTTCATGAATTTTGAGTTCTAATTGTGCTTGCGGTGCACGTAGTGTTTCTAAGTTATTTCTTCATTTTGGTCATAGTTAGCAAACCCCCAGCCAGAACCTGCTGCTAGGAGCAACTTAATGTCTAAACAACCAACTTCTTCCCCTGGGTTGAGTTCTTCAAGTTCAGGGACCCGGAGGCCCTCATCATCAGGAGGTCCTGGATCGAGACCTGCAACACCAACTGGACGCCCCACATTGACTTCTGCGCCTAGACCTTCAAGATCGTCAACACCTACTTCTCGAGCAAGCTTGCCATTAAACAAGTCCACAAATTCTGCAGCTAAGCCTACAGTTCCCACAACAAAATCCACAATTCCTGCACCTAAATCTACCATTTCTGCAACTAAATCTACTATTCCCTCAAGATCCTCTACACCGTCAAGGTCTATGGCAAGATCTTCAACACCAACTTCCAGACCCACTGTACCCCCACCCAAGTCTGCATCAAGTTCAAGAGCATCAACACCAACTCGTCGACCGTCCATGCCATCCACTACACCTAGTATATCAGCTCCTCCATCAAGGTCCTCTCCTTCAGTTTCCAAGCCAGTTCCTGCAACAGCAAGAAATCCAGTGCCATCACGTGGTGCGTCCCCTACAGTGAAATCTAGACCATGGAAGCCCTCAGAAATGCCGGGTTTCTCACTTGATGCTCCACCAAATTTAAGGACAACGCTTCCTGATAGACCACTTTCAGCCTCTAGAGGTAGGCCTGGAGCACCCAGTTCTCGATCGTCTTCTGTTGAGCCTGGTTCTAATGGAAGACCAAGACGGCAATCATGCTCTCCTTCAAGAGGACGGGCTCCCAATGGCATTAGTCATACAAGTGGGAGCTCTGTTCCTGCATTCAGTCAGGGGCATTCTAAAGTTAATGACAATGTGAGCCCTGTTTTAATTGGAACAAAAATGGTCGAGAGGGTAATAAATATGAGGAAACTGGCACCACCAAAGCAAGAGGACAAACATTCTCCTCATGGTAACCACTCTGGGAAGTCATCATCATCCCCAGACAGCTCAGGCTTTGGTAGAACACTCTCAAAGAAATCCCTTGATATGGCTATACGTCACATGGTAAGCATGTCTTTGCATTTTATGAGTTGAGACTAGAATCCCTGGTGTCTTAGTACAAAATTGTGCTTGTTATTCTGTGGAAGTATTTCATATTCTCTGTGGCCGAAGATAGTTTTCCCTCATTCCCTCAAAGTTGCTGAGCAGTCAGAATTTACTTGATTTTAGAGGAATTGTTTGATACAAGTTTGGTATCCTTTACATTTTCCTGATTCAACTGTTTGCTGCAGGACATAAGGCGAAGCATTCCAGGTAATTTACGACCTTTAATGACAAATATTCCTGCATCCTCTATGTACAGTGTGAGATCAGGGCCTGCACGAAGCAGAACGGTTAGTGTTTCAGATTCTCCTCTTGCCACTAGCAGTAATGCTAGCTCCGAAGTCAGTGTAAACAACAATGGCATTTGTTTAGATGGGAGTGAAGTAGAAGATAATGGCAGTGAGAGAGGTGGTCGATCTCCTGCTAGTGTGCGGGGTAGGTAATGGTTCGGGGTCCTATCATCCCACATAAACTGCATCTCTAATCTACCTTGTATTTTTAGTTTGGGTTCCAATCATCTTGATAGTCAAAAGAAAACCATTTTCCCGAGACACCTGACTAGAATTGTGCCTCTATGCTTAATGTAAAGTTTATTGCAAATGCTGGCGGTGATGTAATTCATGATATTTGTAATATTAGGAAATCTAGTTATGTGCTGAACAGCCTTTCTTGGTTCATTTTCTATGGATACTTGTATCGAAAAGTTAGATCCCTGTTATCAGTGAACCCGATATTATTTTGCTTCCTAAGTCCTTATCCCAATCTTTGTCGAGTTGAATGTTACCATTGAACGGAAAGTTGGTATTTGCTGATGGCGTTACTTCTACAAGAAAAAATGTTTCCTTTTTTCTCTGAACGGCATCATGGAGAAATTGATAGTTTAGCGGAAGTAGTTATAAAAGCATACTATGCTCATTTGAAAATTAAAATTGCTTTGTACGAGCCAATGTAAAACAATCATTTTTTTTCTCTTTCTGGAATTTAGGAATCAAAACCATTGGCTGTTTTTGTTTGTTTGAGGTCCTAGTTTCATCTACAGCGTCTGCGTCCTCAAACTTTAAGGACCACTGGTGTTTGGCATTTCAGTAAAAGCCAGATACGCGACAGAAGAATTTCTCACCCAAATTTCAGAGCTGGACCACTTTAATATTGAGTTCCATCATGCATGTATCTTCAGGATCGCGACACCCAGCCCATCAATGAGAAAAAAAAATTTACCATCCCAAACTATTAACACAATGACACACATGGAAAAATGATCACACATGTCATTGTGTTATTAGTCGGGATAGCAAAAAGTGTTATCCCGCATGAGAGTTTTTCAATCATTTCATTCCAGTGCTGTCTCACCAAACTCTCAATATTGCAACAGTTGCTTCTTAAGGTTCCTCTTTCCACAAGTCGGACGCCATTGCAGACGCAACTAGCCGTCTGATTAATCAATACCCTCACGAACCAGGGCCTTCAATTACACATTCAACACGAGCATCCCATTTACTTATATGAATGAAGTCATTCTTTCAACCAGTAGATGAAAATTTAACTAAAAATATTATTATTTATTATGTATATGAGCATTCTTCAAGAGCTGCAATGAGAGGTGGATTTACTAAACCTACTGAAAATGAAATATTATCATAAAATTTGGATTCTAATTCACTTTTGTACATATAAAACACAAAATTTTAGAACTGAATATATCCATCAGAAATATGTTCAGCACGAAAAACTCCACAATACTGCAATGAAAGTACTTGGTTGCTACGAAATAATCCTGACAAAGATGGCCAGTAAAATTATGCAGCAGCAACTACAGCCTCAGAGGCAGCTACCACAGCAGCAGCCTTGGGTGGAGCAGAAGAACTACTGGGTTTAGCATCATTAGCAGGGGCTGGTGCTGGGGGTGTAGGCTTAAGGTGGGGAGGCGTATTATGCTTCAATTTTATAAGTATCTGCCTCATCCTTGAAAGTTCAGTTGGCTTTCCAGGCTTTGGACCTTGTACTACGATAATGGAAGGTTTCTTTTCCTGATCCTTCTTCCCTCTCTTCTTCTCTATAGCTGGCACCTCATTGGGAATGAGATCTGCAACTGCCTTCCAGTAGTTCTTGTCTACCTCAGCATGGAACTTCTCTTGACTGGCCAGGAACAGCTGCGAAACGCAAAAATACAAGTTCAAAACAATATATGTTGGGAAGTGATGCAGGGCAGCGGCTATAAGCTGCTGTCCAGTGACCCAAACATACCCAAAATACAGAGGATAGAAGGACAAAGCAGTAGAATCGAAGTTGGAACGAAGATAACTGAGTTCTAGGGCAAAATCCCAATAGAAACTCTATAGACTAAAGTCTGAAATTATATTCATAAAAAAAAACTAAATACAAGAGTTTCTTAATAGCCTACTTATACTAGAATATAGAAAACCTAATTGAATATAGAAAACCTAATTGACACAGGAAATTAAACCAAATCCTAGTAAAAATAGGAAAACAAGTAATAAAATAACCTATTAATTTAATATAACTAAAACTTAGCCTTATTGGCTGATGCCCACTTAGATTAGGAAAGCCTGCTCCCGCATCAGGAAGGTATATATAACTCTTTACTTCTTCTAATCTTAGAAGTTAGAAGAGAAATCAATCAATAAGGATACTTAAAGGAGAAAGAAACTGTAAAGTAATGTCATTTTTAAATCCCAACAAAGTCCAAACTAGATCCCCAATTAACAAGGTAATGACACTTGAAACATCGAGAGTTCATTCTGGTAGTAGAAAACTCACAATATACATGCACTTAAATGCTAACGCTGAATAAACTGAGAAATCTGTTACCAATATCTTAACAAAAAAAATCAAAATCAAAATCTTACAATGAGAAAGAGGACACATTTCAGATGATTTCTACAGTACTATTAGTACTTAGTTTACAATGAGGGATAACAAGGAAACAGTCTACCTGAGGTTCGTGTAGTGAATCCTTGATAATTGTGATTATCACTTAGTTTAACTAAGTTTTCAGTCCTAGTAAAGAGAATAAAAGTTATAATCTTCTATGTATCAACAAGATCTGTCTCTTCTTCAACGCCTATTTGGACCCATATTCAATTATTGAAAGAATCAGCAATTCAAGAACTAATGCTACATGAAATAAATACACTACCGGCATCAGCTCAAATGATCTTATTATGCATGCCAACAAAAACTTAAACTTGAGACAGTGAAGTATGAAGTTAACATTAGTACTCAAAAGATCTCATTTAAAACGGAGAATAGTGCTAATCAACTCTTTCTGAAAGTTCATTTGATCTAACCTTCTCCCTTTCCCTGTTAGCAGCTTTGTTATTCTCACAAGTGATCTTCCTCTTCTGGTAGAAGTCAATCTTGAATTCATCTGCTTCCTCAATTATTTGGATTAACAACTCCTTTTCCCTCTTCTCCTTCTCCTCCAGCTCAATTGCATTCTGTCTGCATGCCACAAAAGTTTGGTTTATGAGAACTCCTTTACAACCTCACATGATTCAACCATTTAATATTTTCCACCATATTCTATGCAAACTTAAAAGCCAGACAGCGACGAATTGTTTTTTGCTTCGGATTGAGCTCCAAAATTTTATACAAACAAATGGCATGGTAGGTCCCGTTTAATTTATCAGAAAATATACAGTAATTCATAAAGAATTTAACAAATTCACTTCAGTAATTTAACCAATGCCCACTACGCATGCAATTCTTCGAAACTACTGAACTACTAAAAGAACAACTTTCTCTCATTCAACAATAATCTTTTAAAAAGCAATTTTAACTGAATTGCACAAAGAGTCATAATTTAAGGGTGTTGTTAAACAAACCCTAAAATTAACTGAGTACACCCTATGATCTAAGTACACCTTAATATTTAAATCAAAAGGTAAAATTAACTAAGTACACCTTATTTAACTACCAAATACCCTGGTCCACCCTAATACACCCTATCACACAACACCAAAGAAAAAATAAGAAACTTTGTCCCATTCGTGGTGGTCCACAGAACCCTTGTGAATCAGCTGCTAGCGCTACAATTCTGAATTTATCTGTGCTGCCACAATGTCCAATGTCCGTAGAAACAGCTAATTCTGATTTTAAGCACTGCTCCGATGTCCAGAATTTGTTTCATTATGAAGAAAAAAGGGCTTTTCCCCCCACTGAATAGTGTTTAAAAACTAGAGAGAGAGAGAGAGAGAGAGAGAGAGAGAGATTGATCTAAGAAAGAGATAATAAAACCATCAAAAGTAGATTTCTGAGTTTTGTAAAGACCATTATCTCCAGATTTACATAAAAATTTGTGCCTAACAAACTTGCTGATTTATGTGCTCCTTACACAGCAAGATGCAACTCCCACACCAGTATGGTAGCAAATTATGTTTTTTCTATCTTTTAAGCTTCAAACCTTTTATCAATATAGTTTGCTCTTCTAAGAAGAACTAAATACAGGTCTTCTAATCTCCAATAAACGATTAAAGGAAGAAAAAAAATCTTTTCCCCACCTGGGTTCTAATGGAACCAGTAGATCCAATAAACCATTAAAAGAAGAAGAAAAATCTTTTTCCGCAGCTGGATTCTTGATGGCCCATTTTAGATTAGGATAAATTAGTAATTCAATACATAGTTTGGCAGATAGATTGCTCAACAGAACTATTGGTTCAATTGCAAACAAGCGAAATTCGAAACCCTACCTCCTCCACTCTCTGAGAGCAAAGCCTTCCTCAGGCAGCATATCCGACGGAGGCGGCAAAATCGGATCGTTGGATTCGCCGAACCCTCCATCGAAGCCCTGGCCGTTCGATTCAGGGTAGATCGACGGAGGAGAAAGGCCCTCCGTCGCCTGCTGAGCGGCGTACGCGTCATCTACGGCGGAGCCGTGGAAGAGCGGCGAGTCAGTGGCCGAATCCTTGACCGACTCCGAGTCGGCAAAGTTAGTGGCGACGAAGGAGTCGAATCGCACGGAGGGGAGACGGGGATCGTAGCCTAGGTAACCATCGTCGTCGAATGGGCGAGTTGACCCGGTGGTCGGAACTGAGTCGTCTTCGGGTTGAGTGAACGAAGCCATGATCAATGTACTGACACGTATGAAAGGCCTCTCTCTCTCTCTCTGTGCTCTTAAGTCTTAACGACCAAGCGAAATGCTCGCAGAGGCAGCTAATTACTGGAGAAGTATCAGTAAGATGCGTTGTGCTGGGCAGAAATGTTGGGCTTTAATTTGAGATATGGGTTCAATACACATGTTGGGCCCACATCCATTTCACATGCCTTTGTATTTCGGATAGGGCTGATTTTCAGATGGATGGAAATCACGGAATTTCAATTTCACTCCAAAAAGATTCGGAATGAAAATTCGATTCTAATTTTGTTACAAAAAATTTCAGAATTTCAATATCCATTCCACTTTGGAAAACTCGGAATTTTTGGAAATTTTTAGAACTTACATATTTGGGAATATTTTTGGAAAATTACAAAAACTACTTCAAAAATCTAAACATGCCCAACCATTTGAAGAATTAAAATTGACTCCAAATTGAAAACTTATATGAAAAGTTTGGAAAACTATTATAATGATAGTACGTATATGTTGTTATCACTTATGAAATAACTTGTCTATGTCTATTTGGTGATCAAATTATATTTAATTCAACATGAAATTAGTAATTGTGTGTAATCTAAACTTAAAATCCCAATATATTTCGGAATTTGGAATTTTTGAAATATTTATATACATTCCAATTCCAATCCAATTTTTATTGAAAATTCAGAACTTTTGAATGTTGAAATTGATTTGGACTTGCCAACTTGCACCCGTAATTTTGGACTTTTCTCAGTAGGGGAGAGCCCGATTTTGGGTTTTTTTTTTTTTTTTTTTGGTTTTTGAAATCTTGTTTCAAAATTAAATAGAAGGTCAAAAGCCATATTACATCAAAATGAACTCAAATAATTGAGTTCACACAAAATGCAATGCATACAGATATAGCCCACTACAAATAAAACTAACAAAATGCATAAAGCATACATAAAGGCATTAAGCCCACATAGAGGCGAAGGGCCCACATCAAGGCAGAAAACCCACAAAATGCAAAAGCCCACAAAGCTCAACACAACATTAGGAAACCCTAACACCATTAACAGACATCTACCGCACAATCCTACAGTCACAAGCCGCGCCACCATAGCAAGCCGACAACCACCAAGGAGAAACCAGTGACCAACAGAAAATGGTGGTGGGCAAGCCACCAAAGCTACACCCAGTAGGAGTAGCATTACCATAATCCAAGCAATAAGTGTGATTTGCACTTTAAGGGCATCCCAAACTCCAACAGTTCTACTGATGATAGACAACAGAAGAAACATCTGTGGAGTCAAGGAGCCGATGATAGTGGTTAAGACCAACGGATGTGACGCAGCCTCCAACAATTAGGTTTCAAACCACGTCTATTCTTCATAAATTCTAAATAGCGTGATGGTCCAGGATAAACAACGAATTGGATGTACAAAGTGAATGAAGTAATGGGTTTCTTCTCTTACTTGTGCTATTTTGATCTTGATATCTCTCTGATTTGAGTTTCCACAACTTGTACACTGCGTATTGCTCAAGTCAGCAACCCCATCATCAATTTTGGTTCACTATCCTAGTGGTGGCTGGCTGCAACTTGGCAACTTTCCCAGTGTAGGCTCTGCAATTTGCATCACTGTTCAAATTGCAGTGATGCAAACGCTAGTAATATTTACTTTAAAAAAATCAGAAACTGTTTGCTTTTCATCTCAGAAGTCCAAAGAAGAAAAACCCGACACAAGAGAGTCACAGTGCTTGACCTCCAATCAAGACAGCTGAAGGGTCACTTATCTCCCCACATTGGAAACTTGAGCTTTCTCAGGACACTAAACCTCCAAAACAACAGCTTCAGCAGCAACATCCCTCAAGAAATTGGTCATTTGTTCCGGTTACGAAAACTAGACCTTGGAAACAGCTTCTTCAGTGGTGATATTCCTATCAACATATCACTTTGCTCTAGCCTCCAATACCTTGGCTTGGTACAACTTGACTGGAACTATCCCTCATCTACAACCACTCTTCAATCACACTTTTCTGTTCATGATCAATTTAGCATCATATGAAAAGATGTGAGTTAAATTTAATTCTTGTCTTTATACCCTCATTTAGGGCTATTTGGGATTGCTTCTAATTATGTTTGACAAAAATAATTAATAATATAAAACTTTCAAATTTCAACATGCTTCTAATAAAAGTGCTTTTAAAAAAACTCTAATAAAAGTGCTTTTAAAAAGACGCTTATAAGCACAAGTCCTCTCTACAAAAGTGGTTCCAAACATCATTTTCTGAGTTGCAAATTAGTCCAACCATTTGCCTAAACCCTTCAACTACGTTCATACAAACTAGTCCAACCAATTTGTAGTCAACCATTTGCCACCATTTGTCTCTGCTTATGAAGTTCACTAGAGATTACTCTTGTCAACATCAACTGTTCAAGTCTTTAAATTTGCGTCTACTTACTGTTATTATTTTGAAGAGTAATAATAGCGGCTGTGATTGCCGGATTGACAGTCTTTCCTCTCGTCAACGTCAACTTTTTAAGTCTTTCCTCTCGTTAACTCAATTTTTTAAGTCTTTAGTAAGCAGAGACCATCAAACTCTTCCCTATTCAATCTGTTTCTTTATTTCTTTTTCTCTTTCTCACTACAAGAACAATGGCTTTCATCACTTACCAAATTGTTTATGAAAACCTTTGTTTCTAGTTACCTAAATATCAAGAGCTAGAGTTGTTGCACTTGCAAGTTGTAATTTTCATGCATAAGTCTTGCCTCAGCTTCATAACTTGAGCTTTACTTTGCGGCCTAAATGGGGTTCCCTCCAAGTATGGTTATAAGAGTTTGGTTAATTTTCATGCAACTCTTCCTCCTAACTTCAGCCTTCTCACGCTTAGTAGGACATGAGGTGGATGGGCTGTCCTTGCTTGCCTTTAAAGCTGAAATCATGAGTGATAGCATGGGCAACCTTAGCTCCTGGAACGAATCCCTGCACTTGTGTGAATGGCCAGGCATTTTTTGTGGCCGCAGACACCAGAGAGTCACAGGGCTGGACCTCCGATCAAGCCGGCTGCAGGGCCGCCTATCTCCCCACATTGGAAACTTGAGCTTTCTCAGGACATTGCGCCTCGAAAACAATCTATTCAACCACACCATCCCTCAAGAAATTGGTCGTTTGTTCCGGCTACAGATGCTGAGTTTTGATAACAACTCCTTCAGTGGTGCTATTCCATTCAGCATATCGCGTTGCTCTAACCTCCAATACCTTAGTTTATTTGGAAACACTCTTAGTGGCAAAATTCCAATTGAAATTGGCTCATTGTCCAAGCTTCAGGTACTTAATTTAGGCACAAACAATTTAAGTGGGGAAATCCCATCTGCCTTTTCAAATCTTTCTTCTCTTGAGATGCTATATGTGCAACAAAATAATCTGCATGGAGGTATTCCAAGTAGCCTTGGCCAGTTGAAAAGTTTAAAATATCTTGCATTGGGTACAAATAATTTGTATGGCACAATCCCTCCCTCCATATACAACCTCTCTTCAATTAAACTCATTTCTGTGCTTGCAAACCGACTTCATGGAACTCTTCCTCCTGGCTTGGGCCACACTATATTTCCAAACCTTGAATCCTTTTCATTCCATATGAACCGATTCAGTGGACCAATACCAATTACAATCTCCAACGCATCCAACCTTAAATTTTTTGGAATCTCAGGAAATATTTTTACCGGAAGAGTGCCTAGTCTGGCAAGGATCTCCAATCTGTTTCGGGTAGAAATGGACAGTAACAGTCTTGGAAATAATGAGGATGGTGACTTGGATTTTCTCTCTTCTCTTGTTAATTGCACCAATTTAGAGCGTTTGGATATTAGTGGCAATAATTTTGGAGGACTGCTACCTGACTCTATCAGCAACCTCTCAACAAAGCTCACGGTACTGAAACTGGGAACGAATCAGATACGCGGTAGCATTCCTGTTGGGATTGGAAATCTCATCAACTTGGGGGTTCTAGACTTTAAGGTAAACCTATTGAGGGGCGGTATACCAAGCTCAATATGTAATCTAAATAAACTGTATGATCTGTTGTTGAATCACAATGAGCTGTCAGGTGCTCTTCCATCTTCTCTAGGCAATCTAACTTCGTTAGGCAGATTAAATCTCATGTCAAACCACTTACAAGGAAGCATACCACCAAGTCTTGGTGAATGCAGGAATTTGCTAGCTTTGGTTCTTTCTCAAAATAATCTTAGCGGTCCCATTCCACAAGAAGTCATCCGTTTGTCATCCTTGTCACTAGTTTTGGATCTATCCAGTAACCATTTTACTGGTTCCATTCCCATTGACGTGCATTACTTGGTGAGTCTTACTTCCTTGGATCTTTCTGAAAACAAATTATCTGGTGAGCTTCCAAACGCTCTAGGGAATTGCATGAGTTTGAAAAGTTTGCATTTGGAAGGAAATTTTTTGCGAGGGACCATTCCTGAAGATTGGAGTTCTCTGAGAGGAATTGAAGATTTTGACCTTTCTCGTAACAACTTGTCTGGAAGAATTCCCAACTATTTGGGGAGTTTCAACTTTTTACGAAATTTGGACCTATCATTTAATGATTTAGAAGGTGCAGTACCGATGAGAGGAGTTTTCCGAAATACAAGTGCGCTTTCTATCATGGGAAACAAAAGGCTATGTGGAGGTATATGTCTGCTAGGATTGCCCCGACGCCGAATTATTTCCAATGAATCTAAGCAAGAACCTAAGACAGAATTATTTCCATGGCGGAGAGTACTTACATCAATTGCTATTGGGGGAGTTATTGGACTTGGCTTACTCTTGTGCTTTGTGCTTCTTAATTTATCAAAAAAAGCATTGCACTTTTTGCTTCTTTATATATCAAGAAAAGCAAGAGTGAAGCCAACTTCAGGATCATCATGGGGGGTTTCACTCTTGAAAGTGTCATATGCAGATCTCCTCCAAGCAACTAATGGTTTTTCTACTCGGAATTTGATTGGTGCTGGTAGTTTTGGTTCTGTGTACAGGGGAATTCTCAATGAGGAAGAAAGAATTGTTGCAGTCAAAGTACTCAATGTTCAGAGTTCAAGAGAAAGCTTTATAGCAGAATGTGAAGCCTTGAAAAACATTAGGCACCGAAATATTGTCAAACTATTGACCGCGTGTGCAAGTATCGATTTTCAAGGAAACGATTTTAAAGCTTTGGTTTATGAATTCATGATGAATGGTAGTCTAGAAGAGTGGCTGCACATTTCAGCTGACAGAGTAGCCGGGGCACCCATTGTGCAGGGGCATTTGAATCTTATTCAGAGGGTAAGCATTGCCATTGATGTAGCCAATGCTCTGAATTATTTGCACAACCACTCTCACATGCCAATAGTTCATTGTGATTTAAAGCCCAGCAATGTTCTCCTGGAAGGTGACATGACTGCCTGTGTTGCTGATTTTGGTTTAGCAAAGTACCTCCCGGATGCTTCACGTTCACTTCCTTCACATGAAAACACTTCCAATGTCATAAAGGGTTCCATAGGCTATATTGCCCCAGGTAAGTCGGATTCTTGCTTCAACCTCCTTCTAACATATACAAGAAAGTAATAACTTCTTTTGCTTTTTAGCTTATAACTGTATGATCCATATGTTTTTGTGCCAACAAATTACAGAGTATGGTGTGGGAAACGATGTGTCAATATATGGAGATGTGTATAGCTACGGAATCCTGCTATTGGAGATGCTTACAGGCAAGAGGCCTACGGATGAAATGTTTAAAGATGATCTGAACCTGCACAACTTTGTGAGAATGGCTTTGCCTGAACGTGTAGAAGGAATATGTGATCCGGTCCTTCTTCAAAGAAAAGAAAGCAGCACTCGTAGTAATGCCACAAACAATAGGAACAATATCGAAGATGATCAAGGACAAAGAGTAAGGAAGTGCTTGGTTATCCTTGCGAGGATAGGAGTTGCTTGCTCTGCAGATTTTCCGAGAGAGCGGATGGATATTGGCAATGTTGTAGACGAATTATGCCTAGCAAGGGATGTACTAACCGGAAACTGGATTCCTAGAAAGCATAAGATCGCCGCCTAAGCAACACGACTGCGTCAGGAATTTAGGCCTAGTTGTTGATGTTATGTTTTTTAATTAATCAAACTCTCAGTTACATTTTACAGCTAGCAGAAATGAATAATGTAGCATCAAAACGATACAATCAGAATTTGAAACAGAGAGTTTTCTACTCAGACTGAGAGCCTCACTGGCTATGGGGTCAAGAGTCAAGGAAGAAGTGGAGTTTTCCAAATCTAACCTTCAGTTTTTGTTCCATTCAGATTCTTTCTTTCGAGCATACATAATCAGTTTGTCCTTTTCTTTTCTTTGACTACCAGTTGAAGAGTAGCTTTGAAATCCTAGGTGAAAGTAACAAATCGTATCATCTGTTATGTCTAGATGTATAGATGATACGGTTTGTTGTAGCGGGATTATGTCTAGTAACCAGGATGCCTAGAGAACATATATTATCATGGCCTAAGTAGTAAGTCACACCTTTTCATATAAAAAGATGTGAGTTAAAGTTAAGAGGAGAGAAACTTAATAAACGATTTTGTTCATTCTTCTAAGCTCCATATTGGTGACTTTGAGTTTTTGCTTTTTATGATGGGTGTTTTTAAAATAAGCGTGTTTTTTTGGGTTTACCAAACACCCGACTCATGCCATATTTTTATTAAATTTGCTTTTAAAAAAAATTCAGCGTTGCCAAACGCCACCTTAGTGACAACATGTTGGAGGGGGAAATTCCAGTCAACTTGAGCTACTGCTCTGAACTGAGCATCGTAAGTTTCAGATCAAACCGTCTCACAGGCAAAATACCATCGGAGCTTGGCTCGTTGACAAAGCTTTTGACACTCAACCTTAGCACAAACAATCTGACAGGAGGCATCCCATCTTCCTTGGGAAATCTTTCATCAATCACACAACTTTCCTTGGCATACAACAATTTGGTGGGCAATGTTCCAGAGGAATTATGCCTGCTGAAAAGCTTATATTTTTTTGCAATTGGGCCCAATAATCTCTCTGGTATTATCCCTTCCTCCTTTTTAATATATCATCTATGATCACCTTCTCACTTACAGATAATGAATTCAAGGGCAGCATTCTACCTAACACAGGCCTCAACATGCCTAATCTCCAACAGATCGGAATTGGTGGAAATGAATTCTCTGGGAAGATCCCAGCTTCATTTTCGAATGCTTCTCAGCTTCGAATATTTGATATTACAGAAAATAATTTTTTGGGGCAAGTCCAGAAAGTTTTGGAAATCTTGCAGGTCTCCAGTGGCTTGGTTTGAGCAACAATAATCTAGGAAATTATTCAGATAATGACTTGGGTTTTATAACATCCTTGACTAATTTCAGCAACCTGGAAATTCTTGATATGAGTTTGAACAATTTTGGAGGTGTTTTACCCAACTCTATAGCCAATTTGTCAACCCAACTCACTAAACTCTACCTTGGAGTCAATCAAATATCCGGAACGATTCCTGCAACATTAGAAAATCTCAATAACTTGATAGTCTTGGGCATGCAGGCTAACCTGTTCACAAGTTCCATTCCTACTTCTTTTGGGAAGTTCCAACAGCTACAAATATTGGCTTTAGATGAAAACCGATTATCAGGACAGATCCCATCTTCCATACGAAGCCTCTCTCAACTGTTTCAACTCTACTTATCAGGAAATAAATTAGAAGGAAGCATTCCTCCAAGTATTGGAGACTGCCAATATTTGCAGTACATGGATATCTCACAGAATAGCCTTAGTGGAGAGATACCACCACAGGTCATTTGTCTTTCCTCCTTATCTGTCTTGCTCAATTTATCACATAACTCACTAACTGGCAGCCTATCTGTGGAAGTGGGCAAGCTAAAGAATATCAATGCACCGGACGTCTCTGAAAATAATCTGACTGGAGACATTCCAGAAAACATGGGAGACTGTCTGAGCATTGAATTTCTTTACCTTCAAGGGAATCTCTTTCAAGGAATCATACCTTCTTCTTTGGCTTCTTTGAATGGTCTTCGGCGTTTAGATCTTCAATAAAACAACTTGTCAGGTCAAATTCCAAAAGATCTGCAGAGACTTCCTTTCTTGCTGTATTTGAACCTTTCCTTCAATAATCTGGAGGGTGAGGTACCAAAAGAAGGAGCCTTTCGAAACACAAGCACAATATCATTGGTTGGAAATACCAAACCTTGTGGTGGTGTCTTGGAACTGCAGCTTCCAGCATGCCCCATCAAAGGACTAGAACAGAGAAAGATCCATAGTTTCAACCTAGAGTTCATAATTGCTTTAGTGCTTGGATGTTCTCTTTTGTTTTCATTCTTGCTTGCACTGTATTGGAGGAGGAAACCCGAAAAGAAATTACCATCTGCAGTCTCATCAATCAACTTCCTTTCGAAGGTTTCATATGAGACACTTTATAAAGCTACCAGCGGATTCATTCCAAGCACTCTAATTGGATCAGGTAGTTTTGGCTGTGGATATAAAGGGGTTCTTGATAAGGAAGAGAAGGTTAGTTGCTATAAAGGTCCTGAACCTCCAACAGAACGGAGCTTCCAAAAGTTTCATGGCTGAATGCAATGCACTTGTTAAGATCTTAACATGTTGCTCCAGCGTGGATTACAACGGTAATGAATTCAAAGCTCTAGTTTTCGAATATATGTCAAATGGAAGCTTAGAGGAGTGGTTGCACAGAGAAAATCAATCAAGGAGTCTGAACCTTCATCAAAGATTAAATATTGCAGTTGATGTGGCTTCTGCATTGTATTATCTCCATGACCATTGTGAACCACCAATCATTCACTGTGACTTGAAGCCAAGCAACGTTCTTCTTGACAATGACGTGATTTCTCATGTAGGTGACTTTGGGTTAGCAAGACTCATATCAACCACCACGCATTCCTCTGAAAATCAAAGCAGCACAGTTGGAACTAAGGGAACCATTGGCTATGCTGCTCCAGGTAAACTCTCCTACTACTTTAGAACTTCTTAAATTTCTATCAACTGAATCTTAAACTGCCAAACTTTGATTGTTTTATGAGTTGCAGAGTATGCAATTGGTGGTGAGCCATCAAGACAAGGGGATATATATAGTTATGGGATTCTTGTATTGGAAATGTTCACAGGAAGAAGACCCACAGAAGAAATGTTCAAAGATGGTTTCAGTCTTCATAACTTTGTTAAGATGGCAATACCAGAAAGAGTTATGCAAATTTTGGACCCGGCTCTCCTCGCCACGGTAGAAGAGAAAGCACCTCCTGCTGCAGCAACAGAAAATGAAGTAAACTACATCAGTGGCTACAACATTGAAATTAAGGCAGAAGAAGAAAACATCAACTCTGAGAAGCTAGGCAAGATGAGCCCATATGTGAGCAAGTGCATAGTTCCAATCCTTAAGATTGGACTTGCATGCTCAGAAGAATCACCAAAACATAGAATGAATATGCAGGATGTCACCAGGGACCTGCACCATATACAAAATGCTTTCATTGGCGTTGATATCTGTTGAGAGAGAGAAAGAAGAAACTAAATAAGAAGTTAGAAATTATTATATGATACTAGAATACGTTCACGTCACGTACATTTGCCAGTGTAATATTTAATGGTGTTCTGCTTGTCTTATGGTGCAAGAAAAATAATTAGATACATGGACAGAAGAAATAGCAAAAAGGAAGTCATATTCTATTTCTTTTCCTAGTTACCAAAGGAAAAACCAAGTCATATGGTACACATGATCTTCTCAGAATTGTACAGCTGTTCAACATCATAAGCATGGCCAACCTGTTCAACATCATTAGAAATGCACAGCTGCCCAATCTTAATTATCATAAATAAATAATTTAATGTTGCACCTAATACCTAACAGTCCAATGACAATACCATTAAATAACTAATGTGAAGGTTATTTTGTGTCCTTGATCCACATGGGTTATATTATAAATCACAAAAGGACCTAAACTAGAAATTGAACTTTTTAAGGGGATAAATAAAAGTCAACTGGATCCATTTTCAATTTTATAATCTTCATGGGCTAAATCATTCATTACCACATTCACATTTGTTCCCCAAATTATGTAAAATTAAGTAAAAATATAAGATAAAAATCTTAGTTCTCTTGGTCGGGTACGGACAGATTTTTATTTATAATTCTCCGACCTTTACGGTTCCGTTCCGTCCGCAAGCGATTCAATTCAGCGCTTCTGAAAGCCAACCCGAATCTGACCCAAAGTCCGATGGCGAGCCTATGGCGAGCCGCGACGGGCCAGACGGAGAAGCCCAACGACTACGACGGAGTGGAGTTCTGGTTAAACCCTGAACGCACCGGCTGGTTGACCAAGCAAGGCGAGTACATAAAGACGTGGCGTCGCCGGTGGTTCGTGCTCAAGCAAGGCAAGCTCTTCTGGTTCAAGGACTCAACCGTCACCCGCGGCTCCAGCCCACGTGGCGTGATCCCAGTGGCTTCCTGCCTCACAGTAAAGGGAGCCGAGGACGTCCTCAACAAGCAGTACGCGTTCGAGCTGTCCACGCGCTCCGACACCATGTACTTCATCGCCGACTCGGAGAAGGAGAAGGAGGACTGGATCAACTCGATCGGACGGTCCATAGTGCAGCACTCGAGGTCCGTCACCGACTCCGAGGTCGTCGATTACGATAGCAACAAGTGATGGGGGAAGGGGCAATTTGGTCAGATTACTACTCTGATGTGAGCCAAAGAGCTATAGCCCATAGGTGAGTGAGAGCTCCGACGCCCTTATTTATACCCCTTGTAATTTTGTACGTGCATAAAATTCGGTGGACTCGTTATGTGTTTGTGTTTCATCTTCTGTAAATGAATTTTCAGATCGTATGGTGCTTCGTCTTTGCAGCAATTAAACTCTTTGTTTGGTAACGATCAGATGTCAATTGAATTACCTTCCATTTCTGGCTTTTGATTTTTCTTTTAGGTGTTAAATTGAGCTGCTTTACTGTAAGGGTTTATTGCAATTTCTGATTCAATTAAACTGAGTGTTACAAGTTGTTTAAATTGGGGATAAATTTGATCTAGTTTGGATTGATTAATTTCAAGTAAGATCCAATTGCTTTACTCAGTCGATTGCGTGCTTCGAAAACTTCATGATAGTTCGTATGCTTGACCCATAATCTCATTGAATATGTTACAATTAATTTTTTGGTGATCCAAGGTGGGTTGTGATTATGGCAGTGCTTAAGGATTGTAGTTCAGCACCCCATGGAAGCTGTAATTGTTCAGTATTATTAGGTTTCTAAGAGATAGTGGACTTTCTGAATTTTAGCTGAGCAGTCATCAGATGAAATCTTCCCTAAAATTTGATTGTTTCTACTTATAAGGGTTCGGAGGAAACCTGCTGCTCTAGTGGTTAGAATTTGATTGTTTCTAGTTACTCTAACTTTGGGATGGAGTTGGAAGTTGAAATCCTTAAGAAAGTTATCGGTTTTGTTCATCGATGTCATATTTGTGCTGTATTTAGATAATGGAAAGCATCTAATTTCATGCCTGGTTTGGCTTCCCCTTGTTTGTCAGTACAATCACGAAGAGCTTTACAGCCTCTCTGGAGCTGTGTGGCATTGCTCCTGTGGAATTTCTTTACAAAAGTTAGCCAGCTTAGTGTCTGTAAGCATTAGGTGGTGAAATGAGGAGGTCTCTTTGTGAAGTGGTAGAGCAACAGAGATGACACGTTTCCTCTCTGCTTTAGATTTGATGTCTGTCTGTAGGATATGATTGATGGAGAATAGCCCAACCCGACACAGCTACCCTTGATTTTTTTTAAGGTAAACGGTAAACCCAGCCGGCAAGCAGAGATTGCTATTTCTGAAAGGGTGTATTTCTTGCAACATGGGTGAGCTTATTCCTACACAAGGTGTCAACAGTTCCCCCATCTCTGGAATTCTAGGTTGAGGACGGTTACTCTCTGACAATGTTGGCTGGCAACTATACGAGGCCGGTTGACACGAATCAAAGCTAAGTGAGTTATTCCATGAGCTTAGTGTGCTCCAAGAATATCATCATCATCATCTATGGCATCCTTGAAGGCAATCAAAGCAGGTTTGGCAATCTCAGTAAGCACAAGCCTGCTGCAGCTGCCTTGGTAGATCAGACATCAGAGTTCATGAAGAGTTCACCGTAATTACCAAGCCGTCTTTGCTCTTAATTCCATACTGAAAATCTTAGTCAAGTAATCTGATCAAAGAATTGCGTTGGTGTTAAATAAATGCTGGCCATCTCTTGGGCGAATTCAAATGACCTCTTTTTTCTTTGTTCTTAGTCATAACAGTATTTTATTAGATTGCAAGTCATGATTTTGAGGTTTTCGAGTCTTCTACAGCCATTGGTGATCACTTCACCAAAAAATTATGCATGCCAAGGGATGTTTAAAAAAAAAACCATGGGTGCTTTTCTTTTCATCTTTTTTCCCCCTTTCTGAAGACCTGAACATAAGCAAAACCCAAACCACGCTACTTGAGCTAAAATCAGATGCATGTTTATATTTTTACTATAAAATATTTTTAGCCAATTGTGATTTGAGGTGAATTTAGAAAGGAGATTCAGATATTTCAGAATTTTTGGGGCAATCCATTGAATTGAGTTCTAAATCCGAACCCTTTTATTATATTGAAAGGTAAATATTATACAATATCATGCGTATTATTCCTACTCTTTTAAGAGTTCTGCCTTTGGTTACTGAACGCATATTACGAACTATGTATACTATCTTTCTCTTGACAAGTTGACATTAACTGTGGGTGCTGAGAACTTCACTTCATAAACACGTTGTTGAAGGTCACAGCTCCATCTACTTGAGCCATCAAAACAGACATCATTGATCAACAAATGCTGCCTCAGCCAAGTCGATGGCACGAGCAAGACCAGCAGCTTTGTTCTGGCACTCTTGGTTTTCGTCATCGGGATCACTGTCAGCCACAATACCAGCACCAGCTTGAAGATGGGCGACCCATTCCCGGCGCCGGCTGGCATCTTTGTAAGAGTACAATGTGTCGAAACGGGATCCTGTTGTAAACACCATGGTCCTTAGAGCTAGCGCAATGTCCATATCACCAGAAAAGGAAACTGCTCCAAATCCACCGCTGTACGGGCCACGCCTTGCTACCTCCAGCTCATCAATCAACTCCATGGCCTTCACCTACATTAGATCACAAACGATGATACGATTTAGGAGAAGATTTCTAAAACTTTAGGAAGGTATTGCAAAGGGAAGAAGTAAAAGTTAACTGGCAACCTTTGGTGCACCACTAACAGTTCCGACAGGCAATGCAGCTCGAAGGGCATCCCAACAACTGAGATCATCTTGCAGCTCTCCCGTAACCTGCACCAGAGATCGTGATATTTTCACTGGAAACAGATTCTAAGTAATTCTATACCAAAAACAGATTGTAAAAGTAATTTTTTCCTTAACTATGGAACATTTAGAAACCACAACATTTGGATCTGAGTGCACATTGTGATCAAAGGAAGGAGAAGAGGTCGGAATACAAAAGCCCTAACCGACCCCAAACTCAACCAAATCAGAGAAAGAGGAAGTTGCCGGAAATTTATTTATTAAAAAAGAAAAAAAAAAAAAAGGTTTCACAAACAATACATCAATTTCCTTCCATTGGCAACCTAATGTCGCACATAATTTGAACAAGTACAGAGAACTGCAGTGACAAGTCATTCCTTTAACATCATCTAAAGGCATATAGTCTTACCGTGGAGCTTATGTGCATCACATGGGAATACCGTTCAATTTCCATCAATCTATCTACCTTCACGGAGCCGAATTTGCAGACCTATATCAAGCCACATTACCAATACAAGTTTAAAAAGTTTGACATTTTAGTTTCCAATAATCAACTTGAACAAGCAACAATGGAGTATGCATAACATGAAAGATGACTTGCAATTACTTTTATCCAACCAGGACATTATATATAAGTTAAGGAAGAGCTGAAAGTTGAGTAATTGCACAATAATGTTCACAAGATTAGGTAATTGTTTAAGAGAAACCTTTCCAACGTCATTCCGACCCAGATCAACCAGCATGATGTGCTCTGCACATTGCTTTTCATCATCAAGTAGCTGCTCTTCTAACATTTGATCTTCTGCAGTTGTCTTCCCTCTTCTGCAAGTTCCAGCTAATGGCCGATTGATTATCTTTTTCTGTTTATCACAATAGAAATATGAACATTCCCATTTCACCAAGGAAAAACACTAGAAAACTAAACAAATGCATAAAAATTGTTTGCTATATTTACCTTTTTTGCACTCATTAGAATTTCTGGACTTGAAGCAACCAGGATACACCCTCTAGCCTACGTGGATATAGATAAAAAGTCACCAAAAATTGTAATCCTAAACTTACAAATATTGGCCAAACCAAAAAGAAATTCGCAAGGAAAAAGACACAAACCTGCAAGTAAGTCAAATATGGACTGGGATTTACAGTCCTCAAGGCTCTATAAACTTCAAATGGGTCGGCAAATGTTCTGCGTTCAAATCGTTGACTTAATACAATCTGGAAAATATCCCCCGCGGCTATTTGTTCTTTTGCATGATTTACTATGTTCTTGTAACCCTTGCTTGTCATGTTCGAGTTCTTTAAGGGAGGACCAAATTGGCGAGTATGTAGATTCATGGAACCTGGAGATAGCCTTGGGCTAACAATTGGAAATCGGATCAATATGGTCTAAATGAAACTACAAAAGGAAAATGTACTCATAGATAAAATAAGTATAACAGTTACTCACACGTCAATGTCGTGTACTCTAGCCACTAATTTCTCCAAACGTCTTACTCCATCTGTATAAGCTTTCTCAACTGAGGAGTACCGATCTAGCCTCACCCAATGAATTGCATAAACTCTCTGAAGTGAAGAAAGTTACTAAAGCTCATAAGAACCTCAACAACCCACAACCAAGTCATAGTAATTAGATTACCACTCAAATTTTGAGAAAACCATTCATAGGTAATTGGCAATGAAAATTTTGGCATAGGCCTCCTTTTTAATGTGGCTCTTAATGAGCCAAAATCTTGGGAAGAATGTAAGAGAATCCGAAGAATAGATAGGAATCAATTGCTTTCCTTCTTGTTAAGAACAGAATGTATGAAACCTGTCTACGGTCATATTTGAAGAGAATGCATGTATGGCAAAAATATAAGGAAAAGGTATGCATATCAAACTTCGTGTAAGAAGATTTCTGTCATCGGAAGAGTACCTTCTCCACGTGATCAAATACTATTACATCATCATACAGCCCTAAATGCATGTCTGGAAGATTTCTGTCATCCTTGGGGGCCTTTGAGAATGGCAGTCTTCTTCTTTCCACATACCGAACTGTATCATACGAAAAGTAACCGACCCAGCCACCTATTCATAAACAGTTTCTCATTAAGTGTGGTTCTAGGAACTGTAAAGAGAAACTACTATTGTTAGAATAACAAAGGAAACACCAATTACAGCATGCAAAATATGACCAACCAAATGGATCCTAGTAGTAGATTCTAGATAAAGATGAGAAATAAAGAAGAAGTGTATCAGTCCAGCATCTAGTTAATGCTGGCTTTCATCAACTGAAAGCCTGCAATTAGTAAGATTCTTTCAGAGAGCAAGAAACAATTGGATTCAAAATTTAAAATTACTCAGATATAGCT